TTTTTTGAGCTAAAAATCACTTAAGAAAGATAAGAAGTTACTGGGCTTCAAAATAAAATATTAAACTATCTATTAATAATCATGTTGGCTTTCATAATATTTCCTTCTGTCGTAACAAATCTGAGGATGTTTGTACCTCAACATCCTAGTATATTATAAAATGAATGAATTTCCGATCAATTTAGCTTCTTTTAAGGCAGTGGAAGGCTGTGTATTCATATACACCGTGTTGCTATAGAATTAATCCAGCTTTTAGAATAAGATAGATTCCTTAAAATTTAGGATTGGCTGCAAAAAATTATTACAAGAGTGGATAATAGTAGTGGCACTAATAGCGTCTTAGTGACCGAATAGGTAAAACAAAATCATTATATTTAAATTATAAGCAAGGCTAGTTATTTCAATAAAGGTCAGTTAAAACAAAATTCATCATAATGTATCAGTAACGTCATCTGTAAACATAAAGTAATGATTTCGAAAAAATCGAAACCAGTTCATTCGCTTCATTACATAATAAAATTAAAAGGAATTTATCTTCGAAAAGACTTGCTAAAACAAAAGTAATAATCAGATTCCTATAAATCAATCCAGTATTTAATTAACTAGCTAATAAGTTGATTTCTTTCAAGCGTCTTTGAATAGCACACACCATCATAATTAAATCACACTTTTCCAGGCTAAAATGTCTCTCAACAGTATAATTGTTGTAACTAAAAATCAATCTTCGTACAGCTGTTTTGATAAGAATGATTGAGGAGATCTGCCGCAATTTTGTCAACGACGGCATTATTCGATGCCAATTACAGATTTTTAGAAATTAAATAAATTAATATGTATATTTCATGAACTAATTAAACTGATCCTTAATTGGTAGCCATCATTATGGGAATTTATGTTGCTAATCTAGTATTATATCGAATCCATATTGCTTGTTCATCCTACTAGAACTAATTTGTTATACTGAGCAACACTTTTACAGTAAACCTGAACCGTCCCAGTTCGCCCATTATCTTATCACCTCGTAAAACAATTTACAGGAACTAAAGTTCAAATTATTGGAAAGATTTCTAAAAAAGTAACGCATTACAATTGTGTATATATAAGTAGATTGCAGGAAGACAATAATATGTTTACGCTACGGTACTTAACCAATAAATTTGATTTTTTCCCAAATCTTGATGAACAACAATATTCACGTTATGCTATAAAGTAAGTCATGACAATTTTAAGAATTTTGAAGTGCAGAAACTTGGGAGTCTAATATTTTGATGTTTCTATTCGGTTGGCTTATCGCATACGTTAGAGAAATACTCTAATAAGTTTATCCATAAAGCAGTCAAGTATGTATAATATTGATTATTAAGGACATTACTCAATAAAGATACCAACATAAACAATCGGATTATATACGAGTATAAAGCAATTCAGCAGTTTTTGATCGAATTCATTAGAATTCTTGCTACCTTTTCCACTGTATTTGAATACTGTACTGAAAAATCCTATTTTAAGTTAATTTCTATACTAGTTGTGATATTGCTACAAGATTTCGCTTGTTTAAATCCGATTAAATTTGCCCTGCTTACCAAAGTTAGCAAAACACTATCTTATCTCACATCAACAATCGGATGATGCATAAAGCGATTTAAGAGTATTTGATCGCTTTCACTAGAATTCCTCATGCGTATTCCACAATAAGTGAATATTGAACTTGAAAAAATCTTATTTAAATTAATTTTTTATGCTAATTGCAATATTGCTACAAGATCTCGCTTATTTCAATCCGATTAAATTTGTTTTGCTCAATAAAGTTAGTAAAGCACCATATTATCTCACATGAATAATCCAATTATGTATAAGGTGATTAAGCAGTGTATATTTCGCTGCAATTGAATACTGAATTGGAAAAATCCTATTTCAGATTAATTTTCTTCACTAATTGTAATGTTGCAACTCTTCAGAGAAGTCTGATTTTGGGGATGCCTTTAACGTTAATTTTTTAAATATGGCGTCTTATTCCAAATTTTTGTTTATTTATTAATATGGGTAGTGCTGTAGATTCAGGTTAAAGTGTCTTGTCTTTGCCAATTTTATGAAATTTTTTGGTAAACGTAATGCATTAAACTGTAAATTGCAATACTTCATCGACAGTACTTAATAATCATTGATTTTAAACTGCTATACGTAGATGGGTAATTTCATATTGACTAGAATATTGGATGAATACGAAAAGAATTTATAAGTAGAACGACGTAGTATAGTATCTCCCATTTATTCTCACTACTACTACTGTCGTACAAGTATACAGCACTTCTATCACATATGTTCGCCCCAAAAGCTCTGGCTTATCGTAAATGAGTATCGTACGGTGATCCTCCTTCGGATTGACAAATACTTCAGATCAAATTCTTGTAGTAAAAAATTAGCATTTTATACAAGTAGAATTTCAATGGATCATAAATGTAACATGTAAATGATTTCGGTATAATTTCCTTTCAATTAAATCACCATTGTTGCAGCAGCTTCAAGTTTATTAATATATTACTTAGCATGTAACTTTTTCTATTTAGTCTAATGTTTTGCTGAAAGAATTAATTCGTTATGATAATCGACTATACAGAAGAATACAAACGCTATACACTAGGCAGTGCCTTCCAAGAAATACATTTCTTTATTTCTTAACTACTAGCTCGACATACAAGGTCTTTCAGTAGCCTAAGAATTTTATGTTCAGCCTGATTTCTTTACCCAATAGTGCTTTTATATAATGTACTTAGGCGTTTTAGTAATTAAATATCTTCAACTCTAGATAATTTCAAAATAGAATGTACTTCTTAATGAATTGTAGTTAGTATCTGTTAATAGAAAAATCCACTTTACTTACACAACCTATTTTACGTACCAGTCTAGGGAGAAATATTAATGATATAGTAGCGTTCTTGGGCTTATATTGACTGTAGGGATGGTTATATCCTGGCATTAAATTGATTTTTGTAGTTTCTGTTGAATATAAACGATTTTCGAATAATTGCATGATCATGTTTTTCGCACTAGCCTTATTAGCTAGATTAGCTTACTTATCTGATTTTTGCAATATTGTGAAATCGGAGTCCTTAAATCAATTATGAAAGATCAAATGCCAACAGTCTTAATTAAAATAGTTAAAGATTTCTAATCAGAGCGTCCAAATTGCTAGTACTGATTCTGAGGTTAACTCATAATCGGTTTAATTTTCGAACTATTTCTAAACTTATTCATATCTAGAATGGATAATTACTTACAGATCTAAAGATATACATTATGTTTCTATCGAAATAAAACTTTAGATTTGTTCCTACAAGTAACAGACAGACACCTAGTATCAGATGAATATAGTTTATGCTTATTATTACATATTGAGTTTTGCAGTAAGTTCAGCAAAAAATTTTCCCCGTTCTTATTATATCTAGACACCTTTCAGAAAGATGATTTCCAAAATTTTCATGATTAGGATTTGTCTTTGATAACGTAATTGCTCGTCTAGAATGTTGATATTAGCAGTGATTGTCAAGGTCTGTTCTAAACAGTGGCGATATGCGATTTAACGTATCAAGCTCAATACTATTTATAACGTTAACCTTTAAAGTATATATTTAAAAACTTCTTTACTGTGATTTACGATATATAATATCTATAAAAAATAATAAACTAGGTTGAAAAGGTGTACATTTGAGTAAAGCAGATATCCTAGATAATGTTTTAATCTGCTTTAAAAGTATATCCATAAAGATGTATCACATATACGAGTACATTAAGAGTTAACTTTCTTACGCAATCATATTAAAATATAGGCGTATAAAACTTTAAGCTATTTTTGGAAATAGGCACTGGTTATGATAGTAAACTCGTATACTTGTTGATTATCTATTCTTATCAGTACTAGTGATTGGCATTTACTTGTTAATTTTAATATTTTTATCGGTAATATGAGAGCATCTCTAACTATTTAGCACCGATAGGTCATGTTTTCACATAACTATTTAATTATTGGATTTAGTGTACGAAGAAAAATGTCTCTTCACAAACATAGTTGATTTACATTGCTATAGTTTACTATGAACCACTTGGTTATATCTCCAGTCAAATTTTAGATTATTTTATTTGGAAACCGTAATTGAAATATAATGCGCCGTATGATTCATTCCGAAATAATCCCTTTGTACCACGTTATAGACACTTGTTGTTATTCCTTGTAAGATATAAGTCCTAATAACTTTGTGCTATGTCGACCATTAACCATTTATTATAACTTGGAATGACAAGTAGACAAAACAAATTGAATACAAATTGAAAAATTTTCATTCATACTGATAACTAGCCATATACTTTTTCAGTGGATAACAGCAGAGGCTGTAATTATATATGTAGGTAAATCTAACCGATTTCAAATGGCCGAATCTTATGAATAAGAGTAATTTGGTAACTTTACTTTTATTGAGTTATAGTTAATTTTATTCATGTACATCTAATGTAAACTATTTAAAAGGATTCAGTGGTATCAATAATACAGTCAGGCAACTTAAAGAGCTTAGCTTGATGTATTAGCCATTTATAATTTACAAAAGTGAATACTTTGATATCTATTTAGCGCTTCAAATACGCAATAGTTACGACTTGGTAAAATGTTAACGATATTTTCTATGCAAAACAACGATATAGGACCTAATATTCAAATATCTTGATATCGACGAAGTGCATAAGGCAGGCTTAAGTTACACACTACTTATTTTAAATTAGTGATAGCTTTACAGTTAATATCCATCTAAATTAGTTTACTGGAAACGATTTTAGCAATTGAACTACCTGTGATAGTTTTACTTTGCAGTAGAAGTGTAGTACCGACATCTATTAGATACTAACAGATTCTTTATCTCTTTGTCGATAAGAATTATTTTAACCGTGAGAGTAATAATAATAAGATTGCTAATAAAGTTACAAAATTTGTTTAAAAATTGTTAAAATTACTATAGCTTCCAGGCATTTCTCATCATTAAATCGAAATATGCATCGCTGTCAATAGAAGCACTAACGCCACTGTAATAATTTAGAAATTCTTCATGTGTTACCTATAAAAAGAAATGAATACTTAATGACCAATAAGACTCCGTATACTATACAACAGTCACCTAATGTAATTTAAAGCAATCTCATAGCAAAATTTGTTTGTACCCTGCCATCAGGATCATCAGGAGAATCGAAACTATCTAAGAATGATCGAAATACTTGTTCCTCAGTCCATTCGCCGTTCATATACTTTTTATGCTTTCGAGGATTGTAAACGCTATATTACAAATAAAAGAGATGTTATCAATTCTGATCATAAGCCTTACATGGGTTGTGACACAAGATTCATTTATTCACACGGTTGGGAAAATACCGTACCCTTTCAAATCGTCAATGGTGATAACGCTATCACCAGTTTTATCTAATTTCCTGAAAGCTTCAAAAATTACTTTTTTCCTTTTAGTGCTCATAGGCGGCTAGAATGATAAAGTGATAAAGGCAATATAGTATATGCAAAAAAATTACTTTAATAATATTATAAATATAATCGTTAAAATGCGATCAGAAATTATTAATGCTATTAAGGTGAGCGTTAAGACAGTAGTATAATAGCTGGTAGATACCCTTAAAGCTTTAAGAAATTCATCAAAGTCTAAACTTTCGCTATGATCAGTATCGAAGGCTTCGAACATTTTTCTTGCATCCTGAACAGTAATATGATTTTAAAAATTTTTTTAGTTATAGTCCGCTGTACAACATTAGAGGATTTTACTTCATCGACTCGAACGTAATATTCTTGAATAGCTTTGAAATGGTACAAAATTTCTCTTACAGTATCGTCTACAATAACGCCATAATCCCGCAGGCCTTTCTTAAATTCTGCAAAATTCAACTGTTTATCGCCATTATCATCCATGATACGAAAAACCCTGTGCAAAATATCATTATTATCGTATTATAGTACATTCTGTTATAAACAGTCCGCATTAAAAGGGATATTCAATATAGCTGATTTTAAGGCAAATTGCCATCGGTGTGATGACAGTGATATATGTAAATCAACATACAGTATATTACTTCTACACCCGTTTATACGGTAAATTTTCGAATTGCATTAAGCTGGTATTTTTCATAAAGTGATTGGCTAACATAAGTTCTTTGCAGTCGCTATCAGAACTTACTGTTAGCACAACTAGACGACAGTTTTATACACATCAGAATTGCTCTATCGAAGGTATTATTTTTTTTATAAGCCTCCGTTATGTCAGGAAAAGTTATTTTAGTAAAATGTAAAATGTTTTAGTGCAACATTTGGTTGCTTTAGAATTTATCAAGTTGCTTGATCCAATCCTATCGTAAGTTGTAATAGAATCATCTAGAAGTTGACTGAAATTTACTAAAATTGCTAATCTAGTTGATAAGAATAAGACGATAATACCTTCCAAGGCCTTTAATTCCGCTCGATCCACGCGATAAACATTGCAACCTCAGCTGCTCTACTGGGTCTTGAGTTTTACTTAGTGCAGTCTGACATTTACGCTTTAATTCAGCTTCATGACGAGATGTAGCAGCCATGATGAAAACAACTATAATTATGGTTCGTTTTAATTTGCTGCCGCAGCCAAATTATACTGAAGTGCGACTCTAAGTAGTAGTATATGTAAGTACTGGATGCTTTAGCTTTATTCTATTACTGCAAATCATCGAATATGTACTTACGGTATATTGGTATAGTATACTCTCTGACGTGAATGATACAAAGGCCAGCAAGAACATCAGTAATGCGTTGAATTTAAATTATTCTCTTGTGACTAATATCCAATAAAAAATGCCCTTTATGAGTCAGTTACTATGGCTACCATCAAAACAGCCTATACTGGATTTCTGATCTTTTCGATGTTTCGTTACTGCAATCGATTACTCTGGATGGTGGGTGGGTGATACACAACACTACGTTAAAAAAATTGCTGCAATCCTTGGATAATTATAATCAAATAGATACTTGAGGGGCGCTAAGCAATGACTGATCTGACTCTTCTATAATTATAAATACTCGTAAAATGATATTGTATAAATCATTGTATACCTTTGAGAAATAAATAGTTTCCTACTAGTCGTAGACTTATGTCATATCATGCAAAATGAGTAAGTTACGAGTATATTAAAACATCTTTCACCATATTTAGGGCACGGGAAAGTTATTTGAGGTGATGCTGTGGTAAATTGATTGTCTATCATTTGTCTCTTAATTACGGTTATCAACTGTAACCTGAAGAGGTTCGTTAGTAATATCATGTTTTATATGAGGACACAGAACCCAAGCTACGATACAATTCTTCGCCTTAAATCGCAATTATTACCGTACTTAAGTACGGCTGAGCGAGAGTGAGTACTGTAATAATTAATTAATAAATTACCATATTAATGAGTAAGTTAGAGAAACGAAAGCCAGAGGCTATTTCACTTCAAGCCACGTCTAGCTTCCTAAAGAATTGAAAGCAAAGTAGGCAGCTGGTTCTACCTTGATCGTTATATCTAGTATACGAACATTGCCAAGACTGATCACTTAGATAGACCGACATCTTCTTCAATCCATTTATCATTTCTAAACTTGGGATAGCTGTTTAAGCTGTAACCTCTGTTCACTATATCAAGGAGCGTGAATGAATTCATTCCATTGGCTATTAATAGCAGTTTCTCCCTATTTCTAATAATATACAGTAATATACAGTACTTCTCTTATGAAATTCTCCACAGGCCAAAGTTTGGTAATTGGACATTAGCCCCATTGATGCTAACAGTTTGAACAGCAGTCGGCATCGTCTGATCCATAGAATTGTCTAACCTCTATACAGTAAAGCATTCTCATCGTATGAAGTAACACTTGCTCTAGCAATCTAGTTGAAAAACATAATTTTATTGCTACTGAAATTATTTCCTCATAGTCTATCATTATAGCAGTAAAATGTTGGTGGTAACTAATCCTAGCTTGGATTTGATTAAGTGTAGTACAGGCCTATTCTACTTTTCTACACCGCCAGTTTTCTTTAAATCTCTCTATTCTTATAATGAATTCTTAAACAATATTAGACTACTACATTATCGCATTGCTTTAGTAGTAATATTATGACTATCCTGTAACAGTCAGATTTTATAGAAGTGTGTTACAATATTTCGATTGAAAGGACAATGTAGGAATAAATCTCGAATTCAAACGTTCTTGAGCTAGATTTCAAGAAGTTAGACCTACTCAGTCGCAAAGGAACCTGTTATCCTAAACTTTTAAAGGTCTCAAAGAGTTTTGGTTACCTTTGCTTTACGTTTTTATTACATGCGAGCTCGCTTAATTAGACTTCAGCTCTAAGAAACTTAGTCTGAACTTCACAAAAGAGTAAGGATAATTCCGACAATTGTTTGGAAATACCTCTCTCTAAATGCTTCCGCTCAAAATTCACATCACAGTATAACTAAGTTAGATGTTACAAGGTTTCCTATTAGATCAGAAAGATGCAAATTATGTAATCGTGAAGAATTCCTCTATAATCCTAATAGGCTTAACATTGTTGATCTTTAACGAATTCTTTTCTAATAAAATTTAAATTTTCATTAACAACTATAGATATTACTGTCTCGTAGCAGAGTATATGCAGTAATTAATTGGTTTCAGATGAAATGAACGCTATATATTAAATCACTACACTGCCGCATTTGTTGATACCACAGCTAAGCAAAGAAGTTGACAAATAATGCAATCGCGAATTTTCTAGCATTAGCTTTATTTCTCTACGGTCATCAACCTTAAACCTAAGATGATTTTGTTGGTAAAAGCATGTTCCGTACTAAAATGTGAATATTTCTCCTTAATAAATACTAATAATAGCATAATCGATAACATATTACATTGTAGAAGACATGATTACCGTATTAATAAGTAACTAATGCTGAGAAAGTGATAAATAAGTTAACATTAATAAATTAAAGAAACGAAAGCTTGTCATGTTTCAAGCGATGCCTAACTTTACAACGAATCGAAAGTAAAGTAAAGAAATGTTCGCCTTAATTACCATGTTTAGTATGCAAGTATTGTCACCATTAATCACTGATGATGGGTGAGATGTTGTATACTTCTGTCTATAGTAATGTCGTTTTTAGACAGAGTTAGAAGAATTAACCGTAAGTGCAATATATTAAATAACGTAATCATAATTACTATCATTCTAAGTTATAAAGGTATAAGATATGAAGGATGCAAGCTAGCTAAGAAGAAATAAAACGAACTATAACTAATATTAAAATTTTAACATATTTTTTCGGCTGTCCTCATTCATTTCTATTTAGTAAAAAGACATGCTAAAATATACACCTCAGCAAGGAGTATATAATAGGAAATCTATTGCGAAATCGAACAAACTTACATTATGATAGCACATCTGACTATTTAAGTCATTTCAAATGCTATTATATAACACGAATAAGTCTGCTGTACTGATAAAATGAGAGACTAAGTGGCATAGCATAGTCTCTAATCTTTATCATAACATAGCAAGTTAGAGTGAAGCTAATATCGATGACTTAGCTCATAATTTAAAGCTTCCATGCATTTCTCATCATCAAATCAAAGTAGCTGTCGTGATCAATTGAAGCACTAACGCCACAGTAATAATTTTCAAATTCTTTCCACGTAACCTAGATAAACGACATAGTCAATTGTAAGATAAATGAAGAATGACTAGTAGCAATTTTAATAAATAAAATGAAAAGTTGAAATAAACACAAATGTAAATAAGATATCAAATAACAAATAAAGGAATAAATGAGTGAATGAACAGTAACCGTAAACCTAATCATTCAATACTGATGTCGACAACTCTGATACTTAGCATAAGCATAAACGTGTTAAGGGATTTATGTTAGGTATCAGGGTTATCGGCATCAATACTAGTTAGGCCTAGCGAACATAAACAATTTTATCTAGGTAGCAGGGTATAATGCTTTGATCTTATATATAATATGAAACAGTAGTTCAAAGAAGGTTTAATTACGTAATCTTGACTTATAATAACTTTTCTCCGCGTTACTAAATTGAAAGAGGCCGCCTCTACCAGTTAACTAGTTTTCAGCTACTTTTATATCTCAATCAATGAGAATTGTCTTCAATGAAGTACGGTATATAATATACACACAAGGCGCATTTATATAAACTACTCAACGATAAGTAATAAAGTTTTCTGTGAAATTTTCTGTGAAGTTTTTATTGTTGTGTAGGCAGGTTAATAAATATTACTGCACACTACATATGAAAACTCGTAAAAAGAATCAACTACCCTATTTTAGTGTAATGTAGTTGTGAGCCATGACTACCACATGAATTGAAGTAATCACCCACCGTATTTTTTGAAAAGTACCGATACTTTTATGATACAGAATATGACCTTAGCATTCGTACAGTATACTGGTAATTATTACTCGGTTAAAATAACCGCTAAATGTATATTACACCCGTCTACAAATTACGTCATTACTTTTAAAAGCAGATCAAAAACTTAAATTCTAAAATCCTAATACGCATTCATAAATATGTAACCTGGAAGAAGTGAACTATTAGCGAGATCAAGTCTTAATAAATTTTTAGTTTATTATTATTGTTTATAACTATATATATACTGAGATATAATAGCACAGTGCACATAAACTGTAGACCGCAATTGTAGTAGCAAAAGATATTATTTCATGATAGAAGATACTGTTTATTACCATCAGAGATTTATAATCTGGCAATGCTGGATCTACGAGAATCCTACTGATACGACTATGTTTATACGTAAGAATAAATGCGTGTGTAATGCATTTATATATATCTTCACTTACGCGATAGTCTACGTCACCAGGAGCTTCGAAATTTGCCAAATATGCCCTGAAGACATCTGCTTCAGACCATTCGCCATTTTTGAACTTGGGATGACCGGTTGCACGATAAACTCTATGTACATCAAACAATACAAATGAATTTATTTAATTAATTAGTATCAAATTAATAGTAATTTTTTTCTATGATTAATAAATGTTTCTTTTGCTAAGGACTTTACAATTTGATTAATAATGTTTGTCGATGTATTATAACTGTAAGTGACTTAACGTCATGTAGATTGACATAATCTTTTATCGACGTGGAATAACTACTACAGTATAAATTATATATACATAACTCATATACCTTTTCATATCCTTAATGGTTATTACACCATCACCCGTCCTATCCATTTTATTAAATGCCATCTCAACAAGTCTAAGTCTTCTAGGGTTCATCTTAGGCTTTGCGAAAGAAATAAAAAAATCATTACAATTTTTAAACCTAAATTAACTTATCTATCATTCATCGTCACTAGATAGTAACAGCTGTAGTTAAATAGTTAGTTATACAGTAACATATTGTAATGCTATTGCAGTATTGATGCTGCTTCTTTAATTTATAGCTATTATAGTAAGTAGTTAGAATTATTTATTACTCGAAGTGCGATAAGAAATTCGTCAAAGTTCAGTGTTCCCGTATTGTCTTTATCCACTCGATCAAACAACCTTCTCACGTCCTTAATGATAGAAACGTTTAAATTGTTATCAAATTGATTAAAATCCAAGCTGACAACGTGAATTATACATCTGATATTATTCCTGTATACTATACTCGTATATTATTAGTGATTACTATCATGTAGCAAGTATGTATCTCTTATTTTATATTCAAATTGTCAGTGTTGGTTATTACTTACATCTTCTCTCATTTGAACCCCGTAATCTTGTAAACCTGTTCTGAATTCATCGTAATTCAATTCCAAATTATGGCTATCGTCCATAATGCGAAATGCTCTAATTGGATAATTATCAAGTCTATTCATTAGCCAGATCGACCGACAGAAATTAAGATTAAAGCTTGTTATAGTGAAATTTATTAAACAGAAATATTAGGAAGGGATTTCAGGCAGCTTTTAGAGCTAATCTTTTTGCATATTACGTGCAAAAATTTTCCCTACCTTCCAAACCCTTTAATTCCTGCTGATCCACGAGCTAAACATTGAAGTCGTAAGCGCTCCATTGGATCAACAGCCATATGACTCTGTCTCAAGCACTGGGTTCTAAATTGAGATTCATGACTTGCATCAATAGACATTTCCAACTTATTTACGTTACCACTGCAGCGCTCGTTTGCTTTTCTACTATACTCCAAATTTATAGCGTTACTCTGCAATGTTTATCTAATGAGACAAAATTGCTTTGATAAAGTACTAACAGGGACAACTCTATTTACTGCGTAGTAACGAAAAGTGCAAACAATGCTCGCCGCTAGACCGTGATATGTAACTAAGGATAAAGTGCCCTAGAAACCAAAGCTTGGTAACTAGACATTCGTTCTATTCATTCCTATAATTTAAATAGTAGTCAGCATCGTCTGACCAATGCAATTATTATAATACTGCCATTTGAATTATCGTGACGTCATTCTTGATCTAATTGTTTTCTATAATTGATTATAATGGAATACAAGTAAATTGTCGCCATTGGATTTTGTCATTCTTTTGATACAGCTTGATATAATCATTATGTAATGGGGTTCTATCTTGGAACATGGGTCTATATTATACTGAAAAGGATAACAGAAGGCTTATTATATGGTTTATTATTATTATTGCTATAAGAACTGATCGCAGATAACGATATCCTAATTAAATATATCGAAGAATATCTGGGGTAATGCAATATTCTCTCTCTGCACAATCCGTTAACTTCAGATTTGTGAAGTAAGCAATACATCCATGATACAAAATGAGCTACCAAAGTGGGTGATAACATTCAGACAATCTTTCGATTGCAGAATATGCGAAATAATGTTAAGTACAATAATGACGTTTGTTATTATACTCGAATGTCATAAAATCCGCTATGCTGTATTGTGCATATAGTATGTGATTGACACATCATGTACATTCCCGCTAGAAAAAAGACTCGATTATAATTATCTGCGTACTCGTTGTAGATGTTTATGCATGTATGTGAAGTAAATATATTAAATTAGGTCGCTATTTTGATACTCTTGTGGAGACAATACGCAAATACAGTGATCTATAAGTAACGCACTAATTGCCACTTGGGGTTGGCTTTAGTTTTCTAATACAGTATCACGCTAACCGTTAATAGATTTGGAAGTCAGTTAATATCATGTAATAAATAAAATAAAACTGCTTATGTAGGTTATGCTTATTACTATTTTCTTCAGAACTAAAGTCTTAAGCTATAAACCGTAATGCTAGGACTTGCAGGAAGAGCATACGGGGCAAACTTAAAAGTAAAATTTACGCAACATTGGATTACAGTCTGGAATAGATATATTGATAAGAAACATATTTAAAACCTCGTTACAATTTACTGACTGTGTCATTACCATTAGTACGTTATAATGTAATTCCACCTATACCTGATCAAAAAGTTTGTAAAACAAAATTTCGAGTGATAATGCGGTTATATTGTTACCATATGCTTGCAGTAGTTTACAACCTCGATTAAAAGCTACAAATACATTTACGTACCCTACTCCGTTTCGAACCTGTGAAATACGCTAAGGATGTTGTATAATTTTAAGCACATAATACAGTATAAACGTGCAGCCTGAACTCTCATCGCGAACAACACAAAACACGTCGATAATGCAAATAGCTTTATCCTACTATTTTCGGACGCCATTTATTTTATATACACGGCACTCATGTCTGAATCTCTTTTATAACACCGTTACCAAAATATAATATATACCATTCAGAAATCGCTTAACTTAACAATGTCTATAACAAATCGCACCGTACCAAAGTCCATTCGCAATGAATTATAGACGCTATACAGCCACGACTGAGATATCATTTCCTCACATAATCTTCCTGAAATAATACTACCTTGCTTCTATTGCGTACCAAAAATTTCAATACAAGATTTAAGTGATATTTTTTCAATTGCATACATAAAAATCACAATTTACAGAATATTTCATTCCATAGGTGTTAGAAACTCTAAGTACTTATACACGATTTTCACATTTGCTGTGAAATTTTGTTAATTTCTATTGTCCAAATCTTTACGTTATAATTTTCAGCATATACGCGAAAGCGACACTACGGCAATTTACAAGGAATACCAAAAAAATGCACTGAAACGGATATGCAGTATAAAACAGTCCATCTTCCGTGATATACGCTTAATATCTGTCACAATAAAACAATACTTTATAAATAAACATTAGATACTGTTGCAGATATCAAATACGCTAATAGGATCTTTCTGCAATTGTAAAGGTATCAACTTTATTCGATTTATACTTCTTCATCTGTCTTGCACGAATAGAGTATCTTGGCTTAAAAATCCCGCATCTCCTAAACTCAAGTGGGGGTCTAAGGCAGAAATCTATTGTAATTATAAAGAGGCCATAATTTAATGCGTAATATAATTATTAAAAGCAACTACTCTTATATAATATACAGTACTATGATTTGTATTTGTTACCTCACGTTTAGGAAAATTAGTCACTACTTTGAATTCAAAATCAAGAAAACCATTGGATGCCACGTAGTTTAATAAATCCTAGTTTTATAGTTGATTATTGTAGATAGTTTATTTTGAGAATGCAATGATCACTAGTGCTCCTTAAGGTCATTTACAACATATTACCTTCACAGTATTGCGTGAGTAAAATTTACGGGATAGCCTTTCCCCACCAGGTAAGCGTATTAAGAATTTAATCACATCATCAGTACAATTGTCCGGAGGTGCTTGCGGAATGCTCTGTGCTAAACTCTGTCTTTCCGCCTAGTTTAACAGATGATATACATATTCTAGGTTATTACTATTTATTTCAAATCTGGTAAGTTTGACTTATTAACCTCTTTCCGTTTTACTTCCTCCATTAGAGCTTGCTCTTCATGTTCTCGCAAAAGTTGTGCCTCTTTCTCTAGGCGATTTCGTTCTTCTTCCTCAGCAGCGCGCTGCTCAGCCTAAAATTACATACAATAGGTTTCGTTAAAATTTCAAGATTATCCCCAAGGACGCTATCAAATTTTGACCTTTGCTCGATCAGCCTTTAAAGATGCCTCATATTCTGCGTCTTGAAGTTTCTTGAACCTTTGTCTGGCCTCTCTAGCTTCCTAAAAATGGTCAGTAACGACTTAGTACTAAAATATATCACCGAAGACGATTAATGAATCAATGTGGACCAATTTAAATTATTTGTAGTTTAAAATTACTTACTTCTTCTTTTAATTCATTATGTAACACATGCCGGTAATCTTCAAATGCACCCATTAATCCAGTAAATAGCTCGTCCAATGACATTTTAGCTGGTCATAAGTATAACAAGATTCAAATAACCTTGGGTAATTCGAATAGATAAAAAATAAATTCTTATCCTCACCTTGCAACACGCGACTTATTTCTAGGGAAGATTTCACTTTCGTTATAACTAGCATAATAGGGTAGTCATCGTCTTCAAATCGTTCCAGAGAGAATGTTGCCGTAGCACCAAATAGTGACGTACATAAACTAAAGCACCTGTAACGAATACATTTTTCAGTTGATATATTAGAAACCGGGACATTTGACATAAAAATATAAGACTCACTTTTCGCGATTACTAGGCAAAGTTACGTCCCAGGCCCAATTTACGTAGTTTTGATTTAAGTAGTTAACGATGGATTCTGAGCATAAAACATTGCTACCGTAGCATAAATAGTGGGATATTAAGTATCACAAGTAATAATATCGTTTTTCATATTATTATTACCTCGTCACCGTAACTCACTCACCTACAAAAGATATTCACTTGGACACTTTTGCTGTTATGTATATAAACGAATAATGGCTTTCTCTATATTGAAATCAAGCATAGCCGAAATTACTAATTTGTTCTAAGAATTGAAAACTTGAACAAATTTCTACATTAGATAACAGACCTGATTTACATTTCCTTTGAAACATTCATCTAGGGCATCTTTTAATGGGCCAATAAAAAATAGCGGATGCATGGGACCATATCTGCAACACGCTTCATAATATTACTTATATCTGCATAGGATAAATATAATACCTATTTTGGAATTTAGATATAGCATATATAGTACAGTACTTACCTAATTTCAAAGGCATCACTGAATCCAGATAATGCTAGCGTAAGATCTTTCCAGTCATCCGGCACTAAATGTAGCGAATCAAATTTGATTTTTTAACTTGATATCGATACGTTTACAGTATTGTAAAACTACGTAAACTTACTTAATTGATTGTTAGAGTTAAAATAATTATCCTTGATGTTTACCAAATCCATGGAATCACAATTATCATCATCATCATTACCATCGATATCGTCATCCGCAGAGAAAGCAGCCTAGTTGAACATTTTAGTGAGGGTATTGTGTTATAAGCATTGTATTGCAAGACATATAAGATTCAACACACAATACCTTATTAAAATCGTAAGACAATGCCACGCTGGCGCTATAAACGGGTGGCAAATCACAGTCTTGTAAAGTAATCTGTAATAAAATGCTACAAATCAAGATATAGCCATCCTAATAGTTAGAAAATTATTCATTGCAAATAGGGTACATTGTCATCGAAATTCGGCAAACGAGTCCATTTCTGTCTCTTAACCGGTATATTTAATATGTCTGCGACTTGCGCCTTCACCTGTCAGAAAATATAATTTGTATACTTGCAATTACCCATTATTATTGAATTACGTTATACAGACGGTACTGTACTAACCTCGCGTAGTGTGGTACACCAAGGAAAATGTAAAGTAAATTTTCCTCCAGAGTTATGCACGATAAATTCGCTACAGTAAAACAAGACAGATGACGAAAATTGGCTCACTTAGCTTATTTTGTATATATACACTTAGTCGCAACTTTTAAATAAGGAAACAATCATAGTCCTACCATTGATCAGCTCTTATCAGATTTACAGAGTTGTTATCGGCGGTTGAAGTCGTTAATAGATTAAGATTTACTTGATCAGGCAGCATAAGCGAAGATATTACGGTCTAATCGATATGAAATAGTAACACTATTACAAAAAAGAATCTGATCTATAGTTACTTTAACCAAAGAAATTAAGCAACAGTAGGAAGTCTGCGATGCTCATGCCATTGCCATAATACGATTAGTAATAATTTAAGCTAACAAATAGATGCATCATACATTATCATCGATTGTAATTTCAGTATTATTTGGCCAGTTTTCCAATATTTGATTCTTGCGTGATATACCTAAGCGATTTTGCAATTGTTCCTTGATAAAACCTGAAATAAGCGAAATTGCAAAACTTTGTCAACGATAAATATATTATCATTGATTATAATATAGTGAGGAGATCGAAATTTATAAAACTCTTATCTAAATAGGAAATACTAACCAACAGTACGATTGGTAGGTACTTCCAAAATAATAGTATCTTCTTGCCAACTGACTGCGAATTCTATCTTATGATAGTCCAAATCATTATTTCTGCCTTGGGCTATCGTAGATTCGTTGTTTGTATTAAAAGCAGCAGCATCAATTGTTCTAAACGTTTTGACAGAAAATTATGTCCACTTATTTATTATTAAAGCATGATCCAAGGGTATTTTATCTCGTCGATATAAAAAGGCTTACAAAAATAACTTACGAAAGTTATGTTTAGAAGCGGATAAAGTTGAAACAGGAATTTCTTACTGTAGTGAATTCAACCCGTTTGTCATGCATGATCATTTAAAGTGCACTGTAGGTCTACGCATGCATCACTTCCTTAGACTCGTTATGATGGTAATAAGCTTTGTTTTTATAGATATATATGCAAGGGTAATGACTCATTAAGTCGTTGGTAATTTTATCAATGGATGACAGTAACGTATAGTACGATTGTACAGGGTAGATATTTATACGAGTACATTTCATCGCTGTTCGATATCAATATTGAACTATAAATTATCGGCAAAATTGTTCATTAGAGGAGTAGAGTAAGTCATAGATGGAGTATTTCTATTCCGGATACAGTAGCAATGATACTGCAGTTAAATTTGCTTTTAATTAATAATTATTTTTGAGCACTTTTTTTTTTCGGTAACCTGCTCGGGTACAGTACTCATATGAACGTATACGAGTAAATACTGTAGAAAGTGTTACATGAAATGACCTGAGCATGCTATACACTGTAAATCGACTATACGTCTAAAAATCAAGAGCGAAGAACTATATAAAAGCATACTTCTTAAAATGATCAGTTCATGTTGGGGCAAAGAATTAGCACGATAACTGATTGTTAATAAATACGTTTGAAAAAACCATCCAGTTTTTGTACTGTACTATATGATGTATCGTTTCAGTATTGCAGCTTAAATGCATCAACGAAGATTCCATGGTTGTAATGGATCAAATTAATAATGCGCTACTTCGTATCTGATATTGTACTCTACAGAATTTTGCAATCTGTTGAGGGGCTTACTTTTGCAGTACTGTAGATTGAATCATCGAAATAGATAAGATATAACCATAGTATCTCTTTTCTTTTAGAAGTCATTGGTATCGACTAACATCAATGAGTAGTAACACTTTATCCTCTTCACAAAATACAGTACATACATAGATGAAGCTTGTCTCCATCTTGAAGCAGTACTACTGTATTATGCAGAATAGAACAGAGGCTGTAGCGGAAAAAAGTAAAATGCTTTGTACGAGAATTCGCACTTGATATCATTATTTAATTTTTAATTCATACTTCAAAGGGAAAATAGATCGAAATACGAGCGATGCTTTGTAGTCAGCGGACAAGGTGTAGTAGTCTTAGTTGTTTTAGTCATGACAGCCATTTTGATCTATCATTTCCTATAATAACATAGCGTCTAATATACAGTTGCATGACCGGCTTGCAGGAATGTACAATATTGTAATGAGGATCATTATTTTTCAATGAATTGAATTGTACAATTGGTAGTCTACCGTACAAGTACCTACAGTATCTGCACTATACTGCTAGTAAGGACTATTTTAAAATAGTCTACAAACTAGTAGCCCATTGATTAACAGTTTGTGGACGATTAAATTGGGTTGCAAGTGTGTCAACGTGATTGATTACTGCAATCAATGAATCGTAAGCCAGGAATCATTATCGAGCAGAAGGAGCATCCATTGCAGTTTAGTACAATCGCTAGACGTTGATGGACATATTCTATGGGTCTGTGACTAGGTACAATTTTATCCATGAAATTATTTGTCCTACACTGACTGCAGTAACGACATATTTAATGGAGGGAATTTGGTGATATCTTAACAATTCTCGAACATGTAGTTTGTATAAAGTAACAACACATGATGAAAGAAACCTACCCAACTTCTTCGTAACCTTCTTGAAACGGCATCGCCTCCTTGACGGCTTCCTAATTTAGTATTATTATTATACAGAAAACAATTGAGATGATGATACAAGCTGTACTTTGTAGCTTAAGCTATAGCATTTCAATTATTTCATAAGTTCAAATTGAATCCATGATCAGCAATGTATCCTAGTTTAACATTTTTATATGATAGTAGTCATGTTTGATGCAATGATTCTACCTCGAAATCCCATTGGTTTCCTTCTAAAATTGTAAGACAAAGGTCAAAGTCCTGTATACCAGTGACGACCTATGATGATGAAAGATAAAATAAGTACCGTAGATAAAAGCGATCAAGACAATTTGTGCCTGTGGAATTGGAAGCAATTTGTGTGGATTCCTATCAGAATGGGATAGCCCACCTGAAAATTAGCCAGAATCAAATCTCGAGGAATTTCAGAAGACGCCATTGATCCAATTCCTTAAATCGGCACTCTAGCAACCAGTATAGAAATTGAACTTGTGGAACATCCACTCCTGTTGACACTGTCTACTGCAGTGTACTGCACAGCCCTTGCATGCTATTGTCTCTCATACCGGGTCCTAGCGGCTGATGACGTTATTACCTGCCCGGTTACCGCAGTGGTTGATGTGGCTGCTTTTTCATCAAGATAGTGTTCAGTACAGTACTTTTGTGCACTACTGATTGTACTCTATTCCATTGACACTAGAGTGGTCACACTACCAATGCTGGTAGTGTGACCAATGACAACGTACTTTATTCATCGAGACCAGTTTCGGACCGGTTCCGTGTGTCGTTAGGAAAGGAATGACAACATCACCGTCCAGTATAGTACAGTACTGTAGGTGGACAGCGGAATGAACTTCGGTGGCACCAAGGAAAAGAAACTGTGTAGGCTAAATCAAGCCCAAAGTAGATCCAATTTTCTATGTAGACGTAGGCCAATAGCTCATGTACATATAGATTTTGAACACGAGTGTCAACTCATTGCAACTTTAAATTGTCGACGCCATCTTGCCATCCAAGTGAATCGCGCTGGTACAGTACTATACGTACACAGTGTGCACCGGTGACTTTGGTACTGTAGATATTTTCTCTAGCGTCATGATGACATGACATCACCGGGTGTTGAGTTTGTTTTTGTCTCCGCGATGAGTGCATTCGCCGTGCTTGGAGTCAATACTGGCTGACCGCAGTGGTTTTAGCTTGCTATACTCAGAAGTCAACAAGTTCCGTTGATCCCTGACTCTGGTACAGCTAGATTGCCATGAACTCATTGACTCCAGCGTACAGTAGATTGGCATTGACTTCAATTGTGTCAAAGCGTTTCGTAGTACGAGTTATTGTTACTCGATGCATAGTACTGCAGTGGAAAGAAGCCAAGTGCGCCAAGTTACTCTAGCTTGCAATAAAATTGTTTGTTTTTATTATACTGTACTGTACTACACTATCAGTAAAGATGTCGTGACGCATGCTCCCGTCATCAAAGCAACGGATTGCACGACTAATGTCTAGCAAAATCGGTTAGTGACATCCAGTCGACGGTTTTACTGTACCATGCTATTATTTGCATCTATTTACAATTATAAAAGTACGAATGGACGATATATCGAAGTTATACAGTACTGTACGTCTCTCTCTCTATACTCGTATAGATACATGGTATGTCGCTTTAACCACTATTTTAATAGGTGGAACAACATACGCGCAAGCTAGGTCTTGCCCATAAAAATATTAGTAAAACTGCATACGTCAAATACATTAGATGATACACAGGTGCTACTTGATTTTTATAGGCGTACGTCCTCGGTAAAATAAATTGTAGATAAAATTTTATTTAATTAATAATTAATGAATTAGTAAATCACAAATTTCAGGAATTGGCTCAAAACCCAGTTAACATCATTTACATCAGTAATTACTACATTTAAAAATATTTAAGCTATTTCACTTTCTGTCAACTATGTAATCGAATATTAGTTGAACATAAAATAACGCCGTCACTGTTTCACATGGGATCAGTAATGTTTAAATTGGCAAGAAATATAACATTATTTCTAATAATTATAATTCGTCGTGAGAGTTCTTATTGCCTCTAGAAAAACAAGCAGCAGGGGTTTTAAATTCCATCAAATATTCGCATCGATTAGGCTCTGATGCCGATATCAATGAATCTTCAGTACCGCAGGATATGACGATCTACGAAATGCAAATATGATGTAATCAACTCAATTGGTTGAAAGCAATGTTAGTAAATTTATATCTAAGACTAGTAGTATCAGTATACTGACTGTCGCTGATCGGTCAGGGCCATTCCAACAATTTTGGCCTCCTTCGTATTTCATTTTAGAGTATTTGTTTTCTGCTCCAACCCAGGAACCCCATGTACTGCAATCGAAATAATTAGGAGCGCAGCAGCGCTTTTTACTTTTCATGTCATCATATACATTATAATATACCGCATATCCTTGTCGTATATATAACATACCCTAATGATGTTTGTGAACCTCCTGATTTTGAAGTTTGTGTTACCTTGTCAAACGGACAAAGTTCATAAGTGTATCTAGAAGCAATAGATAATTACAATTGGTTTAATTATATAAGCTGCCGACATGTGAGTTTATACAGTATGACAACCAATTAGACTCAATAAATACACACTCTCTATCGGTAAATTGATAGCATTTGCCTCGTAGGTAGGCAAATTCCTCTTCCGATCCAAAGTCACTACCTAGTACCTTCTCGATCTCCCTGTAACAAAATGACAAATTCAGCTTTGTTACAGCTCCACTGTCACAAGTAACACAATCTCAAAGTAAATAGTTTGTCTTACTGGATTTCATTCTCCATATTGTTCTTATTGTCTTCCGCAGCCTTATATTCTTGCCGAGCTTTATCAGCCACTGTTTTTTGTTAATGTAAGTATATTTTTACACAAGAGTTGAAAATGATAACTTTCAGTGCATATTAATTGTATAACAATAGATTTTTGTGGTAAAATAGACATGGAATACTATTTTATAAAGCTTGATTACTGTTTACTGTAATCATGGGAATTAAATAGTAAAGCGATATCAACATCGACATCATTGCTAAGGATAGTTGAGTTATACCTGCAACGAGATTTTTTAATTCTTCATCATGTTCAGGTTTTTGACCGTACATGTCTTCTTCTACAGGTTAACGGAAAGGGAATAAAAACAAAATTAGTGTATATCAACTTAATACGCTATTTTAATGCTGAGTCTCATATAGTGTTTAGGGCGTGGTAAAATCAGTAAAGTTAAGGAACAATAATCATACTTGTAAAATCCTATACTTGCTAATATTAGTTGCCAACAAAAGGCAATAAAAAAGGCGATAGTATCTCACAATAATAATAACTATGACATCAGATAGATTTATTGCACCCATAACTTTACTATTTTCTAGAAATAATACTTAGCTAGACCTAATTCTTGCTGTACACACCTTGCGCTACAGCTACATGTTCCTTTGCAGCTTCATCTTCATCTTCAGCTACGATGTCGTCATCGATGTTTACTTCATGACTATCAGCGGGTTGTCTATAATTTCATGAAGGTATGCAATTCATATAGCGAAAATTTTTGACAAAATTGTAGATAACAACGCATCACTTACTCCATCGAGCGCTCACCAGAGTCCAACCCCTAAAAATATGATATATATAGTTAGCTTATGTATTTTCTACGTATAAATTGAACCCCAGATTTCTAGTTACTTGAGGTTTTATCTGAACCAGCTTATCATTAAACTTTGGCCACACATCAGACATAAAATTATCATAACTTGAAATTATGCCGGCTTCTCCTAGGGCTTGCTAAAATGGTTAAGGTTCATCTACATTAGTATTTTGTAGGAAAAATATGAAAATTTAGTTTATAAATCTTACTTTTGCTTCCTCTTCACTCACTTCACCATTGCCGTCGGCATCAAATGCGAGATTTCCAATGATTTCATTGACGGTGATACTGCGCGTTCGTTACAACAGTTGTTAGTGAAACGTTTGACAAACGGTGATTCTAACTTATCTTATAAACGTATCACCTGCCGTCTTTATTGCTATCAAGCTCGTCGAAAGTACTCTTCGATTTACTATTATAATATTCTTCGCGTTTCTTAGCCTTAGTTTCTGCAATAAACAATGGTGCAATACAATGTATAGACGTATTTTAATAGCTACCGATGTAGAATTGACTATACCTTCCCATTCCTTTTCGAAAGCGTCTAATCTCTCCTTTTCAGATTTTTCGGCTTCACTCTTTTTTGCTATCCATTTAAATAAAGAATTAAGTTAACTGTAAGAAATTTGGTCGCTTATACAAAAAAACTATGCTTTGCATTGTATGCCTTCGGTATTATCGTGTGATTATTATCGAATATCATATAGCGCGTGTAACGTGTTAAATATTAGCAACTGAAATGACATATTTAATACCCATGATACTGTAAATGATCTACACCACCATTGCAACATAAGGTATTCCGATAAAAAAGCAAATATCACAATAGGAAACCAGATAAATGATAGGGTCGTGAAGTACAATTGAGTTACCTTCAAGCTCTGAAGCTTTCTGCCTAACAGTTTCAATATCTGCTTTCAACGATTGCAGTTTTGCCTAATAAGAACACAATTAGTTCCAAATACTGTATTATATTTATACGCAATATAGCACGTAATCAATCGACTCTAGTGAATATAAAAGAATTTGTTGAAACACAAAATTAAAAATGTCTACGTAACACAGATAGAACGAACCTTATATTTTTCTTTAGCTTCTAAACCCTCCTTTGCATATTGTAATCGCATCACATAGCCCTATTTGAGGGTAAATTTAGCAATTCCTATTGACTTTGGGCCATTGTCTCAAGATTACGTTATTGCAGATTTAAAATATTGAACATTGGCAATTCAAATACACCATCCATGCATAAAAATAATTTACTCAACCTTTTCAGCTTCCTCTTGCAATTTTCTCAACTCTTCGCGATATTTAGCTCCTACTTCACTAAAAGAGTCACGCATAGAAATAGATCGATATGGATAAATCCTCATAGTACTGATTATTTCACGGTATTTAATTGAATAAAAAAACAAGTACTAACTCGCATGTATTCTGGCAAGAAATTTTACCGTCATATTCATCCGTACCATCACAACAATCTATTTTAGTTCATTTTAAAAATATTATTAATAGAACTATAATTATAATAATCACAATAATAATTTTTCAATGTTTTTATAAGTTAAAAATTTCATTCCCATATATTTTAAGTGCCTTGCTATTTGATTACAGAGCCCACGAGCATTATATGAATGAAGTGATATTGAAACTTGTATCTATAGAAAAGGCATTATACTGTACTAAGAGTAAGGTTAATTGAGGAAGTTGTTATTTTTAGGAAAGTCTAGTCGAATGTGAATACTTTCGATCGTATTTGTTCACTAATAATATCCAGACTATTAGCAACAGTATGAGCAATTGTTGTTCTCTACTAGTACAGTAATTAATTTCAAAAAGCATACTATACCATACATTAACATGTCCATAGATAGTAAAGTAACAACAACGACTGTCAGTTTAACAGGATGATATTATAGCCAATTCGAATAACGCACTATTGATCTTTTTGCCTTTTACAATAGAATAGCTACAAAATCGCAATGGATATAAAAATAAGGAATAATTAACAGGAATATATTTGATATAGACTGTAGCAGCTGAATCGTTCATATTTTTAACAGTAGCAACATCCATCTTAAATGTTACATGTATGAGTACGCTCAGCTGTTCCACTACTGATCTGTGGCTTAGCTTTTGACTGCCTTGGACCTGTACTACTTTGTCGATATAATTATAATATTACTAGGTACTAAGAGTAAATTATTCGGGATATCTATTTTAACTATAACTACTGTATCAACGTTGTAAATTGATTCATTATTCAATCACAATTATATGTCTTACCACAAATGCCATCATTTACGCGAGAAGAAGGAAATATCAACGGCTTATAACCAACATTATGGCAATAAAATCGACCATTTGGGCAAGCAGACGTGCCTAGAAATAACGACGAAACGAAACGAGATGAATTAGATTTAACGATACTATTGATACTGTGTTTGAACTTTAAGATAATTCTTTCCAAGTAAGCTTTCAATTATACTGTAGTGGAAACGATCATTTAGGCCAGTATGCGTGTACAGAGAGAATACAGCCATAAGCAATAATATTTAATCATTATTGAAGCATTTGACGAACTATCCAGTCGTGCACTCTACTACGAGCTACTCAAATTCGGTTCTTAGTCAGGCTCGTGAAATAAAAGTGAATTTTTGACCTTAAAATTCATTAATATTGATGTAAGTAATTTGGTCATCCTTGCAATCGAAAAGCATAAATTGCAAACTTGGAATACCCTCAAACTAATACACTACATCCACAGTTTTATTCAACGCAATGTAATGTATCTACAGATTATCAAAGAGTTGGTAGTTACGTGGATATTAGCACAAATATAACTTTTAATCTTAAATTATATCAGCCATGGGACATGTATTGAAAGACATACGCACATAAATATTACTTTTGTTACGCTATAAAATTACTGATATATAGAGCAGTATATTACCTGGTTCATCACTCCCATCAGAACAGTCACAGTAATTGTCGTTCACGCTAGTGAAATCAATAGTTGCTAATCCGTTCAAGCATCGGAAAGGACGGCTGGAGTCATAGTTCGAAGCAACTATAATATATAATTTAAGTACAATTGTCTTAGTATAACACCAAGATAAGCTTAACATATGCAACGTGAACTACGTGAGATACTGTATGACGCCGGTTGTTTATAAATGAGAATGATATTGCAGTGGCATAGCAATCAAATACATCGTGAATTTATATACGGCTTATATAGTTGATTTGCAGTAGACCGCAAATAAATTGGTTCGTACTTAGTACGAATAACCATATCAGTATTGCAATTATAAACTACAATGATACTAATTCAAGTATAATAATTCATTGATAGCAATTTATATATCTATACTACTGCATAATTTAGTTAAATTATATATATATAATTATAGTATTCTATAGTATAAGTAATCTATCATAGGGATGATCTACAGTAGTACGTCTGGTACATCATATTTAGCTGCACCTTCCATGGAGTTGCAGTAAACATTCAATTAATACAGCCACTACTTTCGATGACCTAGTGACAAAGGTGTGGGTATAATAGACGTAAAATAAGACTGTGCAAATTCTGATATACTGCATAGTAAGTGGAACATAGAACATGAGCACTAAACCTAGTCTTACGCTTGACGTGTTTTATTGTCGGAATTCTTTACAATGTTCTATCTATTCGTATGGATACAGACTGATATACACGTAAGCCGTTGCTAATGGGGCAATCATATGAGTTTTTTTTATTTCCTAGTCATCTGTTTCCCTAAAGGCACACGATATTACAGCAGAATCTCGAAAGATAAGTTGATCGTTGCTCTAGAATTACACTAGCGACTGCATTATTTGATAACAATATAATTTTACTGTTTGGGATTATGATACCAATTTACTATAAATGTCGATTCTCAAATTGCTAGATATGACAATCTGTGTTCATAGTCTTCAATTTCAATTCTAGATTAGTGTACAGTACAGTAGTGTAGTAAAAGAAATCCAAATACAAGCTAATTGTATCAACGATAAATCGTCGTCGTCATTTCCATAAAATGCCTTCATGCTGCTGTTCAAGCTTATTGTATATGCTAACTCAATAAAGCTCTATCGCAGCTCATGTACACGTATAGAATACTATTTCGACGTCAAGGTTTAAGAAATTTTGGTGCAAGTGATTACAATAATTAATGATACTCGTTTATTATCATGGACAACTTACGTGATGGTTGAGCACCCTTAGGTAATCCTGAGCCAGCATAACCAATACTAGCGAGCAAACTTGTGTAAAAAAGGCAAGTAAGAGTAAACCAAAGGTATTTCTGGGCAGTCATTTTCAATCGACCAACTCCTTAACTGTCTAAACTGTAAAGATTCGAGAATTACTGTACAGGAAAGGAAATTGATGTTCAACTCTCCACTTTAGGTACCTAGAGATTCTGTAACAGACTTTTGAATATGAAGAAATTCGAAAGCGAAGCGGTCATTGAAGCTCTGCCGTAGTTCGAGTGAACGCGCAAACTCGTGCATACGTGTCATGCGTCTGTAGGATATATTGTAGTAGTCATTAGTCAGGTGTGAGGGGGAGGCCATGTACTCAATCAAAAGTTGTACCGGGTGGTCATTCTATCACTGAAAGCGTTTACTATACTGTACTGTATAGAGCGACCGTTTCGTGTCCATCTGTCCCTCTGGTTTTCATTTAGTCCCAGGTAGTGTATTGTAACCCCACTAGTAATACGAGTAAGGTTATTAATATGCAGTCAAATGGTAATGCACATGTTCTAATACCAACCAGTCCAAGATACTATCCAGAAAGATCAGATTGATTGATTCAATTACCCACCCAAGTTATCAACTTTCTGCTAATTAATTAGTTAATTTAGGCGTACAAGGTACTTGCAGAAATTCAAGATGTCAGTAAAAGTAAGTTTACGCGTAAAATGGAAAATGCTATTTCATTGATTAATATAAAATCTACAGCAATCAGACGTTATTTAATCGTACACATACGCGTACTTTATTAACTGTGAATTGGATTATGCCATATATTCGTACAGTACATGCATAAAGTGTAGTTTTGCAATTAGCAATGAAATCTTGATCGATCGGTACAGTATTACGTTTATGCTCCACGTTCATTTAACTATGCCGTCTTCCGCGCATACAAATTTGTGTCGACAAACTTAATTGCACCAGAAGTATTTGCAACTAGGTGGCTACGGTATTGCCGACTTGCAATAGCTGCATTCAATTTTAAATTTTTTCAAACCATTTCTAAGCTAAAGTATAGCAATACATATCCTCTATTTTAGATAGGCATAATTGGTGGCACGGGGCTTGATAATCCTAATATTCTTGATGAGAGAGTAGAAAAGGAATATGATACACCATACGGCAAGGTAGCATTGATTGAATGATACGCTCTTTATTGATGCTAGAAGAAAATATTAACTGTTCATTGCAAAATGAAGTAGTCTATATAGCATAAATAAATATGGAGTAGTTATTAATACGATTATATTAGTGTCTCAAGCAGCTTTTACCTGATGATTTTACAGCCTTCTGATCAACTAATATCTGGAAAAATTAAAGGCGTTCCTTGTGTTTTATTAGCACGGTGAGAATTAAATACACACAGTCTATGCATTTCGATAAGCAACTCATTCTTAACTGTATTACTACAATGCAAGATAGTGTCAGATCACCGTAATCCTGTCAATAATATAATAACTAATAAATAATAATAATGTATAGTATAGCATTAAATTTAGTGTAATCATTAATTAATTACGTCCATAGGCATGGTCGTAAACATTCCATCATGCCGACCAATGTAAACTTTCGCGCTAATATTGACGCCTTGAAGCAAGCTGGTTGCACACATGTAATTGTAACTACTGCATGCGGGTCATTGCAACAACATGTCGAACCTGGCGATATTGTCATCCTTGATCAATTCCTTGATCGTACGACTAAGAGAACTTCTACCTTCTATGATGGTCATCAAAACAGCCCAGCCGGAGTATGCCACATCCCTATGAGTGAGCCTTTCTGTGCTAAGCTACGAGAGGTACGAGTATGCATGCGTCTCGATAGTAATAAGTGCATTAGCTTGCTGTGAATAGTTTTTGAATCTTTTTAAATGAGTTATTTTTATTCAGACCATTTCAAACAGCGCTTCAAGCCTCAATCTGAAACATCATCGGTCAGGAACTGTAGTGACGATCGAGGGCCCCAGATTTTCTTCCAGAGCTGAAAGCAGACTTTTCAAGAGCTGGGGGGCTACTGTTGTAAATATGACCACTGTACCTGAAGTCTGCCTTGCGAATGAAGCTGGTCTACTATACGCAAGTATAGCTCTTCCAACGGATTATGATGCTTGGTTAGAAACGGAGCAAGCTGTAAGTAGTACTGCATAATATAATCATGCAACTATTTTGAAAACCTACTAGAAAGCAGACAGTGTGCTGCAATTCTTAGAGCAAAACCAAAATCACCAAGAAATTGTTTAAATGTGCATAGTTCTATTCCTCTTACTTATTCTTCTGTTGTTGTGACAGAAATTTAAAATATATATTTTGCATAAAGTAAAACACAGTTTCAAAAAAACTATGTCTGTATTTTACTACTTTGAAGGTAACGGTCGAATTAGCACTCGCCGCATTTAAGCAGAATATCAATAAAGTTATTGATCTACTTCTTGATGTTGTACCCCGAATTGCTGCAATGGATTGGACAGAAGAAATCAACGAAGCCAAGGTAGCGATGTAATATCTTACGATATTTAGTATATTTCAAGAGTACTTCTGAAGTCTACAATATTTTATGAATTTACTCTTGTGCATTACCGCTATTTGCCTTAATCAATTGTATATCCAACTTTTTACTTATTTCTAACCTAGTAATCTTTTCATTATATAATAGACGAAAGCATCAACTTCAGTAATGCTGTCCCATTAAGCACGCTAAACCAGCTATTAAAAACGATATAAGTCATGCTGAATATTGTATGTTATCTGTGGTATTTCTCGGCATTTCCAAGTTTAGTTTTTTAAAATAGAGTGATTTTGATATTATTTTTTCCATATTGCATATGATATATACTGTAATATTTACAGCATGCAGTTAACAATACATCTATTAATAAATACGTAACGTCTTGTTTCATACGAAATGGTCGCGTTTCCACCAATAAATTCTGTTTGAGAATATTGTAATGCTGTTGCTGCATTGATTATTATAACTATTGATTGGCCAATTGGAATCCTACAACAATTCTATCTTTTACGTTATTGAATCTATGAACGGTATATCCATGTTTGATATGAAAGAAGCTACGCACCATACTGCTGTAAGTGATGGTAAGTTTAGGTCAGCTTTAATTCAGCTGTTGCTGCACGTGAGACTAACAACATGAAATTTCCAAGTGTATGATAGATTAAGTTTTGCGGTAATAATACACACATCTGCAGTACAGAGATACAGTCTGTAAACACGATTACTACTGCTACAGGAGCTAATGTTTGATATCTATAGGAATTTATGTGGCTTGTTAATTCTTTACACTGTATATTCTATAGTTGACTACTGTACAACAGTGATCGATTTCTCATAATCGTGCAGGTACTGTATTATGACTTAATAAAACTACTATTCCGTCATTGTTGGCGGTGGCAAAAAATGCAATGGTAGGAATTGCAGCATCTGTCGAGTATTGTTTACTCGTTGCATGAATGCACTGAAAGAAAGTGCTCTTTGTGAGCCGTGTGAAGTCCATCTAAGAGTGCTAATTGCTTGCATGCGAATTGTATTAGGGGGGACTCCAGCAATTTTGAAAGAAGCTAATCGTTTTACTGAAAGCTCGTTCAGGTTATAGTCAATCAGTATATTACTGTATAAATCACGAAATCGTAATGACTTTAGTAAAGTCAACGATTATAAGGTAACTTTATCCTTTTTTAGAATGATTAGATTGCAGCAACGATCGAGTAGGTTATTTAACTTCTTGTATACTGTATAGTTGACGCGTATAAACACATTTGAGTCGTCCTTGTACAGTATGTGACTACCGTATAGTATTTTTGTCAATATATGAGTATGTTGTTGAATTGCACTTTAGGCGCCCTGCTCAATTTTGATTATGCATCAACATTTCAACTTCACATCATTCATAAAAACAACAACATGAAGACAGATAATCCAGCCGTAATCGAATACCGTATTCTAGCTTGCCGGTTCTCCTGTACGTTCCTATACTGTACACCTTCAGAGTCTAAGGGTCTCACTGTACTGTACAGTACTATACTGTACATACATGTACAGTACAGTACAGTACAGTACAGTACATGATGTTGCTATACTGTAAAACAGATTCAGTCAAAGATGCCGTTTTACAGTACTGTACACTGTACAATCTACAGTACATTCCATTGTCCAATGTCTATGAATGGTCACTAGAACTAGAACATGATGATAGCCGAGGTACAAAGGCAGTGACATTCACTTTATATAAAGGTGTATTTTTTTATATCACTATTTAGTACTGTACTGCACATGACAAGACAACGGTATCCTTTCAAAGGAACTTTCACCTCATTTCCATAATTCAGTATCCCAACACCAAAAGTACTACTAGGGTGCAGTACAGACTGTACTGTAGAGTACTGTATTTGTAACAAATGATTAGGAGAAGTGTAGTGTACTGTACACAGTACTGTACTGTACAGTACTAGCAGGACAGTTCTTGGACTGTACACTGTACAGTACAGTACTGTATACAGTACTACTACCATACAGTACAGTACTGTCCTCTTGATATTATACTGTACAGTGTACTGTACATATACAGACATACAGTACACTATATTATATGTAGTAGACTAGTAGTCTAGAGACTGTACTGTACTGTGCTGTGATACATCCAGCAAGTTCGTGTTACGCTTTTATAGCCGACATCAAGGTACACGATTGTACATTTAACGTGAAAGTTAGATGGTGGCGGTTGGCTAAAAATTATTTGCTGCTCTTAGTTGGCTACGTTGGCAAATTTCCATTAGTAAACTCTACTAACTGCCAACTTCTATGTCCGTATTGTCTGCTGATGTTATCGCTGAGGATCTGAAAGCGGTTTTCCATCAGATCGACGACGAAGGGAACGTAAGTGACTACAAGTAATAATTTCTCACTGTATATCACTGGGCCGCCATGTTTTTTAAAGTGTGACTGTGAGCAGTTTGAGAACACCTTCATGCTAAGAGTGTTGTTGGTGTGTTACAGTCTTGATTCCATCAACTTTTTCTACAGTAATCTATGTTCTTTTTAGAACTTGATTTCTTGTTACACACATCATGCAGTATCTGTAATTCCGCTAGAAAACGGATATGCAATCGGGAAAATAATTGGATATCGATGTGGCCATGTCTACTGTATAGTCAATAGTACAGTGAATATTCCATACTGTACAGTGTTCACCTTGAAGCGTACAACATTTCTAGTCTTTGTAACATGCTGTGCTATTCACTCACTTCACTGAGTACAGTACAATCCTGTTACAATGTGACTAGTACGGTATTGTACTGTACTAAAGTAGTTACAGTACTGTACAGTATATTAGCCATTTGCACCTGTGTACTGTACTGGATTATATTGCAGGACAATGATCCCCTGCTATACGTCTAGTACGCAAAAACGCTCAACCTCGTCTGCTCTCAGCTTCTTATCTCCGGGTATGACAGGTGACGGCGACTTTTGACGTGTAAAAATAGTAACGCAGACATGAGACTACTACAAAATGGACCCAACTGTATGGACTCCCTTACCTTCAAGGCTTCAATTTTAAAATAGCTATTTTCAAGCTCCTTTATTTATACATAGCACGTTTTAAGAAGAAATTCCATTCATCATTTTTACTGTACTGTACAAGTCGCTAATTGTAACTTACTATATTGGTACTGGACTGCACGTATTAACGAGTGCAGTTAATTCATTTGCAATAGACGTACAAATGCCTAATACTAACATTTCGAGCATGATCAAAATGAATTGAAAGCTTACCCTATGCATAACCCATAAATCAAGAATGGCAATACGTACTATGCAGTATGCTACAGTTTTAACTAATCTAACCACCGGTATACAGTATATCGCAATAATATTGAATAATTTTATGTCCAGTGCTTATCTTATATTTGCCCTATGAGTCATGATAATGAAATCTTGGAAAGTGACCTCATATTGCCTCACTAATTCGAAAATAATATTGGTATTAACAGTATAGAAATTAAATTGGATCATCCTGTGTTGCTCTTGCTGATTTTAGGGCAAAATAATACATTTTGTCCAATTCATCTATACAGTCTACAATAAGAACGAGTAGAAGGAAAAAATCTTTTATCGTTGATTAATTTGAACAAATCAATAGTAGGTATATTAATTAATTCATGAAGAAGTATGTCTATGCTATATCCATTTTTCTATAGTACATGACGTTAAGATAGTGATTTGGCCTAGCATTGGTATGCATACTATTTACCCCACTAAATTAGGTCGAAAACAGTTTTGATTAAGCTTATACTGTCACTGGTTTTAACCTGGATATCGTTCACACTGTTAAGATATTGAGTAAAATTGCACTTATGCTACCAACATAAAGTAGTAAGATGAAATTGAAATTGTTAATGATGTATTTTACAAAAGTGCTCGTTAACTTCTAGCGAGGTATAAGCCAAAGTCATCAATTTCGATCGAAGGCTGAAATGTACAACATTTATAGCGTGAATCTTTTTAAGATCTTAATAGTGATACTGATTTTATTGCTTTGAAACTGAATACTGATTGTAGACTTCAACGCAAGACCAGGAAAAATTACAAGTATGCATAAATGCACTTCGAAATCAACATCAAATTGTTTCCAAAGATATTTTAGAAGTAAGTATCATCTGACCCGATAATGATCTTCTTCAGTTTGAATATCGATTTTTCAACTTAGTAATATATTTTATGACTGTACACATGTATCATTACGATGCGAAATATGTAGAATTTATTACATTCAATGGGGCTACTTTTCATCTAATAATTTTGCTTATTGAAATAATAAATGATATATTGTTGTTGATAAATAGATTATATACTGTAGGACTCTTATTACTGCAGTCATGCATTTCATGCTTTCTACAAATTCTACTAACAGCAAATTTACGGCTAACTCCATAGTATATTTATTACGTTGACATCCAAAGTTTTAAGAACTTTATTATTGTTTAATATTAATGACGAATAGAAATGCTTGTATAATTAAGTAATTAAGAAAGGAAACTGACAGTTATTTTTTTACAGCATAATAGTTTTCCACAACACCTTTAAAAAATAGAAATCTATACGTTTTCAAAATCAGGCAAATGAGACCGTTTACGTATGAAGCTGTTGAGACATACGTAATTTGAAACCTATTGCAATATTATGCAAATGTACAAGTTATTCTGTCCAGCTAATGAGAAATTAGCTAACTAGTTAAAATATATGTTTAATATCATACAGCACATGTAGTGACGTCGCTACTCACAACCAATGTACAGCATCATTCTATCTCAGAATTTTAAATAGGAGACCATTTATTTATTATAACACTTATATTAACACGGTGCACTGGGTATGCCGTAATTGTAAATCGTAGACGTACATTAATGTAACTTTATACAGAAACTCGTAAATTATAAAGTATGATACGAGTCGTATGTGTCACTCAGTAACTTCTTTCGGCTTAACGTTTTGAGTTAGATATTATGTAAGGGAAGCCGTTATCCTTAAAATTTGTATACAGTAACCTACGGTATACGAGTATTTATGGTGATACGAAAATAATCGAAACGCCACTACTTTACAGCAGTATGTGAAAGCGACTTATTACAATTTGTTGTATATTATCTTCCATCAAAGTACAGCTATACGGTATTGTATAAAAACATACCATGTCGATTGACTACTAGGATACTATTTTGGTAGACCTATTAGTTCATAGTTAGAACGCTTGATTCTCGAAATGCAGGCTGCAGGACAGTAGTACAGGTATAAAGTAAGTTAATCTGCATTTAATAAATATTATTTTAAGTCATAGATCAAAGATCTGGAATTGGTGACAATAATTTTAAGAATTGACGAGTAATTAGACTACCTATATGGTTACATATGCAGTTCCGCGCTATGCATAAGGTATACTGCGCACTGTCTATTTTTAACTATTTTGAGGTAATTTTCTTTACAGTGGTAGTTTTAGCAGGCGCGAGAAATTCAGATTCCGAAGTTGCAGCATTTTGGCGGTCTAAAGCCCCATTACGAACCTTTGTTTTGTTTAGTACGGTACAAGTGGGGCCAAATACAGTTCGTCTAGTAGACGTGTATCTACGCGTATATCTAGTCTACAGTATGTGTCATCTTCGGCTGCCATGATGTACTCAATTCCCTAAGGTCTATCGTTATGTCTTAAGAAGAATAAAAAAGAATGTATTGATTTACGCATGGACTACTAGAAGAAACCTTTTCTTCTTGTAGTTTAAGGTTTATCTCACTCCCAAGATATACAGTATACGAATATGTTTCTGAATGTTCCTGCACAATGATTACTGTATAAACGTTCCTAATTCTATACGGTATGTTTTACTGTGATACTTGTTGTTTACGTCGTTTACTGTACTGGCAAAATGGTCGAATCATGTAGTCAGATAAAAATAATTATAGATGTGGTATATCACTATTTAGGGTTTCAAAATTTTTTCAGTACCCTACGATAGCAATTTATTGGAATGTAACACTATGACAAATACTACCATGGAAATCATACTATTATTAGTCTGTCGAATGCATACACAGTATGTATTTTTACTTACACAGTGCTATACATTGACAGTATAACAATACATTTACGCCAAGAATCACGAACACGACATGCTACTATTAATAATAAAAGAATAAGATCTGAGATACTTTTATACCTCCACTAAGGATTTTCGTTACTATATGACTTACAGTAGTAAATACCATAGTTATTCAAGTTTATCATGCGTTTAGATAATTATCAAAGTGCTTTATTTTTGTATAGCGGCATACTTTATCACGAAATCGTCGAAAGATTACTTCTATAATTGTCCCACATCTTAGTAAAATATGTTTACCTTTGGCAATTTTACGTTTCTGACATAATTTATTGAAATTTTTCAGAAAACGCGTTTGGGTAAGGTTGTTAATAATATACGTAAGAAGATTGCCAATGAAGATGTAAAGAAACAGTTAAAGGAATTGCTCAAGCAATGGCAACGAGATTATTTGAGAGGCTCAAATAGCATCTTACAAAATGGCGATCAAATGAAAAGGAAATTTGATGACAGTAATAATGTACATGATGGAGATAGCCAAGAAACCGAGCCGAAACGTATAAAGAAGTCTTTAAGCGATGATACTTTAGATGTCATTAATAAACCAGCAATCGCCTGTATTCAAATACCACGTGTTGAATCCTTACCAATTATTAAAAATGACTCTACTGTCTCCACAGCGATGACATCGTATGGTGATAATATTAACGCGTCTGCTTTTGAAAGTGCAATAGAAAACGATAACAGTGACACTAGCGGAGTAAATAACGATCTGGAAAGTTTATCACCTACGATAGAAATTGAAAATAAAACCTGTGCATCAACTAATGCTAGTAAGGTCGATAAATCAGATAGTGAATCAAATGATATGGCAAGTGGTTATAAAATCCCTATACCTAGCAAGGTAAAAGAACTAAATATGAAGGCGGACGTGAAACGCATTCGTAAACAGCAGGCTAGCGTGCTAGACCAATTACTGAATTCCATAAGCGAACTTGAAACCCAAGCAGAAAATAACTACGTAAGAAAGAGATCCCTTAGACTGCGGCTTGATTGGGGAGTAAAAGATAAGGATATAAATAAAATACAAAATAGTAGCAACGAAAATGACATCAGTAATAAAGTAGACGGTGTATGTGGTCGCTATGCCTTCGATGGCAGTTGGTGTACATGGAATATACCTATGCCAACTCCAAATGATGAATTAGTAATTTTGCCATATACTGTGTTTGACTATGAATTTTGTTTTGAAAGCTGATTCATAAATGCTTATGTATAACGACGACTTAAATATACAGTACATAATGTAATTACTAAGTACATTTGCTACCTATAAGGTACTATCGCTTAGGTAAAAGGCATCAATATTTGCCGTACTGTACAGTTCATCATTGACATGATAATGGCATAACTCGACATTGTGACTATATTGCCGCCTTTCGTCAAGCCCTTTCATTGAGCAAATTGCATGGCGGTCGGTGCGATACTTTTCCTGTGCTAATTAATGTATGATAATAGTAAACATGTAATGATCAAATTTTTTATAAAGAGTAAGTACTGACATCAACCTTTAGTACTGTTATTATTACGTTATTTGGATTAATTTCTACTTCTACGTATTACTGTATAGTAAATAATAATGTCCTATTTGATCAATGCTCTACGCAAGTATAGCGAAATCTTTGATTTGCTCTTGTTAAATGTGCCGTATCTTGATATGTAATCGAAATTTTATTATGCTCGATTATGATGGGCAAATTCGGAGAACCATTTGATACATCATTGAATGAAGTCTAATGCTGCAATCATGCATTCATAATAATATAATTTGTACAGCAATGACTGAAAAATTTTTTCTTATTTGTTTTGTAATAATTTGCACATCTGCTCAAGAAAAATGTGAGAAAAGTATTTCTCAAATAAATTGAATTAGTAAATAATTGTAGTTAATTTAACGTTATTTAGATAATATACGTTTGTCCTCGCAACAGGATAGTGATTTTACCGTTACTGAAATATAAATAACATTTTGAGAATGCTAATAACTCAGTAAGTAACGATAAAAGGCTATTCCGAATAACGTTAAGTCTACCATTCTGATTAAATATATTTAAGGCCAAGTTATTAACTTTCAGATTTAGATCTAAATATAGTACCATTCCACTATAGATATTACTGTACATAAATTTGATTAGTAAGGGTTCACTGCAAGACGCATTTGCTATCTCAATAATGTACAATACTAATCAAACAATTCATTTGTGTCATGATTGCTAATATAAGCGGATTTCAATATATTTTTCAATATTTAGGCAGTTGTAAATTAAAACAATTGATTCCATATGAAAATTAGTCCTTATTTATAACTTATAATTTAAAATCTTTACTATAGAATCTTTCTCTATGACGTAACTTTAAGGAAATAGGAGAAAACTCGTCGATCTTGCTGATGGAGCTTTTCGGGTTTTTCTCGATCGAATTACCTTGTAGTTTGTAGTTTCGACTTCTACGTAATTCGAGAGCGCTCTTAATTCTAAATTAAAGATAAGAATTAGTTTAAAAGCTGTAATTGATATATAATTGATGTAATTGATAACGAATCATTTTACACAATTAGGATAAAATCAATTAAAAATAATCTTATAAATGTCTTAAGACTTACCCTTCATAATTCTGTTTAGAACTGTTCCATAAAACTGCTTGAGAATCAGTCTTCCTAGTTTCCTTAATATCTCTATCGCCTGTTTGTTTTTTACCTTTGTTCCCCTCTCGTTCTCGTGCATTTTTCCTTCGAATGGCAGCTGCAGCAGCTCGTTCGGCCACAAGTTCGCTAACACATCCATTTAGCTCGTAATAATCTACAAATGTTTTTGCAAAACTTCGCCCTAAGCGCATAACTATAATGATTAATTAATTAATTATGAGTCAAGGAAACGTTAAATCTGTTATCGTAGTTGATCAATACATAAAAGAGAAATAAGCTAGTCATCGAATTACGGATTGATTTATAAGATTCTCTATATAAAATGAACTAATGTTCCATAAACCTAACGAAGATACTCCAGCTAAAATACGCCAGAGGCTAGCACTGTATTAGTCACTTTCAAAAACGAAAATGAAGATTTTTTATTAGGTTTAGATACATCCTTCTTCCGTATACGGGGTAATGGAATTAGCGACGTTTTGATAACCGTAACATGATACTTCAAGAGTATAGCATAAGGCATTCGGATTAAGATAACTTCCTAGAAATCTATGCACAAAGTTATAAGAAAGAATTCTGCATTAGGTCGATATTAAAATTAGTACAAGCGTGCAAAAGCTAATCTTAGCCGCTAATACGCATACCTTCTTCCAGTCCCAGCTTTTACTGCGTCTTTATTGAAGCATGTTTTTGCCTTTATATAGAAATTGCATTATTTACTGTAAATCTTTCGGAATTGTGATTATTTGTAGCTGATAGTGTACCATAAATTAATTAGGTAACATCTAAGCAATTTAGAATAATCAATCGGCATTGTGCAATCATTCATAAAATATTGAAATAATATTGCGCTAGCATTCCTTACCATGGAAAAATCATCGGCATTATTACTTAATAGTTTAGGAAATATACTTTGCTGTAATCATTCATAAAATATTGAAATAATATTGGGCTAGCATTCCTTACCATGGAAAAATCATCCGCATTATTACTCAATAGTTTAGGAAATATACTTTGCTTTTCGAATCTGGTGCTATCATCGAAAATGTTTCCATAAATAAAAGCTAAAATAGGAAAACCCGGTAATTTATAAACTTTGTGTTAAATTCTGAAGTTCTATAAATAATGATAGTGGTTTCAGTTCACATATAATTTTTACAATACCGTTAACAAGTGAGGTATGACCATGAATATCAACGTAAAACTCTACATTGCATGTCTAAAACGAAATAGATAATCAATCACCAAAAGGATCAATATTATTGATAAATAAATATAGCTTACATTGTCACTATCATGTTCCATTAAAATATCTTTCGTGGCAGAAAGAGTAGGATGTTGCCGAGTAGGATCATGCCAGTGGCGATTTAGATCATCACCAGCTAGAGAACATCTAGTACGTAATATTGTTAGATCATATTAGCATACTTACATACGATGTACTATATAACTAACGTATTTGCGCAATTGTTAATTTATTAGCCAAATCATTTCATTTTAAACCTATAATTTCCAACACTGACTCCATCCGGATTTAGCATTGGCACTAGCATAAATTGAAATAAATCAATCTTATATTTAAAATATTAATTAAAAAGCTCTCCCATGTTTGGCTTTTTTAAATGAATGAAATCACAAAAGGAAATCAGAAATGAAACGCTGTTACTAAATGTATCATCCTAACCTATCTTGAACACTAAGTTATCCCGTAATATCTTCGCCGCAGGCGAGTCGCTTATCAAAAAGTCAATTATTCCTATATTACAAATAGATTCAAGTTAAAACTGAAACAATAGATCTGTTTCTTAATTTTAAATTAGACATATATGGAGCTTTATTTGCTAATTACATTATGAGTAATATAATATCTAGTTACCTTGACAAACGTAAGATGACGGGGATTCCCCCGGATGAACTCTAGCACTGATAAAGATTAACTTCTTTTCCACATCATGCTGTAGATTTCCTATTTTTTTTTGCAATAGCGAAACAAAATCCATTAATTATGAGATACTCATATTCGTAAAGAAAGTATGTATTACAGATTTCATTCGTCTAACTTAAAAATTTGAGATGTTTAAAAAACTAACAAGTTAGCTCTTAAAATTTATTCAAGTCAGGAATAATCATATGGAGTACCGTACCTGGCGAAGTTATTGTTATCATATCTAAACGACGGTGTTGCTGTTTGGTTGCAATATAAAAGACAGAATTATTCGAGCATTTATTAAAGCCAAGATATGTAGTATAATATAGATAACATAATACATCATAGCGATCTGTGCGTTATTGCAACTGATGATAGCATTCAGTAAGGTGTCATACCAATGTCAAGGCAATACACTCTCTTCGAACATAACGCAACGATCTCGCTTCAATAGCATCTAAATAACGTTGGAGCTTAGAATAGGAATACGGGTAGCAATAGGCAAACTAGAATTGGCAAGAAGATGAAAGTTTTAAATTAGAAAAATGTTATCTATGGTTGCTGATATTATAATAAGCAGTTATCAGCGGCTCTCTCGTATCCTACTCACACTATATTCTTCGTTCTCTTTATCTAATACAACCGCAAACGACATAACGTAGTTATTGTCATGATCTGGCGATCGATAGTAAAAGGCGTTCTTTGCCGATAACCTAACCCTATCCGATTATGATATGCGTACGAACTGTTAACCGATATTAACGCCACTTCTAAAAAGCTTTTTATTCTACTGAGGTGACGTATTCACCTGCTAGATTAGCATGTAGTGCAGTAACAGAAATCTATTATTGAAATATTTGCTAGTGCGTGACGGATAAGATATGTCTCTTACCATTTTGGCCGTGTCGTCGATTTTATAACTGGTGCCATTCCATCACGATACAAACTTTTGGTCTTACTAAAATTGACAATATTGAATATTGCCCTCTAAAATGTAGGAGTTAACGCAGAAGATTTATATTTTTTCAGTAAGTAGTGTAAACATCGTATGCCTTTCATCATGTCATTAACAGAACGATGCTAAAAGGAAATCTGTCATAACCAGATAACAGCAACTGTCTAAGTAATACAAACAATAACATCCAGAATTCTTTGATATTATTCTTACTTGTCCGGCTTTGTTATTCGATACTGTAAAATAGAACCAGACGCGAAATCTAAAAAAATTACAGGGAAAATATTGCACTATTAGGTAAACAATTTTCAATAATATAAGGTCCATGTTGTAATAAGATCTCGTTAGCTATGTTATGATAGCATATAAAACAATACAGTATCAGGATATGTAGTTAAAAAAAAATCCGAAGGGTAGCAGAAAAACAACGTTAATGATAGTAGGAGTTAAATAGTATATGGCAACGATGTAACGATCTGGTGTAAAAGTATTATTGTTAAGCACACAGAATAGCTTGCATTATGCAAGCCTAATAGGATAATGAAGATACCTTATAGTAGGAAATCTCAAGTACAATATGAATACATAAAAAGGAGCAACTCATTTTACTTGATGGATTGCTATTATTTACCTAGAATTGCTAATGTCTGGACGCACATATAAATCATATTCGAACTCTGATATATACTCCACTTTCAATAAGTTACCTGAAATTGTAAAGATAATAAAATATCAGCCATATACGCAATACGCATATAATGATCTATGGCCATGGTATGTTATGGTAGACATATAACAATCTCATACTTCTAATTTGGGCTATAATATATCATATAAAGGCAGATATAGCATGGGCAACATATACATTGTACAGATAGTAATAAAGAAAGATTGATAATAAACAATTTGAAACAGTAAGAAAAGCTGACATTTTTAACATTAGAATTTGAAAACTGAAGTCGGGATCTGATGCGTCTATCAATCCTAACAACGCCAACGGTATACAATACAGACGGATATTAAAGTTTCAGTTTCAATTTTAATGCAAGTTGAAACAGCCGATGTTTTCAGTGTAACTACTGTAATATCCATTTATAATCGTTTTACGATGGATATTATTAAGCTTGGTTTTAAAGCTCGATTAGAATAAAGATCGTTGTTCGGTTCTGATGGTTGCCATGGTGAAATGAACTTACCACATTCGAATTCAGCATCGAATTTTAAGTGACCTTTCTTAATGGCGGCATTATAATTTGGTGGAGTGGCATAATAATTGGATACATTGCCTAATCGTAGGTGCACATCGTGGCGGTTATTACTTGTAGATTGATCGCCAACAGAATCGCTGCTATCGCAACTGTCCGTAGACGCCATTTCGATTTTACCGTCACTACACTGAATACAGTCCAGTCCGAGCAAAGGGTGAAGTTTTTGCTGGCGGTAGTGTACTCTGTATACACTACAGTACAGTACTGTATATAATGTATTCATCAGCTTGCGATATCAAACTCTTTCATGTTTGATTCGTTGAATAATACTTGTCACCCCTTGAGTACTTTGTATTCGAGCGCACCACTACGGTACACTATTCTAGTATCATTTTGCGACGTTGTATACAATACATAGTACTCAAAGGGGTGACAAGTACTATTTTTCAATGCACTTTTTTGCAACACTGCACACAGTACGGATAGTAATATAGAAGATCATGCTAAAAGTAGGCGATGTAGGATTACACTACTGAGTTAATATTGATCGGATATCGCCAAGAGTGCTACTGAATATATTTCGTCTGACTATTGTACAGTACGTAAAACTCGTAAGACTGGACTGTGCTACTCTTAGCAGGGACTACTACTCAATCAAAATTGCACTCTTGTTGCATAAAAATTGTCACCCCTACCCTAGAAAGGGAACAAGATCCATTCTTTTCTTTCTAGGCCGAGAGTGACAATTTTTATGCACGGGGTACTATTTACATCCAGTAGTCCCCTGCTCGCATCTGTCGTACCGTACGTCGTATTATTATTAATTATGTTTAATAATTTTGGGGGATATTAATTCCTTGATGATGCAATTCTATCGCCAATAGACTTTTAATTTGTAGCCGTAAGAACTGTTGTTCTAGTTTGGAAAATTATCATCATGGGTCAAATCAGCAAATTAGAACAGGAAAATCATGAAGTAGACAGGTATCTAGCCGTTATTTCATTGATTCAAGGAATAGGTAGCGCTCGCTATTCGTACTGGATTGAGAAACAATTCAATGAAAAGATACAGTCTATGGAGTAATTTGGCGCTCGTTTCTTTTTTTTTGGGGGGGGGGGGCGCCAGTGATGTAGTGCTTATTCAACGACTAGATGTGGTAGTTATTAATAATAATGATGATGATATAGTTTAGTACTGTGGTCCTGAAGCTGATTTTCATCATGGTAAGTTCTTGTTTCTTTATGTTGTTGTAATACTGAGTTAACCACGGATAACTTGCTGTGTTGCTGATCCGGCTACTGGTCTTGAATACGAGTAGACGTAGTTTAACGATAGAGTCAATAACCACGTATACTGAGTTACAATCGGAATAAAAATGCGATCGCCCATTCAGTCATCTTTTAGCAGTTTTGATGGATTAATCATGACTTTATTACGCTTACATCCTAGTCTTTCACCTTTAATCTGCATTACTGATTAAAATGACTAAGAAAGAAGAAAACTCGCTTATTATAGTAATAAATAATCATGATGATTAAGCTTGCGTAACTGCATTGCTATCGATGAGTTACATCGATGCGTTGAAATAAACGCTTGAATAAGGTCGTGTAGCGATAGATCATTTGTAAACTATAAATTTAAAAACGTTATAATAAGTAAACGACTGGTACTATATATCTGAGGTTTACCTTTATTGCTGTAATTTACATTACTTGACGTATGATTTATTTTTTATGGATACGTGATAATGGCTTAACATAAACACCTCCTCTAGATTGCACTCAGTGTAATAAGTTCGCTGGTAACATGACAATAGTACAGTAGAACAAAATGCTGCTGCACAGTAATGTTGTCATTGCTACCATATAAAGGAATGAACATTATTGATGTACTTACTGTACAGTAAGTCAGATTTTGGTGATCGGCTGTGTATCTAAATGGTATTGTAAACCTGTGCGCCATTGTCGAAATACTAAAGTAATATGATCTGCTTATACAATCATAGGAGATTTGACAGTCATTTAAACTTCAGCCAGTATACTCGTATATCAATCGAGAGATTTTAAATTTTACTAAGCGATTAAAGTTATACTGATACTTGATGATTCAATTTTACATTTCGTGCTCCAATTGTACCCTGCAATGTTACACATAAACGTATAATATTTGCTTAATACCAATCCGATCGATCAACAAATTTTTATTATTAGTTTTAGTAATCCTTATAGGGCGAATGATAGTCACAGCATTCGTCATTCTTTCCGACACTATATGAAACACAGTATCGATCATAGTGAAGAACAGAACTGTAAATTGAATAGTAATCAGAATTTAAGCATTTTGTTTTCCGTTATCGTCATATTTAACTATTACATAAGCGTTAAGATAACGACATGATACTGCACAGTACTGTACTATACTAACTGGAGAGATATATGGAATGTTATAGTTATGGTACAAAATTAGGCAACATTCTATTTGTTGCAATAGCATTTACTGCTTATCAGATGTAAGCAGAAATCCAAGTTGGACTGTGTCTCTACCTGGATAACAATTTGGCATCCCTAATGTATACTGTACTTTAAGCTTGGCTAGTTTCTATTCTAAATGTTCGAGCAGCGACAACAGGATACCTCATAATTTGGAATTTTATCACCTTCGCTATTGGACTATTTTAAATATTCTATTTTTGTATAAATTAGTGATATCGAATGCATTGAAGATCTTGAAGCGGAGCGTCAAAGAAAAAAAGACGACAAGAAAAAGCGTAAATTATTCAAGAAAATGAATGTTCCTAGATTGGAAATTACCGTCAAGTATATGAGAAAAGAAAAAAGAAAATTCAAAAAGCTGTTGAAAAAGAACAAGTCTGACACCACGCGTAAGAAATATTTTAAACTTGATTGTACAGTACTTACATACCGATGTAAAAGGGAAGAGAATGACTTTCTGATTGATAATACATAGGGCGTACACTAGAGAGATATTATAGTACTGTAACAGCTTGTTTATTACAATACTCTACCGCAATTTAAAAGCGTATCTCTGTATTAGTTAATTATTACTAGTAAAATTCAGGATTGCTGACTTTAACTTTGGATTATAATTACAGCCGAAGATTTTCCTGCATTCAAACCGATTGATGACTTTGGCGATATGGATTTAAGTGATCTAGTGCCAGATTTCAATTCTGTTTTTACATTGTTGTTGGAGAAAACTGAAAACATGAAGGTTACATAAAATGTTTATGTGATTATATAATGTAATTTATACTTGCACGAAAAGTCAGCTTAGTATTGATTGAATTGACCTTTAGCTGCTTGATTTGTCAGAAGGAATTTTGATGAATAGATTTTATACCGATTATTCTGTATTTACATCCTGAATATTTTTATCTGGACATTCTTAATCGCTAATACAAAATTATGACATTTTTATAGAATAAAAGTAGAAATACGTGTAAATTATAAAGATAATCGTATTTTTGATAATTACAACTGAATTAAGCAAAATATAAATCGAATTATTACGGATTCATTCTAGCTGTGGCAAGATTTTATTAATTTACCACAAGAAGAACAGGAAAGGATATTGAACAAGAATAAAGCAAAAAAGAAAACAAATTTCAAAGTTAAGGGCAAGCATAATCGAGAACCTCAAGGTGCTTTTGCAGTTGTAAAACATGATGAACTGTAGTTTCATTAAAAAATAGCATAAAACATGCACTTACTATTATATAACATGGTTAATACAGTTGATTGCGAGTAGAATATAATACTGTATTTTAGCTATATTATTTTCTAAAGTTTTGTCTATATCAATACTCTGAGTAAGCTATCTCTGAAGAATAAGTTTTGGTCCTTTACAGTTATTTTGGTATTTACTGTGTATTTGCGTGAATCGCTAATTATATTCACTTATAATCGCTATTACAATCATAATAGATGCAGACATGCATTTGGCCAAACTGCGTTACAATAGTATTGATCCAAATATTCGTAAAATTATCCAGACAAATGACTACATTCCTTGGGTAAGCGACACAAACGTCTATAGTTTTGTTTCCTTTTAATTGCTTTTTTCAGTGCCAGTCGATATCGTACAAACTTGTAAGCGTTACAATGAGGATGCTCGTTTCTATCCAAGTAATTGATATCTTTTTTTACTAATTTTTTTCTGCCCTAAGGATTTACTTAAAATTGTTGAGGAAGATGTCATATCTCCATTTTCCAAGGATTTTGATGGGATTTTGGTGATGATCATGGAAAATAGGTTTTTATTCAGTAAATAAATATTCATCAATAGCCTTTAGCAAAAATATAATAACTGCCTATTACTTTATAGCTTTGTTAGGCTCCTTATACACGGGCTGTGCCAGTATCATGAACTAAAATCCATCAGTAAGTTTCATTTTATGTAAATTTATGACGCAAGCGTTGGCACAGTATGTTAATGCCATGCCTACTATGGTAACATTTTTAACACAATAGGTGATAATTATAACGGCGTCCGTCATACAGTGGTAGAGTATACTGGTGAAAATTTTACGAGGTTCCCTGTAGCATTCTCGAGTTATCTGCATGAAATTTGTGCTCAAAATTAATTGTAGGCTAATTGGTACTATAATCCAATTGTCATCGGAAATATTTGCAGTATTGAATTTGATTGATACAAAATGGTTAAAAATTAACATCAGGTGTAAACGCTTTGCGTTTTGCTGTGATAAAGTCACGTAGAATGCATTTTATTCTTTTTGAGTGACTAAGAAAAAAGTTACTATTTCTATTGTGTGATAATATTTTACTCGTATATCTATTATTTCAGCTATTTTATTGTACTGTACATAGGCAAGAGATAATATTGTTTTAATTGCATGATTGGAAATATATCGGTATATAATGTTATTTTTTAATTTTCAGCACACAAATTGTAAGAAGCTATGCAATATATATATAGTATATATGTATATCAGTGTATAGTAATTTGTGCATTTCAAAAGCACTTTTAAGGATGCATTTGTGCGATATTTCATCATATAAAATAGCTATCATTGGTTAAAGCTCTGGTGAGCATTTAAGAAATGATAATAAACTTCAGTATTACAGTCATTGATGTCTGTAAGATGTAAAATTTTAACTTCTTAAGAATACAAGATTTGGTCCGTTATATTCGTTAGCAAAAGTAAAAATACTTAGCCCGATTAGCATACAGAGTAGATTTTATTACTGTAGTTTATTAACAGGGTAGATTGGATAATCTATTTGCTTGGTTCAATTCTTCGTATAACAGAAATTCTTCTACTACGTGGTATATGCACTCCTTTCCAATGCGATTCTTCATCCTTCAAGATTTCATGTGTATAGTCGTAACGTGCAGAATCTCTGCTCAATGTTAGATCCAGCACATAATATTCGTTAGTGTAGCAATAGCATGCATTGATCAACAGCAGAATCTATTTAAAGGACAATTAATCTACAATCGTATAAGACATGCGTTCTGTTACAGAACTTACTTCATTATGTACAATGATCTTCGTTGTAATAAAATGTCAACAGGAATATCATCTGGCTTCCCATCCAGCTTAAGTCTCATAATACTAGCCGATAGTAAACTAATACCAGCAATTGTCCTACCACAAAACTTGTATGACATTTTGAATAAATTAGTATCAGTAACTAACATCATTGCTAGTAATTCTATATAATATAGTAGTAAAATTATGATATTGTAGATATTTATTCTATAAAGTTACAGAGGTTAGATTTCAGATCCTAAATACTCATGTACTCTGGCGAGTTTTACCTTGATACTATCGACGTGTGCTTTAATGTAACTAAATTGGAAAAATTACAAAACACAATCATTTAGTATGCTTCAACAAAAAGCATGCAAACATAGTAGAAAGGTAAAAGTTTATTTTCCATTTTAATACCCATTTTCAGCCAGATCCAAGATATGCACAAAAGGCATGATTTGATCATTGCTATCAAATGCAGTTTCCCTAACTCGAGCGATTATACTATTACATTCAGAAGACCAATTTGTTTTTTCAGTTTCTCGAAAGCCATGAATTGCCTGCAAGCACAATCCATCAAAGTTAGCAATAGTTCAAATTACGTTCAACAATTGCATTGTATCGAATTTTACATTAAGTTGTACTGTGAATGTGGCATGTAGGCTTTATGCAACTGATAACAATGCAATAACAACTCTTAAACGTAAATAATAGTTCAATGGATATGAAACTCCATGAGTAAAGCTATCTGCAGCTACCTTATCATAAAAGGTGCTTATTACTTACATCATCCCAATGCGAATATTCATATTTTAGCCTTTTAAAGGCAGGCTGAATTTCACTAAATAACAACTCTTCCTCTTCTTGAGTGATAAAATCTTCAAGGACCAACATATCCTTTGCTAAATTCTTGGCTTTCGCTTCATCTTGGCTGTATAAATAATGCGGTAAATTTGTACCCAATGGACAAGTAATAGAATGTCGTCTCAATTGCATTAATCCTTTGGTTGCTTCCCTTGTAGCAAAAGCAGCTAACCCATAAGGGCGACATGATGGTAGTCGGTTGATCATGAATTTAATGAATGCCATTTGCAATTATTGATATTGGTACTGTACACTGTACAGTAATCAAATTACAGTTGGTTATTGATTGTTTACACTATTCTTGCTGTCACAGCAAATTGATTTTCAACCTCCATTAATATCTGAACGTTAATTGCAATATAAAAAAAGCAGGTAAGCAAATGATGTTGCTTTAATTTTGACTAGAGTTAGCCGAGCAGTTCGACTCCGCTCTCAGGACTAACTTCAACTCTACTGTATGATTTAGGTCCTAGCAAAGTGGTACCAGTATAGCAACTTTAGGACCACTTACAGACTGGATGTCTTGATTCCGTCCGTACAGTATACCCAGTAGGGTAAGTATGGGCTGTTTAACTACTGAAACAGCGCTTTTATGCAAGTCTTTTATTATCACGTTAGGGTATCATAACGCTACAAGTTGCGAGGCTACCGTGTATAAATGGCACAAGTGCTGGATCACTTGTCGTTTTTCAGTGAAAAGTCAGTAAAATAATGATTGGGTTATGGTGAAAAGTAAACTATTGCATTTTAGAGGTCCTACTTTAGTGCTCAAGGACTACACTAAGGGAAGCATAAAAGTACTCCAAAGTATCATAAACAGGATAGAGATATAAGAATCTTGATAGAACTACAACTGTAATACTATAAATCCACTCAATTGACGTTATAAGTATACAATTTCTAGTAGTCTATGACTGTACTCAGGAGCAAGACGGATTATACTGTATTGTAGTCTAGAGAAGGTTTTCGACGGAGCGGCATGTAACTTCTACTTGCTGCAGTACATTTTGATCCATATCATAAACGCAGTAAGATCATTCTAAAGTTGATACAACATATCAATCAATTTATCCGATATTATTCAGACATATTTAGCCGTCTAAAGTAGTGAAGTGTGACGATTGCCATATTCTGAAAACATGGGAGAAAAGAGGTATGAAATGAAAACTGCACAATTTTTAGTCATACAATCCATTGGTTGCTATGATACGGCAAGCTAGTAACCACTTCTTGAAATGATGACATTGCTGCTCAAGTGTTTACGTGTCATGGAGTGATATAGATTAGTATATCATCAAATACGTAATGGCTACTTAGTCCAGGACTATAATTGTAGATGTGATGCATTAGCGACTGCTTCGACGGCTTCCGTCGTTGTATAACGATAAATCCGTGAAACAATCATACATACTCTTAACATAAATTTGTACGATATGTTATTATGTTATGATACATTATTTTCCGAATCGGCTACCACTGCTGATATTAAATAAAGAAATAAGAGCAATAGCAGACTAAGAAGGAGTAATTTCTACCTAAAGTTACTTGAAATGTGCGTATCTTTTTCTTATCCCTTATACATTACTAATTATACATATAATTGTGATACTGTATTACGAAGACGCAACGTATACCGTAGATTCGATAAGAAAAAAAGCGCATCTACTTGCTATGTAATACAACTTAGGACAGCGTAACTATTCAACTAAATGAAATAAAAATCAATGATATTTAAAGTTTCATGCAACATAGAGTACGTATGTCATGATGATACCACGTAAAGTAATGCATTACATGTTATCTTTGCAAAAGTGAAAAATCGTTATGGGATATTGCGATATTAGAAAGAAATCGTGCAGAGCAAGAAAATAAAGAATGTAAGTCTTACTACCTGAAATCTATATATTTATCTACAAAATATCTTGATTATAATGATCATAGCAACATAATACCAATCGCAATTGTTAGACATGCTTTAAGCTAATCCGTCAATATCATTTATAATCTTTAAAGTGATTGATGGAAATAATGTTGGTAGCGATGGGACCAACGTTTTCTTTCTTGGAAGTAAAAATTCAGTAAGTCAAATATTTATACGTTCTGCTCACTAAAATAATCATATTATTAGAAAATGATGCAATAATCATGCCATGGTTACTTCGCGCTTAGGGAAAGTCTTCAATAATTATGAGATTTCTGGACAGGTAACACCCTACTATAAAGACATTCTTTTCTAAAGAATATCGAGATATATGTACGCGTATACAACGATTTCAAAATGTATACGTAAGATAATAATAGTATATAATTTATATATTTTTCTTAGAGATGAGAATCCCAAACCTACTGTTGCTTTGGAATATCTGTTTGGAAGGAGAGCCAGAGGTGCTAACACGGTATGTAACCTATCAATAACAAACAGAACTCTTGCATTTAAAATATGAATGTTTAATTTCCCTTCACGTTAAACGATATTCAAGGTTAAAGACGTGACTCATATTTGGGAGCTTGGAGGAGGCACATTTCTAACGAAACTAATCGACACAGTTATTACGCCACGTACGATCAGGTTTGCGAGAAGGATAATGAATTCTCGAATGAAAAAGTTGAATGCATTCTGATTGCCTTGACTAAAATTACTAAAATCTTAATAATACGCAAAAATAAAATTAAATTACTCTTTGATAAAGGTATGACTAGTAGTGTAAGAGTTATTAGTTATTAACTGATTGCAAACGTATAAAATAAAACATTTTATATTCATAAGTTAATGGAAGCATCATTATATCTTGGAATTAAATTCAGTATTCCTCTCATCAACACCGACAATAGTTAATAATTATATAATACATTCAGTATTTCGTAGTATTAATAGTATGGACTTGAACCAGTCGCGATTACTTTCAGCTGTACTACTTACTATTTTTACTACCTTCGAGACGAAGTTATTTTATTTTCTAATCTTATTAAAGATAAAAAGATAAATTCTCCTGTAATGTCTTCTTGTAGATCAATATCTATAGTCATTGTGATAGATCTATCGAAGCCCAATGAATTATGGACAACATTAGAAATTCTTTTGAATCAGGCAAAATTCTCTTACTGCTGGTTTATTCATATTTGAATGGAACTAAAAGCTGATAAATTGTTTTCTAAAAATTTCATTAGCTTAAAAATAGGATTAACCAAGTTGTAAATGAAGTAGCTGGCAAGGACAAAAGGTTAAATTTTGCTTGTATAGTGTTTTAATTTTATTGCATATTTTCATACCCATCATGAAACACTTTTAAGCAAAAGGTTACAATCCTATCAATACATTGAAGTCACTATTTTGATTAAACACCCTATATCATTTACTTTATAGCAATTATAATAATTGACGAAATTTAGATAATAAAGTCCTTCATTGTGGGTGCAATATATGTATGAGCTCTGCCTAATAGTGGTAATGTCAAGTCGAATAATTTAAGTTTACAACTTTTCCTATCTTTTAGTTGTAAAAATTCAATTCCAATTTTACGTCAACAACATAACTTCAGCTATCAGCTTGTATAAGCTTAGATTATGTCAACTACGACAATAGAGACAAGAAATTTTGTATTTCTCTTGTATAACTAGTAGATAGCGTAGGCGCTTTCAGTGCCGTATAAAAGTTTCGATGCTTAGTTAGCATTTACGTCAATCTGGTCTAGAATGCGGTGCACGTATTGTCGTTTTTTCATGTCTGTGTGATGCAGAAGCATCAACTTAAGGGCACTTGTATGACCACTACAACAATATACACATAATGAAGCATATTTTTGAATTGAAATTTCACTAATTTACTAACATCTTGTTTTATGTAGCATTCACGAATTTTTAAAGCAGCAATTAAATAGGAGAATTAATGAAGATCATCCGGTAGGTTTTGTCATCATTTTATGAATTTAGGATGGGTATTGGTATACCAAATATAATTCTCGTATATCTATATAATATTTAATATTTAATCATAAAATACACCCGAACTTAGTATTTTTGACGGTGTTGTCTGATAGAAAATAATAGTGGAAACTTTAATTTTCGCTAGATTATCTTTCGTAATCTTATGCGTCTGGATGTAATTGTCACTTCCAATGTCGATATTGCTCTCTAAAATTATTGGATTTTTTATCCCAAACATCTATTTCCATTATCCGATTTATAAAACTGCATCAATTTAAAAGTACTCTGCCAATACAGATAATAAGAAAAATGATAATGTTGTATTGGTGATATTTCTTTAGGATAAATCACTCATGGAGCCACTTTTAGTTCCGCTCGTTATTGTTGGCAGCAAATATGATATATATCAGGTACATTGAATTAATTATCATAGCTGAGTTATCACCGATACTGTTGATTGCTTAAATATTAAAGACTCGTGCTCTAACTGAGTAGTATTATTAACTAAATCGTAATTAGTTTTAAATTTTTAAAATGAAATTTTTATATTAGGATTTTGATCCAGAAAAGAGAAAGATAATATCCAAGACATTACGATTCATAGCTCATACCTATGGAGCCACATTGCAAGTAAGATTATATCATTCAAAAACGTATGTGTGAAATATTTTCTTTCTATATAATTATGAATAGACTCTGCTTTTATATTTGGCCAGTTTTTCAGTACAAAAAATGAATCATTAGTAGCACGTGCTCGTCAGTTAATTGGTAATTTGGCATTCCATTTTCCACCAAGGTAGTTTCAACTATGCTTCTCATCCTAACTTATCATACTCATCTCCATAACTCTTCCTATTACCTATTGTTAAATATTATAGCAAAACTAATGCAACAGATCATAATAAACCAATTATCGTGCCTGCAGGAACCGATTTATTCTCTCAAATTGGTATTGTAAATAGACGGTTAACATTAATAGCGAAGTCTACTCTTGATTAACTATTTAATATCGATTCTAGGAGCGCCACCACTCTCTGATGAGCAATTAGGAAAAATTAGCGCTCGGTTAGTATATAAATTAGGGCTATAATTATTCAAAGCAATCTATAATCATAATTTAATCGAAAAGTATACCTAACCATTGCAAAGTAGACAAATTAATAGAACATAATTAAAAATTTTTAAGACGGCCTATGGATCTATGGAAAAGTGCATTCTGCCAATATTTTCCTCAAGAAGCAAGTACTAATTCTAATACAAATAAAAATCCTGCTGCTGATTCCCAATATACAGAATCCCCTATCGATAATATGAGAATTCAAAAGGATAAGGTAATAAATAGCATCAAATAGTGTATTAGATTTACTAATGGACATTAACTGTGGAAATTTTATTACATTACATTAAATAGCATTGCGAATACATTATATCAATTACATTGATGCTAACTGACGTATTAGCTAGAAGGTAAATAGCTTATTAGTGTGATTATTGATAAATCAATATCAAATCCATGTGGTATCGTTACACATCCCATATTTATTTACCTGTTTGAAATAGATTTCGTAATGCAGAAGAGAGAGAGAGAGTTAAAATTACAATTTTAGTTGTTACTAATAGTATAATATAGCGGATCAAAGCTTATTTTTAAGCTATAGTTTCTGCTAACCTGACTCTACTGAACATACACGTATTTACATTTGAGCGAAAATATAGTTAAATATAATGACATAATAACGATTTTCTCATTACGATGTACAGTAAAAATATGTTACGAGTTATTCATAACAGTTACTATGCTATCGTTCTTTATCAAAATTTTTGAATACTCTTAAAGGAACTAGAACAGTATCGCCGTCAATCAGAGCGAAAAGCAAAAGAGCGCAAAATGGCTCGAGAAGCTGACATTGTAACTTCCACGCGTGGCGGGGTACGATAGTTTCTTAAATTTGGCTGATAAACGACTTATCGTGACATAACACCGACTCACGAAATATGAATATGCACAGTATCGAGTTGACTGTTAATAAATTCCCAATTTATAAACATAGGCAGTAGTTAGTGCCCACATACTCTATTCTTTGCTTTTGCTATAAATCGAATGTGAAACTATTTCAGTAAAGTGTAGACACAGATTTTAAGCTAAAAAAGGCCAGCGTATATAATCATTGAAGATCGATTAATTGTGAATGAGTAGATAAGTGTCTTATAGTTCCTTGCTATTGTTCTGAACACCGTATTTGCTTACTATTTCAAATACTCATTACGGAGATTGTCGTTACCGTCAACAAAATATTGTAAGCGATAAATCCTTACTAATGTGATTACTAACGTTGCTTTAGCATTATCCTGATAAGGAAGACCAATTTTTTGGACAAATTATGCTTCGCTATGTTCAGGATCGAACTTTAATCATTGTTATTGCATAGTCATACATTAGCAAGATTCTTATGCTCTTTTAAGAAGATCCAATATTAGATTCACCGTAGCAGCTTTTTTGACAACGAAACTAAACAATTTTAGAGACTCTAGTGAAACGTGTCTTTATTTCGATGTATAGATATAGCGTACTTATCTTCTACGTAGTTATTATTAAGATGCAAACTCAGCTATATAAATATGTGTAAATACAGATTTTGGTAGGGCTTGTTAGAATTATATCAACACTGAATATAAATTCTATGTATAATATGTTCGCATAAAGTCATCTTTCACTATTTATCAATCAAATATCAATTAATTGATAAATTGCAATAACGAAAGTATCGTCCATAGCAAATTCTTCCTTCGTTATTAACAGTGGAGAACAAACATTACCTTTGGTTTCTTATCGAATTATTTGACTGTATTACCTATAAAGTTCCACAAGTTATCAATGTCTCGATAACAAATATAGAGCAATATCTCCATTATTTATAAATAATGAACTTAATAAATAATTAATTGCTGGGAGCCAATCTTGATAAGCGAATCAGGGTGTGCATAAATCCATCGGCCTCTTTTGGTGTCAAATTATCTAGAATTGAATATAGCTGTATGATTGCTTCCTTGGGGTTTATTGATGATGGGTGTATACCTGAGATTACATTATATAAAATAGATCATTTAGCAGTGTGAACTCGAAATAATAAATTGCTCTGTGATTACCTTTACAAATTTTCCTGATTATTTTAATGCTGTCTTCATTTAAAGTAGCAAACTGACTTTCAGAATCCTTCGTACCACTTGCCATTAAGGAGTTAGGGCCAAGATCATCTAAGATGAAATAACGATATTTAAGGAATTAAGTTTATAAGTGCATTATATCTCTAACTTCAGTAAAGAGGAAAACCACCCATACTAAATTGTCTGAAAGACTCGTCTTCAGTTTCGAGTAATTTCTTTAATATTATCTGGAAATCAAAATAAGTATATGATAAATGAAATAGACTAAATCAAGGGAATCTCTAAATATAGCAAACAATCGCAATTTTAGTAAAGTTTAGCTTGTAGTAAACTGTATACCGAAGCTTTGTCAACAATGGCTGTAGGCATACCAGCTTGCATAGCAACTTCAATTCCGAGAGACTGTTTACAATAACCGGGCTGCATAGAACGCAAGAATGACATTTCTTACTTTACCGTGACCGAAATTAGGAATTAGCGTCATAACCCTCAAATTTTTAGCGCTGTTATAAATAAATCTTACTCTACTTTCGCTTACAAATATTTTATACAAATACATAATAGCACCATCTGAATTTTTCTTAGCTGAAACTTGATATGATGAAGCTGATTTCAAAGTTGTGGCTAATTTGCCTAGCTGATGATAGTGAGTTGCACATAGTGTTCGACAACGTATTACTTCATGAAAGTATTCCAAAATAGCTTGAGCAACAGATATTCCATCTAGGGTTGAAGTACCTCTCCCTATCAAAACATTTTATATGCATGAGTTTTAGTATAAATTGAGGACGAAATAATGCTGTGTATAAATCAAAAAAGGCATTTAACCAATTTCATCGAGTACTACAAATGAATTTGGCGTAGCATGTGAAAGTATATAGGCCGATTCCGTCATCTCGACCATAAAAGTTGATCTATGTTGCGCAATGTTATCGCAGGCACCAACGCGAGCAAAAATTCGATCAACAATTCCTAAAGATATAGTTGTATTAATAATGCTATCAAGTTTAATTCATTTTCTATATACCAAGCAATATAGTACCAATTTTAGCTGATTGAGCTGGTACAAAACTACCCATCTGTAAAAGTAAAAGGCTCATTCAGTTGTTCATGTTGAACAATGATCCTCGGAGAATTAAACAAGATTATACGAGTATAAGCAACTAGAAAGCTAATAAACCTGTGCCATAATAGCGATTAAGGCATTCTGCCTAAGAAAAGTACTTTTTCCTAGAATCAATGATTATACAGTATAATTGATTGATAGTAAATTAGTACATTTATACTATCACAAGCTGCATTTAATTTTTCCTGTTATCAGTATCAGAATAGAATATCGTTGTAAGTGATAGTTTTACCTGCCATATTTGGCCCAGTTATAATCCAAACATTTTTCTCGTTCAAATTGCAGTTGTTACTTACGCACATTTCTAGTTTATACGCGTAAATAGCAGAAAAATAATAGTATACATGCGATTATTTATAAGCAGCATTATTATTAATTATGCAGTTGTAATGAGATTTATGTCTTCAAGTTATCCAGAAATATAGGATAGTAATGCTGTACTACGTACAGCTATTGAGAAGAGAAATTAAAAGATATTCTTTTTGCAAAATAATTGAAATACTGTACATATATTGTAGCAATTTAACTGTCATAGATTTCATTTCTTCAAATGATTTAAAAGCTAAATAAGTTACCGCTGTAATATGCATCAATAATAGGATGTCTTCCGTTCTTAATATCGAAAGTAGTATCTTCAGTAATCAGTGGCCTGCAATACCCCTGCAAGAATTACATATAGAAATACCAGCATGTGTATTTTCATGCATGAATACTAAGTATACACTGTAATACTAGAAATCTGTTAAAAGTAAAAAGTTCATGATATACCCTTTCATGTGCTCCAATACCCAATGCACAAGCAACATCTAATTCTGCGAGTGTTTGACCAGTAACGGTTAATTCATCTACTAGTGGTATGATCTGCAAGGTAATAAAACACAGTACAGCAATATTTTAGCTGTCATCTTTGGTCGCTTTACTGGTGAATCAAATAAAGGTACCTTTGCTCGAAGATCAGTGAAAAGTTTTTGTTGCAATTCAATCTGACGTCGATGAAGTTGTAACCACTCAGTATTTAGTTCTTCTAACTCAGGGATGCTAGCATAATAGCATAATTACATAGTAATCCTGATATTTACGTTATCTATACAAATTCAATCTTATCGATACGCGCATAAGAAAATATCTTGAAGCAGTTTAATGTACCTAAATTCAATTTTTTTACTACTACCGGACGTACCAGCGTCGATACTAAATAAAAGAACAGGGTATTAAATTAAAGATGTAAGTAAGGTATAGCAATAAATTTTATAAAATGTTAAAATTCATTATATAATTTATGACGTAATATAACCAATAAGTAGGAATGAAAACGATAAGTCTTACACGAAATATCCATGATGATTACTAATTTTGTTAGCAGCTGGCGAACTAATACAGAATGATCGATGGAAGTCTCTGCTAGTCAACAGATCCAAGCGGGGAAGGCCAAACTGATTGCTAAGTTGCATTCTCAAATTGTTGGCCTGATGATCATTGTTCGCTTTAAGTAATTCAATTTCATCGGCCTCAGCACAGTATCCTTAATGAAGGTAAGTATGATACGTTTTAATTAACAAAAATAACCTTGTTTACTGAGGAAATTTCCTTAAAGTATTATCTTTACCTTTGGCAAATAATCCATTGTCTGTAGCGTTCATTACCGAACGAATAAGCTTTTCTTTTAAATCGATAAAGTTTCCTAGATCTAGTAAATTACAAAGTCAGTTTTAAATTTACGACGGATACGATGAGTTTGTGCTGATAGATTTTCTTGTAGTAAGTACGTTTATACGGAAATCGTATATCATTCTATTAAATATTAATTTTATTTCGATCTTTTGGCATTTTTACCTTCGGCTACGGCTAAAACATCACTTGCAGATATTCTATTTCTGAGTATATCCTTGATATCATCTTAGCAACGATGGATTGAAGGTAAGCTAACGTTATATTTTCTGTTACACTTCAATGTTATTCAGTAAAACATGTTTACTTGCAGATTTAATTAACTTACCCGAAATAATTAGTATCTTCATTAACTCACGTAAAGTATCGATACTGCCTAAGTTCATCGAAATCTGGAATTTAAAATTTCGATATTGATCTGGTCATGTCAAGCTCTTTTTCAACCTTTAATATTTACTTAGTTCAAAATATACAGAAAAGGAGCACTGATAATAGTAATTAATTATTACCGTGCGTAGAAGAACATCCATGTTGTGGCACCCTTGCATACATTTATGAATATCAGTTGCGCAGCCTGGATTAGTAGCAAATATCGATACAAAATCCAAGCGGCGCTGAATCTCATTTACATTCGTAGAAGGTGCAGTAACACGCGCAGTTAAGATTTTTCGTCCAGCGCTGGTCACTGTTCTATCCAAAACATTAACTAACGTACCTTTGGAGACTGTGGGAACGGCACCAAACATTGTTCTAAAAAGTAGAGTAGAAAATTTGTCGGTTAAGGTGTAAAATGATCACATTGAACCGTATCGATCAGAATGTCTATCAAAATCGTAATAAAACACTTGAAGTATTTAAGATTACGTTGTTAGCTCCAACGATTTTCTAGTCGTGGGATCAATTAACATATGTTCATCTTGTTTAAATTTAAGTGGTTTTAAAGTTTCAAGTAAAAGATGCTCATCGATGTAATCCAGATATTGCATTAAAACCCGACAAGCTTCAAATTCTAGCTGAGATGGTTTGACCTTACGCATGGCGCAAAGAATTTGTGCATATTCTAAAAAGACAGTTACATTAGTTCTTGCACCAATCTATTAAATTACGAAATAGGCTAAAGATTACTTCGTTTAATATGTCTTGTAGAAGCTTCATCAGCGACATCGACAGAGGTAATGCAAATATTTTGAAATAACTTGGCAATTAATTTGATTTTTACAGCCAAAGAACGATGAAGATATCCTTGTTCGCATTGATTAATTAATTCTTGCATTTGTTTCGATATTAAAACCTACCAGTAAATACATGGCAAAAGAAATGATAATGTGCTCATCTTTTAATCACTGTATAAACAATAGTAGCGATGATGACAAACTTCAGATGGGTTAATGCGTCCAAGGTCTGCGGACAAGTTGGTTAAGGTTGATGATGTAAACTGAATCGATGATGGATAACTAATTAATTAACAGCTTTTTCTCGGTTTTTCCTTATATTAATATTAGCTTGAATATAAATTTAACTATCCATATTTAACATATTAATAAATACCTGAAAGTCTTGAGCTGCAACATCGATCCAGCTTAATCCTAAAGTTTCTTCAGGGCCATCAACAATGGAGAGCAAGTAATTGCTAGTATCGATGCTGGAGTTGTATTCTGCGAAAGTGTAAGTGCCAGGTGTGAAAATTTTGGTTACCTTGCGCTCTCTCAGATTGGCCGAGGTTGTACTCCTACAAACATATACGTAATTTTAACAAAGATGTTTGTTAACAGTTACCGACATTATTCATTCACAGGTCATTTTTTTGGTCACTATTCAGTTTAAATAGTTATATTATCACGCTATAATCATTTCGCTGCAAATATGTTCGATTATGCAAGTTGACACATACCTTGTAGTTTGCTCATTACAAATGGCGATTTTGACCTTCTCCCTGCAAAGTGTCTTGACAACATCATCAACTTGGTGCTTTGGAAAGCGCACTCGAAGTAACGCGGACGTTGATTCCATGTTATTAGCAGTGTCAAGTAATGGAAGTGTAGACTTGCTGGCAACAATATCAGCATCTTTATCATACACTTCATAGGCTTCACCAATTTGAAATATTAAGACAAAATCTTGGTAGCTTTGTTTAATATCTCTGTATTGCTTTAATAATTGTGGTCTTTTCATTGTCGACACCGTAGGCTTAAATTTGACTGCTGTTGAGGCAGTTAAAATTTTATCAGTATAGCGAGAGCAATTAAAACGACGTTGTGAGGATAAAATGAATTGCGGCCAGTTTTTACTAGTGGAAGGCCATGTCGCTTTTCTTGCTAGACAGCGTAGGAGCATTTTAGTTGCTTCACCCAAAGAATTGAATATTTCCTACTTGAGGCGTATACTGTGTATCTACTGTACTACAAGTAATGAAAAGTTTTAGGATAGACTAGCAGCAAGCAGTTCAACGATGGAAAGCCTAAAGATGTAAAGACAATTATACAAAGTTTCTTCTAAAAGCGTGATTAAATTGCAATAGAATGCCCAGAAAATGTACAGATAGTTATGCAACTTATGCAAACTCTCGAGAAAAGGTGCGAATCAGTTGCATGACACATACTGTATAGCTCAGCTCGTCTTACGTACTGTACTGTATACTGTAATTCGTAGATAATAGCTAATCATTATTGACAAGAAAACCTCCAGGGTAGTAGCAGACTAGCAGGTACTATATAATTAATACATGCTCTTATTACATTGCATAGAATTTGTGTCCAAATTAGTTCCACTCGAATGTATTACTTTTACATTGCACCTGATCAGTGAAGAACGACCATTTGCAGGTAGAATTTGCACCAAAGTCAGCTTCTCAGGGCCAGTAGGAAAAAGAGTAGAATTTGAGACTTGTCTATGTTAATAATAATAGATCAGAGAATCCATACCATTAATTGGAATATGAAAATGTAAGTTGATATCATCGAACTATAAGTAATAACGGATCTGCTACCGTAACCTGAGGCAACTTGCTGGCATTTTGCTCATTAGCTGCTGAGCTCAATGCAGTTGAGTTTCCAGCTTTGTTCAGCTCCTTCAGCATAGTCCGCGATCTGTCCTTCTGTGATTACTAAGCCTGAACTAGGGAAAATAGAATATCAGCTATTTTTGTAGATCTGCCTTGGAGGGTAGTATATTTTTGTTTTATTGGTTGTTTTTAGCACCTGGTTATGATTGAGGTCTTCAACTTTTTGCTTTGAAGTTGTACAGTACAGTACTGTGCTGCAAGTTTAACGGGCGTTCGCATGCTCAATATTACTCATGGCTGTCATCAGATACTTTTGCAAAAGTAAATACACTTTCTCCATAAGATATACACCTCGATTAGTCCACTGCTGCAGCACTGCGAATGACTGCAAATAGATGAATCAGTCGTGATGATTCAGCATGCACATATAATAAATATATAATGGCAGTAATTTACAGTACAGTAATTGGATTGCATCGCAATGATATCATGGTGCTATCAGATGCCAGTAAATCTGCAAGGATTTCAAACAAACTCAACAGTGATGGTCGTATACTCTTGTCTGCATACTACAGTGTGCACTGTCAGGAAGCATAGAGAAATAAATTTCAATCAGTATGGTCTTTCAATTTTTTTCAGTATTAATTGTAGTCTTGTAGATCAACGATCTCATTGCAAATCCTAGTCGAATTTTTTGTTCTGCTGTTGGTGCAGTCTACAGTATGTTGTAGGCAACTTGTAGCTGTAGCTGCGCTGTGGTTAAAACGCTAACCACAGCGATAGAAGGCAAGTCATGATGGCATGAGCTGCTTTAAAATCCTACCTTCAACTTCACAGATTACAGCATAACCATGGACTCATAGAAATTACTACAGTGATTTTAGTAGTCCATGATACGACAAAAAAAATTACAAATGAAGGTCCCTTCTTAACATAAAGTGAGAAGATGGACTGATCTTAATCGTTGAAGTAGGAATAGTAACTGACAATCAGCCAAAGCACAGAAATAGCGATTTACGCGTGCTGTACACTATAAGGATTACTGTACTGTACTGTACTGTACACTATAAGGATTACTGTACTATACTGTACTATACACTTTGCACAGTACAGTACATTGTAAGTTAACCACAGTATCTGATACTGTAGATTACAGTACGCTGTACTGTAATTATGAAGTGATGATCGTGATTGGTGGATTGTCTATACCCCTGTACCGCTGAACGGTACAGTACTTCAGTCCGTCCGGTCTGGAAGAACTACAGTACTGTACAGTACAGCAAAACGTGATTCACTGTACTGTACTGTACACTGTAGCCAACACTCGCGTCGGTAACAGTCTGTTGTACCCTTTTTCAGACTACGACACTACTGGAGAGAGAGAGAGAAAAAATGGCTGACAATAAACCCTGCTATCCTAATAAAAGTACGATGATATTTTAAGCATTATTCCACGCCTGTCATGATAGTTGAAGTCGGGCAGTTTATCAACCAATACTGAACTCTATGATAAATTATTTCTTATTGATAGAAATGCAAGTTACGGCCCAGGAAATGGAAGATGCAAAAGTTCCATTGCACCGTCGTGACTTTTGCGCTCATGTTTATATCCCTCTGATGAAATGCAGGAAAGAAAACTATTACCTACCTTGGAGATGTCAACATGAACGACATGCTTGGCATGAATGCGAATATGAAGAGTAAGTACTTTTCAATACAATATGTCGGATGACATAAAATGAAAATTAGCTTTTCAACCGACAAGACTTTTGCTTAACTTATCCGATACAAGATCGATATGATGGTGACCGACTCACGCATTAGTGCAATCTGTTCAGTCGTTAATGTTGATTGAAATTGATATTGTTGCCATCAGTCAACTAGTATCTTGAAAGACTGATTACTGTTGCTATTATATACGTACTATGGATGTAAAGAGATAATTAAAAGATAGATAAAACTCGTGTTCAATACAATTCTCTGATATGCAATATTATTCTATCATGACAGTTTTATGGGTAGAGTTAAAGAAAACGAGAGATTGAAGAAACTTGCAGGATTGAAAAATTAAAAAAATTGTTATAGCCTATTACTATTGGTCTTACCATCCAGCAACATTACGTAATACATGATCCTAGAATTGCATATCCATGGCCTACTCACTTTTAAAGGATCTTTTATGGAAAACTTTTATTTTAAGTATGGTTCTGACCTGAATAACCGTTTCTGTAATATATTTTCGCTCTAATTTCCATGAACATTGTTATCAACTTGATGCAAGTTATATCGATAACTAATAAACTGGCTTTGCTTTGAAGTTCGTTCTTTACTGATGTCTTTTACCTATAGCATTCGTGCCTACTACAGTACAGTATAACGTACTGTACATCAGTCAGACCATTCGATAGCAACACTTATACTCGGGTAATACGCGAAATATACCAAACTTAACGTATTAGAATCGAACAACGAATCCCCAAATATCCGTTTTGTAATCACAAATAATTTCCTCTTACGCCTAGCTCTCCTTGTCTACCTACTTACTCATATGTATGACATACATACAGTACACTCACGTACAGTATATTAGTAAATAGATAAGCTATCGAGTATTCAAGTCATCAGCCAAATTTTCCAAAGGTAAGGTATCTAGAAAATCAATCAGCCATCGATATCAGCATTACAAATTCAATAATAATTGTATAATATCAAATAAGCGGAATTCTGGTGCTACACATAATACAAGGTAATGTCTATGAAACTATTAATAAATCTACAGTATGACCAAGAATTCGTATTCATTTCTTCTACTCCAATACCGACGGTGTATTCTGTAATTAAGATCTGCCGTACATCATAGCTTAGTACGTATCATACATTAGTAATATTTTCAATCTATCAGTTCAATCCACAAGCTATTCCTCAAAAACCTATGGTATAATAATGTTTATTGATCCTGATCATTTTCGTATTATTAATGGTAAATAATTATTTTCGATCACTCCATCCATGGCGAGATGCAATATCAACTTATTCTAACGAAAAGTGAGCGTAGCTTAATTAAAATATAAATAGAACAGCATTTTAAGATATAATTTGCTACACATTAACAATAAGTTGAAAAATTTAACCCAAATTTTAAATAGTGTTATATAATACAGACATCCATAATCCCAAAAATTCATTTGTGATAATATGCATAATCGAAATAATTTCTTAATAGCTACAATCAATCAGTAGTTACCGAATAATATTGAAGTAATCTACGATGCTGTATACACATTATAAAAGTAGTGATATAATTTCAGATTATAATTAATCAACGGTTAATTTCCATATAATATAATAATGTTGCTTAGTATCAGTTAGTGATTTTATATGTATGCCGTATATAATATCTTAAGCACAACCGTGCATGGATCAAACATATCAAATAAATTATAACATTCCTGCTGAAGATCTCTTCTAAATATTTCGCTAGGATATTTCTTAGACACGGTAAATATTGCACTTGGTTATCATGACGGCCGAAGTCAATGTTGTGCTAGGCAACAACTTGAAGAAACACTGTAGTGATGTGATAATCAGCAATATTAATCATATATGCTATTATGGGTATATCCATATCATTAAAATCATAACGAGGTTAACAAATCGTAATAGCTTATAATGAATCCACCAAGTAAGGTCATATGCATATACAAAATTTCTTACACATCATTAATATACACGAAAAAGTAACTCAATGCAGCTAGTTATAGAAGAGCCGGTTTGATGTAACAGCGGAATTAAACATTCATCAAATTGTTCAATAAGTTCTTCTGGCAGTGGCTGTCCTCGGTACCCAGCCTTGTATTCCGTATGCTATCAAAAGTTAAAAATAAACCAGGTGGCATAGCGTTAGTATTTAATTGCCATTTTTAAATTATAACTTATAACCACGATATTCAAGTATATCGACTTGTCATTACCGTTTCACCATCAAGCGTCACTCTTACAGCGAATTCTCTGATGCTCTTTGCAACAAATAATTCCTCTGATGGTTCTAGAGCTGAATGTATAGCTTGCGCCAACATCTCAGCAAATGTTGTAGCAATTTCAGCATGACCTCCACTCCCACTATCCAGATAAAACAATTTAGTCCAGCGTAGAGCAGCTTTGGTTTTCGATTTCTTTTTATTTAGAACTGGTTCATAAATATCGAGACTTTTAATCCCAGCCAGCGACATGCCATCAACATGACTTATTACGCTACAAAATTTACATAAACGATCATTCAGAAAAACGACGCATAAAATCGAAAATACACCTATCGCTTACCCTAAATTTGCGGTACAATCACTCGGTGTCCACTTGATAACAACCAAATCATCTTCTGTTGTTAAAGGTGCTTCATCATTTGTTGCTATATGTCCCTCCACTGTACAATCTGTCATATTGCTAATAGCATCTCTTATGCAACGGTTAGCATCCGTATTTAATTGCATCATTATACCATCTGCAACAGTAAAGATTTTTTGTTAATGTTATTTGTTGAATATATTGCAAATTACTAAATTTGTTATTAAAATACTATTACACTAGAATAGAGTTACAAAATTAATACTAGGCATCAACCTTCTACGATTGTAGTTTTGATCCTCGAAGAGCTATCAGATTTTAAGGAACAGTTCAGTACGATAAAATTGGCTCCAATCGCTATTATTAAAAGAAAAGGTTAAATTAAGATTCAAGCTATCAAAAATGGAGTGATACGGTAGTTAATTGCAATTAGTTACAATGAATCTTACTATTTCTGTCATATCCAGGTCTTGACATAATCTGAGCTTTATAGGCTCCATCCGTTTGCGTACATACCAGTACAGAGTCAGCCAATGGACTGAAGTTTGCTCCAAAGGCTAAGACCCTTTCATCGCTTTTACTCAAGACTTTCAATATCTATAATTATACATGATATAGAATTTTTAGAAACATTGTCTCTGTGCTAGTATTTACTTTGCAAAGTAGAGACCTTATCATGTTGGTCCATGGCCATTGTAATTGTAACTTTACGCTTTTCTAAATGCACAATAAGTCCTGGTATGCGCTCCAATGTGTACTGTCCAGAGTCGAAATCCTAATAGAACATGAATATGCACCTGACTATTTAATATTTACGAACCCATGATATATTTCAAAGAGTTTTAATAAGCCAATATCATTCTTACGATTAGTAATCGCATTATGGTATGACCAATTTCAGAGAAGAGGGCTTGACGATCTCGATAACTCCAGATCGGATAAGGATATTCTACCACGTACAAGTTTACATTATATTATAAACTTCGAAATCATTTTAACATTTAAATCGTTATTAGTGCGTTATTCGATCCCTATCTATAACAACGGTCTAATCTTTTGGGTACTGTACTAAGCAAAGCTTTACCTTTGTAATAGTTCCCGAGACCTACTAAAAGTCGGAGAGGGAAAGCCCTAGCCCATACCAGTTCATTACGATGAATAAGTAGTCCAAATAGGTAGGGTGATTTGGGAATAACTAAATTGATGAGTGGCTAAATAAAAACATCTTCAATTGAGTAGGCAGTTTGCAGAGTTGAAAAAATTGTTAAATCTAAATCACTGTGGCTACCTGGCCGGCATGTTCAATGAAAAGACATGCGCTTATATCACTATGACCAAGATGAGGGGAAGTAAAGGTTGTGTAGTCCATATTTCGGACATGTACGCCTACAATATTAATTTGTGCAAATAGTATTCAGCTTAATTTTTCGAATACAATCCCAATTTAGATGCATACCTTGCTTGGCCTGTCTATATATCACTTTAAAAAATTTTAACATGCCACGAGGAACAACATCGTCAGTACTTAATCGTTCCAAAACAATTACCTAACCGAACAAGAATTAGTATTGGAAAAGGTTAAGTTAATTTTGAAAATGCTACTACAAACAAAATTTAACTGAGCAATAACCAATTCCTGCTGGCCATAGTTCGATAATCCACTCGTACAGAAGCACCAACAAAATCTTTCAGCATCTAAATGGAAGTAACAGATTTGATTTGTAGGAATGAAGGAAGGTCAGTGATGTGGTACACAGTTAAAGAGAAATTCATACATGCTACTTACAGTTTGCTAGTTTGACCTTTACGCGAACACGTTCACTAATGGTAAATGAGAGTAGTTTTCGTGTACAAACTTCAATCTCTACATCATGGTAGATAAATAATTAACAACAGTCATTGTAACAATTAACTTTTCAGAAATTTAACAACATAAACATAAAATATACCACTTAATTGCCTTCCTTCGTCGGTATCACCCCTATTGTCACTTTCATTAGACTCTCCATTATTAGATAATGCTTGACCTTAGAGAAATAAAAATTAATAACGTTAAATTCAAGATAATCTATAAAGGCGATGACCAATTCATTACAGTCTTTACCTTCTCTCCTGCTGTTATCTGGACTACTGGCGGCCTCAGCTACGCTAGTTTCACTACCGGAAGCAACCTGAGGCACTTCATTAGTATTTGGAGAAGAAGAAACAACATTCGTACTTGGTTGACTTAAAGATTGTACAGATATAGGTTGAAAATTCGTCGGTGGTGTGATCATGCCAGTGGTAGAAGCTATGGCAGAACCCGCAGCTATTTCGGTTTGATAATCTAGAGGCTGAGGAGCTCGCATTGCTTCTTCATAAGATGGCGCTGGTTCTCGAATGGGATGCTGCTGTTGTTGATTTAAGTACTGGTAACATATATGGCAAACTCTAGAGGGTTTATTACTCAGAAAGGTCAACACAAATTTCATGCTACAACAAGCAGCACATAAGACCTAAAATATCAAGTTTTTATATGAGGGATATAATTTAAGACTACACACGTATTGCGATATGCAAAGTCCATTTACCTGCCCACATGCGCGGCAATGGTGACGCCTTTTTAAAACTGTGAATTTAACCCCACATTGCATACACTGAACGGCCTCCGTATCCGACACCCAAGTTGGTCGTTCAAATCCGAGTCCAGGAAATGCAGGAGTAATGGGTACGTAATCAGCAGAGGATGTACTTACGTCAGGTTGAGGCATGTTGCCTGTAGCATCATTACTTACAAAATTATTAGGACTGCCAGCTAGATTGTCGGCCTGATTTCCAAGGCTATAACTAGGAAGGTCATCTCTATTTGTTGGTGTAGATCCAGTTGAAGGTATTTCATTATCTGGAGGACTCTGACTAGCCAAACCAACTCGGTAGCTCTGGTCAATTGGAATATTACGACGAAGAACCTGAGGTTGAGATGTTGGCAAACCATCATCTGTTACATTTTCTATGCCAATATATTCTGCTGTAGGAGCAAACCTGACGCTTCTTCTACCAACTTTATTTGACCTCCCGCTACTGGCTAAATTGGATGTGCCTCCATCAGACTGGCCAACATTATGATTGCTAGAAGCTGCAGCTTCGGCAACATTATTGTTAATATCATCAACTATATTTTCTGTCGGTATGTTCTGATTGGAGACTTGATCACTTGCAATATCAGAATGTAATCCATTACTAACGTCGACTAAACTCATTTCGTTAATCTGTGGATTGATTGAAGTCTGCATAAAATTTTCTTCGCTAAATGTACCGCTTGAGCTTGGTACATTGTTGTTATCAGTAAGATGGCCAGGTGCACGCTCCGCATTACTTGGAATCAAAGCGTCTACCGTAGCCGTCGTTAATAATCTATCATTAACTTGGCTGTTGTCTCTACCATTTGTCAAGGTTTCAAGCGTATTTTTAATTCCATTGTACTCATCATGTGGCATGACATCATTCATAGTATTTGTAGACGGCAATACATCACCTTTTACTGCTGCTTCCGAAACTGGTTCCTCGGGAAACTGCTCCAGATTATCCATATTAAGAACAAGATCCATGCATTGTGATAGCGCATTGCTGCCGCTAATTAAATCTACATCGTCAGTCAAACGTAAAAAGTTATCTTCAGATTCTTGTAAGGAGTTGCCGTTATCTGTAACATTATTGGGATGAGAGTTAACTTCCATCGAATTATTTACAGAAACTGTAGTTGCATTTGAAGATGGATTTTCTATATCAGTTTCAGCTACATCACCTGCAACAGCATGAATTGTTTTCATTTAGTGATTTTTAAGTCAATTTCTAAGCCACTGTATCTGATAAATCAATTCTGCTAACAAACCTACCTCCACTGTTAGTAATATTATCGTTGATTTCTTGATGATAATCTTCATTACCATTTAATTCGTTCATTACACCAGATAAGAGATCGTCGATTACGGGAATATTATCACTTGAAAGATAGTCCATATTGCTATCAGACAGAATATTCCCTTCAGGTGTATTTCCTGTATTAATAATTGATGACTTTTCATTTGCAGTTTCTTCACTACTAGTGATATCTAAATTATTAGCCCCTTCATTTTCTATTACGTCCTTGCTGTAGGGTATATTTGTTGTAATATACTCTGGGTTTATTTTAATGCCTACAGATTTGATATCAGAAGAAAGATCATCCTTATCCAAATGTAAATCAGATACGTTTGAATTTTCTTGGTTATGGCTAGCATCAACTTGATTACTACCATGACTGTCAATAAGTAGTGATTCGTTGCATGATTTAGATTCTAATGATTTCTCCTCGTGGTCGCTCACTTTTTCCTGATCGGTTAAAACTTGTCGCTCTAAAATAGAATCCGCTATAGTCTCTTTATTTGAAATATCAATATCACCAGTCTTAATGGTGGGAGATACGTTTTCAGCACAAGAGATACTTGTTATGCTATTAGCAGAATTCGGAGTAACGGTGACAGTAGAGAAGTTAATGTCTAACAAAGATGATAGATCATTCGAGTCCAAATTCTCCGTTGTATCACGTTTTTTAACTTCGTACAAAGGATCTAAAATTAAATTATCGAGCTCAAAACTTTCTGTAGATATCTTTTCGGTAGCAGAATCATTACCATTAGTCAAAGCAAGTGGTAAGGTATCGTTATCATAGTTTAATTCATTATCAATCTTAGCTGCCTTATCGTCATTTGAGTTCTTATCTTGAAAATCAGTCAAGAGAGAGCGAGCGATGCTAGACTCTGAACTAATTCTATCTTTTTCGTTATCTATCACACCTGACACATTATAATTAGTCTTTTCGATTGACTCATGAACAGTAGAAATAGTATTATCACCACTTTTGCTGGCAGATTCTACGAAATTCTTAACAGGTTGATCGCTACCGAATTTTTCTGGTAACTTCATTCCTCCACTGATACGACCGTTTAAGTCTGGCAAGTTGCTGAAAGCGTTATTCTTAGCTGTAACATCATTTTTTACAGTAAATTCACTACTAGTATCATTAACATGATTGTTTGTGTTATCAATGATTGATACTGGCGATAAAATGTCGGTTGAGAGTTTATCCGATGTACTTTGGTGAGAATTCTTGAAAGATCCGGACACACTTTCCAGCTGGGTTGAAATATTGTTGTAACTGCTACTTACTTCATTGTTATTTCTATTTTTATCAGATGAGGTAGATGTTGATGATTCTTGATTATTGGTTTTATTCGTTGAAAAATTGCTAAGATTTTGTTTATCTTGAAACATGCTTGACGTATCAACTGATGTTGTATCAGTTAAACTGAAATTTTCATGGTTATTCACATTGCTGATAGCGTTTATCTCGGTATTTACAATTCCTATAGTAGATATCTCATCGTTTCTCTCTTTATGTAAGGGAGCTGCATCATTGTTTTCAGATTTATCCCATACAACATTATTTTCTAAATCATGATTAATATTAATGTTATCATTGTTCGAAAAAGATACCAATCCTTGAGTAATGTCACCTTCAGGCGATACAATCCTGTTGTCATGAGAAGTAGGAACCATTGAAACATGTTGAGTAGACTGAGAGTTCTCAAAACTTGTAGGAGCTTCGTTAGAATCCGCATCAACTTTAGGTTGATGCGATAAATTTCCTGTATAATGGTTACTCGGTGTTTTTAATTTAGTACTATTTGTTTCTGGGGCAATATCATTACTTGAAGTAGGATGTAATGAACTACCAGAAGATGGTATTGAATTGAAATCAGATTTAAGGCTTGCAATATCGAACTTCGGCAAAATATTATCAATATCTAAAGCAGTACTGAGTTCATTGGTAGAATTATTGATTTGGCCAGAACTAGGCATTTGCGCATTACCATGATTAGTATTGCTAGCAATTGAGGTAGATGTAGGAGTAGCAGAATTCGCTTGATTACCAGTCTTGTCATTTACATGTATAGGTGATGCATATTTATCCAGCATAGTTTCCCACTCATTATCACTTTCATTATCAGATGAAGGTTGCACGGGGACTTTAGTACTCCTTTTCTCTGAGCTATCGTTATAACTACGGTTTGGATGGCCATTACCGGTGCTATTTTGGTTAATAAAATTCTGATAATAGTCAGCGTCGCTAGTACTAACGTTGTTTGTGGTTGTGATTACATTTCCGCCAGCGGGATCGCTGCTGTACCCATTGGCTTCGCTATTAATGGAATTGTGTCCAGCTAGAAAGCCATATAGGTTACGGTTAACTGAGCTGCTGCTATGTTGCAAATTATTATTTTTATTATAATCACTATTAATCAAAGCGTTAGCGCTATCACTGCTTGGATAGCCTTGTTCAATTACTCCAGTATTCGATGACTCAAATGCAGCCAATGATGGATAGACACTGCTGGATGTGGTTTCTTCCATGATGCTACGATTGTGAGAGCTACTGTTAATAGAAGGTATGGGGTGCTTAACTGCATTACTTCTATTCAATGGTCGATGGGTCGTTGGTTCTGGAATAGGCTTCTTATTGAGATTATTTGATTTGCGGTAATTGTCAGGGGTCATAGCACTGGGACGATTGACAGTGCTATTTTGATGATACAATGGCGGCTGCATCGATAGTCCTAACGTTCAAATTTAGATGTTGTAAGAGACAATAATTTACTTCATTTATAGACGTTATAATAAGATTGAATGAGTGTTAAATTTATACTACTGTACGGCAATGCTCGTTAACGCTGTTGAAGCAGTATCATTCCGTGATACTCTATATACGCATATAGTACAATAATACAGTAGTGTATCCGCTGCCGCTTTGTAACACATTAAAATAACAGAAGACACAAGGATATTCGACTCAAGAGAGAGAGAGTGGTCTGCACATCGATAAATATAATGCACTTACTGTATATATATAATGTGATATTGACATTATCTACATTAAGCTGTGCTGCAAAAGTCATTCGCATTCGATGCATCTACAGTAATCTACGTGCATAATTAATATACGCGTATATAAATGACAATTGTCAATGTCAACAATCAAAATCTATTGCATTTACAATTTCGATAGGTGATAAATAGTAATATGAATCAAAACTATCTTATTGTAGATATTAAAAAGCTTAAAATCCTATAATAAGGTAAGGTAGCTTATCTGATACGACGGAATAAACACCACGGTCAGTAAATATGAGGTGCTATAAATTCATGATATATATGAAGTAATGATACGTAAAGAATAAGACCAACACGAATTATTTGATCATTCTAGTTGAAAGCAGCAAAACAGCACGGCATGATAAAGAATTATTTGATAGCTTTAGGTAAAGCAACAGTACAATATAGATTGCTGCTTACCTTGAGGATGATCATCTTCATTTTCTAAATCGTTTAGGATCTTATCCAAATCCACAGTATCGTAGTTATACGTCATTTTGAAACTTAATTGAAATGCTTTAAATCCATGCGAAAAAGAAAATATACTTTAGATTAAAATTAATTAATGAAATAGCGCTGCAGGTACAGTGGTTGTTTTCAATCGTTCAGTATTGATCATGATGATTCGAATTTATTGTGAAGATAGATTAGATGATTACGTATTCTATACCTACTATACGTACATTATAGAATATGGTATTTTGTCATTTATTAAAGATTTGCAGTATTACCTAATGATAGAGGGCTAGTTTCCGCTACCGATAATTACTGTATAATTAAAATCAATGTCGTCGATAATAAAAAATTAAATTTAAAAATTATAGAAATTGACAAAACCTACAGCAATTCACATAACCGTAATACTAATAAAATGGACAATTATGTGAATCGTAGCTCAAATACATATTGGATCAGAAAAATTTCAACTCGAGATGCAAGAGCGTACGTATGTAAGGTGCAGGATGGGCAGGATAGCATATCGAAATTAATTGAGGGTTTTTGAAATAATACAGCTCATAAGCCGTAAAGTATAACAAGGGCACTATTGCCTACTTGATGCAGCTACCAAGTAACGACTTGAGCAGGTAAATGAAGTGGCAATCTCCACATCATTTCAGGACAGAGTTGGCTCGCTGTTTTTGTTCTCCGAATTTGTTACGTAATGCAAGCTAAAGCCAGGTATACGTACGCATTTATCATGAAGATTTTAAACACTGTAGCGAAATTATCTCGAGCGTTGCAGTCTTTCAATGCCGCTAAAAACTATTTGCAGACTTGAAAGTGACAACAAAGTGAGATCAAGACCACTAGGATTCATAAAAGCGCATATGAATTTATCATAGCAGCATTAGGATCGATTTATTGTCAACATAATAGAATATCAAGCATAGTCGTAGATAGGGAATCTATTCCATCAGTCAAAAATGAATACTACTGTATCTTTTACTAACAAACTCAGTGTAGAGAAATTCAACTTTGCAATTCAATGCTGTTTTATCAAGCAAGGTGATAGAAAAAAAAGAAATCGCTTTTGCTATACCCGCACATAATTAATTAATTTTCCATGAGCCATTCAAAGCGAAAGTATAGAAGACACGATAAAGTGCCAACAGCATACAAACATTCTGGATAGGATGTATTGAAAAAAGGTCATCACAGTATCGCCAAATAACTTAGTGAATACTTTCAATGTGCTATCAAAAAACAGTTTATATCAGCACTAGAATGATTCTTGGATTTAGTTTTGAAAGTAGCATTACTGATGCATTGGATTACGTTAGTACAGACTCCAACAATAAATACAGAACATCCTTGCAAGTTGCCACTACCACAATTATCACGTACAAATTATAACCTACGTTAGTGTTTCAGTCAATTTTAGTGAATTCCAAGAAGTGATTCAAGTCAACTAGTCATTTCTTCATTAAAACATTTCAGATACTGCTAATGTGCATTGCACAGTGTATAACTTTCTTACGATATATTCGTATGTACGCGTAATCGCATATGTATATGGAGATTTTGCGTGTATGAGGGAGGATTGACTTCTTAACTCAACATGGCTGTCGACAGTGTCTAGTTCCATAAATTAATGGTTTTAATAGCTCTACGCGTATACAGTATATCTATTCCGACTTTTTCTTGTCGCTACGACAATAATGACTAATGATAAATGATAGTAAAGAGCTCTTCGAAGGCCAATACGGTAAGTCGAATTTCAGTCGTTAAAATCAGGTAGATACAGTAGATAGTTGGGAGTATTTTCAAGACCAAGTATGATGATCGTGTTTTACTATTACGTACTGTACCGCAAGTCTACGATGATGTCAAGTTCTAACAGTACTGTAATACCTTCTACAAATTTTGGCAATTCTTCCACTTTACTTGACTGAAGTCAATTTTCGTCTACTCTCTATAGACCGTTAAAATACAAGTTGCGACACTCCTCTACAATTCTTGCATGTCTTTTAAAAGCATGTCAAGAATTTGAAATTTTGAAGGCTTACATTTGGATTGTAAGAAAAATATTGGGATTTGAACATTTTGTTTTGTACGGTATAAGAAAGGGGTAGTTGATAGGTGAATACTTACTTATTATATTACCAACTGGCCTTGATAGACTGTAACCTTTGAATGTATATCGATTAATTCTAGCACTGAGTAGAGTCCATTAATGCACTTAACTACTCTAAACATGACTATTATGAAGGAAAGCGTAGTTGTCTAGATGAGGAAAAAAGAAGAGGAATCTGAGACTGAAATAGATGGATAAAACAATTTCAATAAGGGTAGTCATGATCCGTCTGACATGGACTGTAAACATTGCTGATCTTTCAGGCTGTATTGGCATAAAAGAGCGTTATTTATCACTATTCTGATACAAATATGCGCTAACGTACATCATTTCACAGGTGTTTTTCGCCAGTGAAAGTGGACGAGTCTTTCGATTTCTTTGGTTTATGGTGTTGAAAATGTTTCTGTAATGGAAGATCTGTCAGCGAGGAAAGTTCCAAATGACGACTAAATATATCATAGCCAGCAACTTTGAACTTATTACTATACAGTACACTAGTTCGACGAGCCTCATTTAGGTTTTCCTATCAGAAGTCGCGTACAGAAGGTGTGATATCGTCGAGTACAGTACGAAGACCGTCGCAGTACTGTACACTGTGCATTGTACGGTATTGACAGGACTGCAGGTTATGACGTTATGGCCATAATACGGAATAGTAGACTATACAACGAACCCTTATGCTACCATATACAGTAGAGAGTCAAATGACTTGCATTTGAAAATGGACTAGTGAATGTTAAAGCCAACATAAAGTAGAACAAGAGAAATCGACAGTATCCTCAATGACTTGAATAGAAAAAATGGAGATAGTTATACCTTTTACGAGTAAATTAAAGTCATTAATTAAGGATACTGCAAAATCCCCTATTGAAGAATATCTTTTACAGTACGAGGACCGTCGCAGTACTGTACACTGTGCACTGTACAGTATTGACAGGACTGCAGGTTATGACGTTATGGCCATGATACGGAATAGTAGACTATACAGTACAACGAACCCTTATGCTACCATATACTGTACACTGTACAGTACAGTAGAGAGTCAAATGACTTGCATTTGAAAATGGACTAGTGAATTTTAAAGCCAATATAAAGTAGAACAAGAGAAATCGACAGTATCCTCAAAGACTTGAATTGAAAAAATGGAGATAGTTATACCTTTTACCAGTAAATTAAAGTCATTAAGGATACTACAAAATCCCCTATTGAAGAAGAATATCTCTCTCTATGATGACTGACTGTACACTGTACACTCACTCACAGCACACTTGACGTCCACGACTCATCTGCCGGTGTCAACAAATGAATAAAAATAGAATATGACATTGGTGCCGTACCTGGTACAGACCATTGGACATTACATTACCTGATTACCATACTGCAAAGTAACGCAGTCGTAGTACGGCAAAGGGACTACCGAAACTGTCCAAGAAAGAGAAGGGCGATAGCTATCAATGGCTATTGAATGCCAATAAAAATAATAATAATTATATTAATAGAGAGGCAAACTACTGTACAGTATTTTCAGGGACTATGTTATGTTTCATTGAAATGGAATGACTGGAAACGTCCACCGTGCAGTTTACAACCACAGACTTGTAAGAGAAATTCTACTCTTGCAAGTCCCTGGCGGTTAACTATTATCGAAAATATAGTGGCATATCGTTCATTTTCCCTCGAAAATATTCTATCTCTGTAGGCGGCTAGTGAAATTTTAGTGATCGTCCATCTCTTTGCTAGCATACCTGTAAATAGGACAGTACTTGGTAATCAACAGGGGTTGTCTGTTTTTGTCGCTTTCAGCAAGGAAAAACAGTACAGGTATACTATACTTTGAGTTAAGTTAATATATTGAATCTTCTATGCAGTGTACTGTACAAGTGTTCATGTCTATGAGAGTATTCCATAACCAGGAGTCTCCATTGATAGTACTGCAAGCAGTTGCAGTTACTTGCAGTAGTGTATTAGCAATTTTTCTTCTTTACTAGACTGTACTGTACATCTATGGAGCTAAAAGTAAAGAAAAGGAAAGGGTGCGAGCAAGATCATCCACCATTCATCTTCAATAACAAATTTTCAGCGCCGACAATTTTGCTGGTCATTTTACTGTACTGTACTGTACTGTCTGTACACTTCAAGACTGGAAACGTACAGTGTACAGTACAATACAATGTACAGTACGCTGTACTGTACATTGTAGTCCGTACATGGATGTCGTACAGTGTACAGTACGGTGAACTACAGTACTAAAAGAAAACCTTGTACCGTACACTGTACGTACAATACTGTACAGTACGCTACTACAAATCTTTATGGTCTGGTTCTGGTCTGGTCCGGACCAGGCCTGAACCAGACCTGAACACTGCAAGTATTGTACTGGATTTCGGCATACTGTACTAGTACTACCAAGTCTAAGGCACGCGTAGTGGTAAAAGACAAGAAGCTCCTGGCTGAAGAACTTCCATCATGGCCGCAGCAAATCCTAACCCTAATCTTTCAACTTCGGATGGAGCAAAAGTCTACCGTTATAAGGCTGTTCCGATGAGTCCTTTCGAAGATCCATTACCTGATTATATGAACTTATTGGGCATGATTTTTAGTATGTGTGGCCTTATGTTAAAGGTATGATAGAAATGGATGAGATTTTACCACACCAGTCTACCCCACATGCCATGACAACCACATTACCATCAGAATTACCACTACAATTGACAACTCTACTCGATAACTACTGTATTTTACCATGCAAAATAAAAACTAACCAAGTGTATTGTGAAATAGAATGAATCCTTGTATTTATAGATTGCACTTCATGATTGAATTTTAAAGTAGAATCTCTCTCTTTGATGTACCATAGAACGAATGTTGCCTATACTTTTATCAGCTAGCTCGACAGTATACTCGTACAATACTTGTATTGGTAGAATTAGCTCAGAAAGTACAGGAAACATACAACTTTTCTCAATTTGGTGTACAGTCAATTATTGATTCGCTCTTTACACACAATATACTTGCAGAGATGGCTGTAGTGCCGTTCTACTGCATGTATTGAATCAAGAACTTTTCATATCTTATTGTATACGGATAGAACGTACAAAATTGACAATTCTGGCAATATTAAAAACGTAATTATATCAAGCAGTCAATACTAGAAGGTAGACAATCCGTGTTCAATACAAGGTAGTAATAAATTTGATGTAATAGAATTAGAATAAAAGGAAAGATTCTTCCAAGATGCTCCTTTACCTTGTAGACTAGGGTAGTTTGTCTTTTATCAAATGTTTCAGATAGGCTTTGCGGTCGACTTACTGTACAGTATAATGCAAATAGTGGAGATACGAACTGATTATAACTTATAATTATAGTCTACCGTACTATTCAAGTGGTAGATAATCAATTGTACCCATGTTCAACAATAATTCATAACACAAATAGAAATTATAGTACAAGACATACAGATTGAAAGTAACTTATCATTTGAGTAATAAAAGTGCCTTCAAAATCATTTAGCAAGACTCCCTATTTCTTATTTCAACTTCGCACTGTATGACCGAAATCAGCTCTTTTATCAAAAATTACAATATCCGCATTTAGCATCCATCTCTCCTGTGACCAATCAAATCTTGCACAATCTTACGATCTAACCTGTAACACAAACGTGATCTATTTTGGGGGCTAAACTACAGATTCCCAAGTTAAAGAATGATCTATCCAATAAGACAGCAGTGATAAACTTGTAATGTGATGACAAAGATACGAAATATACACAAATTTTCTACCCAATGCTATACTAGATACCTTCTTTTTATAGCGGTGTAGTTCTACCCATTTCAATTCATTTGATTGATAACTTGCGCAGATATTTACTGTGTAATGTAGAACTGGATTTAAAATACTCGTATTATCCGTAATTGTATCATTTTTTCTTCTTTTAATAAACCAATTAGATGAAATGGGCTGCCTGGGCTTCCATCTACTGTGCTTTCATAAGCTTTGCCAATGCTCGAGCGTCAGATGATGCTAAACAATTGTTTAGTAGCTTCCTGTAAGTATAAGCTATTTATTAATAACGATATTATCGTTACGAACCTCTTTAATACTAGAAATCGCTTTATTGTTTGTGTCAGTGAAGTGAAAATAGTCGAAAAAATGTTATACCGTTAATATGAAGCAATTTTTGCTTGCGAAATGGCCCCCATCTGTGTGTATAATCATAATATAATCTGCACTGCATCATATTGTATATGATATTGTTTGAGTTAGATGCAAACACTTATACACTACCTGTAAATAGATCAATGATAATCTAATCTTTACCACTCTACCTTCAATATTGATATGCTAAACACGATCTAGAATAGCGTTTAATCACTCTAGGTACAAGTAGTCAATATCAATATGACATCTAACCCTTAATACGAAGCGTACTTTCTTAGCCTGGCCTACCCCCTACATACTGCATAATTATATTTCGTTAGTGTACCAAATTAATTTTACACTGCTATGTGGTAATACATCAAAAACGTTGCGCAGGATTCTGGTCGTATCTGTACATCTACGATGTGATTGCTAACTTGAATAGCTTACTATGCTCATAGATATTCCAGATTCTATTGCATTTATATCATTACTGAAGACCCATGTGCTTTCTTCTCACTAGGTTATCTGTTTCATCTGTGGTAATGTCTTATCTACAGAATCCTCAGCCAATGGGCAATTTATTTACCTAATCTACCTTCTACTGTACTAATAAGCGTTATTACCTGAATTAGATATACATGTAATTACGTTATAGGCGGTTTAAACCATTTCCCTAATATCTGGAGATACATTCATATGTATATATCTATATCTATATATTTATAGTTAATTGTTTAATTGTAATAACAATAAACGAAAATTATAGACAGAAAGTGATTGTTACAATTTGTCATTCTTGCGACTTGCTATACTATGTGTTTTTGCTTTGCATGCATATAATTAAGATTACAAGCAAGCTAAGCTACCGGGGAAGTAGGAGTATTTTTCTACTATAAAAAGGCGGGTTAACCTGGTACTAGTAAGAATCATTGGCAACTATGAGAAATTTCGTGTAAAACTACTAATAATCTTGAGCTCACTCTTTGTGTTCACAGCTTGCAGTTTATCGATGCTGCTATTAGTTGTTAATTAATGCTGGGACTTCATAGTAGTATTTTTATCTAAATCTCTAGTTAAACTGTTTACAAACAACTTCGGCCATACGTATGCTAAGCATGATCTAAATTTAAACAGCTACGGTACTTATCGATACTACTAATTAAATAACAGAAGTATTGAATACTGATTGTCATTTATTAACGAGTAAATATTTTACCTCATGCCGGTGTTTAATGTATACTTTACATTTGACATTACGATAGAAAATATCGCTCAAAATACAGTAGAATTAAGTAGCATGATTACGCCCATTAAAATGATAGGGAAGTAATTTATGTTACTATCTATTTTAATAGAATAGACTTGACTCCGAAAATGTTAAAATTGTAAAAATAATGCCTTTGGATAATGTATAACAAAAGGTATCATCACCGAGTGATGACTACGAGTGATTAACTCGAAGTTTACCTCAATCTAGTATCTGGTATATTGCTGGATTAATTTTAGATAATAGTTTTACATAAATTAAAATGCATACAACACAATCGTCTGTACTAGAAATGAAGTCAAGCGACATCGTGATAGAGTAAAATTTGCTTCATGGCGATTTATTACGTTAGGAGCTTAAAATGTCTTACAAAATTGGGTACCGATTTGTTTTTTACAATAAATCAACATTTCCAATGTAAATGTCATACTTAAATGATTATCAAAGATTACTTTAAATCGCGTCTGAATCTGAATTCAAACTATGATGCTAAAAATAAGGCAATAAGTTACAACCAAGAAATTGATCATGTTAACATCCTAGATAGTATAATTTTATTGTGATGCAATATAAACTGCTATTTCATTCATTTATCCGATATAAGTAAAGTTAACTTAATTCGAATCCAGAATTAGATTCTATAGCATAAGTCAGCTTTTCTTTTAAAATATCCCGACTGCGAAATCTTGGTAATTTCAACAAGTTCATACAGGTGCTAGCCGAAGGTAGTCGCGTTTCATCATTGCTCTCGCCTGATCCGTGAATGCAGAATGCCGGAAACAACTCCTAAATAAAACATGTTTCAAATAGAAGTAATTAACACGTTGATTGATCAGAATAACGGAAACAGAACGAAAATGATTTTTTAATTTATGGTACGACTGAGGACTCTTTTCGATGCCGCTTAAATTAATAAAGAGTACCTTAAAGCCTAGCAGTGGAGGCCTTGAACAGCTAGTAACAAACTTTAATAACTTTCTGCGTTGTTTGTCTGTAAAATCCTCGGCTACATCCCAGAACATATTAATATATTCGTCATTATCGCTATAGCCACCTGCAGTATATAATTTCATAATTAACAATTCAAGTCATCAAGTCATAGTAGGAAGTTACATATAAGCGTATAATTGTGAAGTAATAGCAAAGCATCAGTTATTTCGAAGAAGACAATTAGCTAGGTACCTGAATAGTTTGTATTAGCTCTTAAATCTTGTAGATCTATCGGCACTTCGGCGCCAGATATTAGGACCTGTATGTATTATAATATCGCATTAGATTTATTAATTACACATCGCGCTTTAAAGAGAGAATAAAATCATGCCTGAAGTTCGTGCTGATTGAAGAGTCTTAACCATTCAATATTGATTACATCAGCAAGTCCTTCTCTAAAAGCTAAGTACTGTCGACGTATCTATCGCATTTAAATAAAATAAATTTAAACTGTTCTTATGCAACACCAACACCTTAAAAATCACACAATATAAAGCGTTTAGAAAAGACTAAATACAACGAATATATGGTATTATGTATGTATGATACCTTACAAGTATTTACCTCCTTATTCAATTTATAATCTGCTAGTTTATGAATGTACTCAATTAGATTTTCTGGTGTAACGGCAATATTTTGGCCACCAGGTTTTAAATCAACGACCTATATTAATAATTTAAAAGTAATGTAATCATTTCTCATACTGCCATTCTTGTATAGCAACGTAATAAGCAAAAGATATAAAATTTACTTAATAAATTGTTTCTTGAAATCATTATTATATTATTATTTATCATACCTCCGCTTCGCCAAGATTTTCATTAACGACTGTAAAGTTGAGTTCCAGGTCTGCTATATCCCCTTGATAGCTCTTTAATGACAACAAATTTCTGTATGTGATAGTGATGTAATTAATAAAAACATATTAAACAAATTTCTTAGTTTCAAAAATAAACTAAATACACAAAATATATCATCAACAATGTTCCAGAAGCTATACACACTTGTACATCACAGGATCTAGCGAAGCCAAATGATGGATACCGACTTCACTATTATCACTTAGGATTTTACTTAAGAAGAATCCAGCTAACGGTAACTCAACAAGATGCTTTTCAAATATTGCCTTCATAAGCGAACATAAAAGTTAAGAATGTAATCTCATTACATTAAATCCTACAAAATTGATATTTGCAAAGTTTAACTTACTTTACCAAGAATTCTACCTAAGAAGTAGTAATGATCGCGAAAGTTTGAAATTATAACCGGTACCTGTAAAGAGTATCAATAATTATAATCATGATATATCGTTGCTACAACACTACCAATACCGGTGTACGCTTAAATTCGCGTTTGTAAAATTAATTTATAATTAATTAACGGATAAAAGAAGCTTTACATTTGAATTTGGATATAAACAACCATCTTGCGTGAGCTTAAAAAGACCATAGTTTGGATTAAATCCTTCCTTTAAGACCTCGGTCAGAAATTCCCTGCAGCAAAAAGCGATTAAATCGTAGTACATAAATATAAATACAAAGTTGACAGCAGATAAAACGTAACAAAAATAATACCTAAACAACCCGCCACCATCTATGCCCGCTTCTTCTAATCCTTGTTCATTTAAAATTGTAACACGAATCTTTTTCTTCAAATTTGGCGCTATCAACATACGCATATGAGTAATAAAATTAAAATTACATAAGTAACACTGAAATGCAAAAGTGGCTACGCTATAATAGTAGATGATTACTAACCTTTCTCCTTCGTTAGCGCATTAAATGCATCTTCATACATTCTACCACGCTTTACTACAGCACTTAGAGAGCCCATCATAAATTGTTCTAAACCAGTCGAGTTAGCATCTGCATCTAAGCGATCAAGGTAGTGTAAGATCTATAACAGAGAGGTTAGAATATATCGAACTTAATGATTTGGAGCAATGATTGCATGATATTAAAAGATTACATGATTCGCCATTATAAAACAGATAATGTGCTGACCTTTATCCTATCTTGGAAGGAAACGACAAATGGCAGCTCTTGTACCAGCGCTACTTCTTGAGTTGGACGCCCTCTCATTTCTAATTAGAAAAGTGAGTTTATACATACGTGTTTATTGCAGTTTCAATCAGGTACTAAGTTAATAATAACGCATGAAACATAGGCTATACCTTCATCTTTAAAAAAGTACTCTAAGTCCAGCTATGTTTTCCAAAAATAAATGGTTAACCCTTTTAAGTTGTGAACTGTACAAAGTGAAAAATTTCAGTAGATAATCTTACGTTGTCAATCTGAATATTAGCTAATGGCGACAACCAATGGTTCGGCTGGCAAAATGATAGGCGTGAATCTCGATCATATAGGTGTTTAACCAGTTTTGTAACACTTCTGCAAACAGTTAGCCATTCGTAAAAACTCCATTGTTGTGTTAGTTTTGCTTTGTTATCTTCTATCGTAGGCCTTTTGTTAAATGCAATCATTGAAGAAGAATGATGGTTACTTCGCCGAGAATGACAGACTCCAATTATACCAACAGCTGCATCTCTTAACCTAGCCGATAGATCCCGTATCTGATTTAAATCAAATGGTAAATCGACGCTATCTAAAAATATTCCAATAAGATCTTAAGGTAAGATTTTTATAAAATTACGTAACATACGAAACAACAACTGAAGATTTTAATGGGTCAATTATTCACTTATAAGCATTTAACAGGATATACCAATCGGTAGCTCTAATTAACTACACCCAGAAAAATTTTTACCTTGTTGAAAGCTTGTATCATGTAAAGAACAAAATGACAAGTACAGGCAACAGCAAAAGGTGTGTAATAAGGGTATTAGTACATTCATTATTTCAGCTTCGTGAACCAATTGGGATGAACCACTTAATAATTGCAAGACTGATTTCGATTGCGAGCTACCAAAAAGTCAATTGTTTTAAATTCATTAAAGTAGATAGTAGTTATCATAATTCAAGTTACGGACAAATGAAAGAAATATCACACAATTGCAGCAAAGGTAATTCCAGAATAGATTCAATACTAAATAGTAAACATGCCTTAAGGAAGCTGTCGCAGTTAATGAACATATTATTCTCCATAAAGAATGTAAAAATTCCTTATGCAAAGATAGTTTTGACAACAAGCTACATCAATTTAGCAAAAAGATTTGCAACATTAATTACATGTCATAGGCTGAGCAAGGAAACAGCAAAAATATCGATAGTTTTACCTTAATTTATAGTAAGGAACTTTCAATTTTGCAATGACCGCATGGCAAATTAGACATACATATAGTACAAACTGACTTCTGACTCTAAAATCCCTATTAAAAATCATTTTTGTTTCATAGAGAATTTTAAGTTCGAGTGTTAAATTAATATATCACACATTAAGTAAAAATTATTTAGTAATTCCATTGTCGCTGTCTTACTTATTATTAATAGCTTCCATATCTACAAGTAGCTCTACATGTAAGTTATCATCCAGTTTGGCTAAGCAGAGCTGTCTCATGAATTGTAAATTTTCAGACGAATTCTAAAAGAGCAGATTTAAAATTAAAAAAGAGTTAACAACTGAACGGATCGTAAAGGCTGAGCAGCGAATTTCTTACATCAAATATTTCATCATCATCATCACTTTCAGCGTCTTCAGTAGTAACTTTACATGTTAAATCAATTAGTACTTTAAGTTAATAAATCATCAATATGGATATATGTACACAAAGTATATCTACAATAGAATAAACTACAATAAAGAATAGCATTGCTTACTTATCTTAGTATTAAACGGATACTAACCTAATTCTTTGCGTAAACAAGGGAAACTAAGATAGATTGCCTGCAAGTATCGCAACTTAACATCCAATGGCATTGTTTTGACTAAAATCATAAATCATTATAACATTACAGTATGAGCCGTATCAATAGTTGAACAACCTTTACAAATCTTTTGATTCATTAATTACTATTCATAATTACCCTTTCTAGATTTTCCAATTTGTAATAGATTATACACTAGTGTAGGCGTAGGCTCCATTACTAATTCTATACCGCTGATATTAATCTGCGGGGTTAAAGTGAACCGTCGATTCGATTGTTTTAGATGGTCATTCTTTACCAACGATACAATTAGAGGGTATAAAGGGAAACTACTATCTACTTCACATATTGCAGGTACTAAGAAGTGCGTAATCTGAGGTGAGAATGTTCCAGATAGAAATATTTTAGAAAACTGTAACAAAACTGCTGATGTATCGGACGTTCCAATGATGACATTAAGTAATAATTTGAGGAGGGATTGTGCCATTGGAGTAGGCGGATTGGGGCTTTCGTCAATGCTTGCAGGTACTCGATGTATAAATAAATCTCTCATAGCTTTGAAAAATCCTATAATATTATTTCGTAAGTATTCATTAAAGCACGAACGAATTTATTTATATAAAAACATACTTAAACCCATTATAATAATCACCTCTTTGAGTTACATACGAGTTGACTATATTTACGCAGTCTACTGGAGTAATATCTTGAAATTTATCATAAGTATTTGCTTTTGTATAAATTTCTATCATTCGTAACGGTATTGTGATCCCTTCATTGGAATTAATATTGTCGCTGATATAACTAATCCAAGAACAAAAAATTTGTTTTTAGAATTAACGTCGAGCAACGTATCGAAAGAAGTGCTATGCAATGATAAAAGGTTTGAAATCAATGATATTATCATTACATGCAGCAAAAAGAAATCAATTTTCTTATGTGATGGATAGAGGAAATTTCCAATCTATGTTTTACGTAGCATTTGCATAATGAAAGCTGCAAAGGATAAAAAGACACCTTAATACCTTAGTAGCGTCAGTTACAAAACGTACATTCTGCATTGCATAGTACAATATTTTAAACTGCTATCATTTTTAACTATGTTATCTTACCAATCTATTACCATCTTGCTTAGCATCGTAATAAAATAAGAGCCATCGTGTACAAGTAAATAAATCTTTAGAACTTAGCATGTCAATCGATTTTTCAGTCGCAAAATATTGATCGAAAATTTTCCTATACTTAGTACGCTGTGAAAATTTAGAATGCAAGACTTGATCAAAAGTGGTAAAATATTTCCAAATAAGCTTAGCTACAATATAGTCGGCAACATTTTGTATCGAGATAAGTTGGCAATAAATCTATAAACCTGTCGCAATTTTTCAACATAACCGCGAAAGGTTGCCTGAATTTTTTTGGCCTGGTCATTACGCATACGTTGTTCCTGGTAATTTAGAATAAAGCATACTGGTTCTAAACAATTATTAAAACATCTCCAACAATTTTTAATATGTAATCTGTTAATTATTAATATCATAGTGGGATTGCTGTAGTTTATATTAAATAATTAAGAAGAGACCAAATAGATTAATATTATACCAGTCGCTTCCGTCTTTCTTGCTGGGTTCGGTTAAGAAACGAATTCCTTTCTACCTGTTATTAGGATAAAGTATAATTAATATCTGATAGCAAAGACACCAAGCCTAACTCTTTAAATTGAATCCAATTCAGAACGATTAGCAGGTTTTAAATAGTTATGCAGGAACAATAACTGACACCTTTAATGATGTTGAATATCACATTAAAAGTAGAAATTCTTTTGGTGACTGAAAAGTCTGAGCTACAAGACTATATACGCGTACGCGTATCATTAATTACTTGATTTATAGCTACGATGAACGATTGCAGACATAAACGTTGCGGTACATTGGTGGTGACTTTTAAACTGTAGATTAGCTTGCGCAAGGTCTAGCTTAACGACATGGACGATCTATTGGCTAACAATCAATCAACATATCCTATCAATTCATATTACAAGCTATAGCTGGTACTTCAACTAAAAATACAGTACCAATCAAGATAAGAGGTAGAATACTCAGGTAGAAGTAGTACTATACTGTACTAGGATGCATAAGTAATCATTGCAATTAATACAGTAACTGTCAAAATCAAAAATAAGAATAATTATGACATGCTATAAGTAAAATCAAGATTACTGTATATTTCCACATGCTACTGTACTATCCTTTTCCATTTTCGGATTGGCCACATTTGTCAATATTGCATGCATGAATATGGTAGATTGGTCGGCTAGTTCAGCGTAAGAATTAGTTTAAGATGAACTCCACGAGACAGAATAAAATGTGATCGAGCAATCAGTAGTACGAATAACAGTTAGGTAATTTAGATAGCATTTACAGTAATTAGACATTGAGATTTGTCTGATTGCAATCAGCATCGTATTGAATGTAGGCCGATTTTGTCTCGATTCTGCTGCAGCCTTTTGTATTGGATGAGCCATATTTATCAGTATTTTAATAAGTCCAACAGATTGGTTGATTAGTTTGGTGTCAGAATCAGTTTTAAAATGAAGTGTATGTGATAGAATAGAGCTTGATGTAGCAGCCATTACAGTAGTGCGAATAGCAGCTCCATGATAGCAGGACAGTATTGGCATCGGTCTCATGATAATTACATATCTTTGTACTGTATTTAGTTTAGCTTACGATCGCTATTTTCTACAAAGCACTGATTGCTTTGTAAGAACACATCGATCATAAACTATACAAGGTATTCAAATAGACCGATTTTCGTCCCTCTTCAGTAAAAACTCCACGAAAGAAATGCAGAGATTAGGATGAACTCAAAGTCAACGTCTGCATAGAAAAGATATTGCAAAGTTGAATAATAGTTTTACTTCACTTTATGTTCTACGTACAGTCTTATTAACACCTCCAAGTGTAACCATTCGTTGGGGTCGATGATCTCCATGAAAGCCGAATCGCGCCGACATACCTATGGATAAATAAAAGTGAGCGTTAATTGATTATTCTATCACCAGTCTACATTCAAGCCTATAACACGATAGAAGAACACTCTGTTCCGTTGTGTCTTCCATCGATTGAAATCACCAATAGTAATATCGTGGTAAGAGTCATTGATTGAAAATTTTGTCTTACTTTAACCGCTAGTCTACAATTTTCTATCCACGATGTCCAAAAGCTAGTCACCGGAAAACAAAATTCTCCTCTTGATCCAAGTAATAAAATCTACACTATCCTATTTATACAAAAATAGACTTGCCACTATCCAGTGCTGTTGATATTGAATCGTTTAGAAGGATGGAGATTGCAAAAGGAAATGGATTCCACACAGCTCCAAGTTCGCTTGGGCAAATTCTACCTATGGCATTTCAAAGAATCAATCAATCAATTTCGATTGTGATGACGAATGAGTAAAACTGCTACAGTCGTAGTCAGTGTACTGTACACTGTACACTGTACAGTACAGTACTGTAGTGTATCCAATGCTTTCTACAGTACAGACTGTAGAGTACACTGTAGTCCTGGAGCAGGGTACTGTACTGTACTGTACACTGTTACGAACCGTACCGGTCCGCGGCCGATAGTGTACCGTACCGTTCCGCGGCCGCTAGGCCAGAACTGCATTGTAGCCATGACAGTGCATGATTCGACAAAACCTGTAGAGGATTACTAGAGGAAGAAGAACTTGAGTTGGTTCACTAATCCATGATGACTTACTGTAAATAAATTTTAGTTTATACTGCAAAAGTCTCTCCTCTTGGATCTGCAATTGAGATATTGAATAACTTGAATACTGTATGGAGTTAAAATTCCACCTTGGATATTATTTTAGTATTTTCTCATTGCAGTACTGTGTAGTATAAAGAAATCATTTAAGTCAAGTTGGTAGACCATTATAGCAGCTGAAGTGTTTAGTGTTTACCTTACAGTTATCACTGTATATATACACTATTAAAACAAGTTTTTTTACTATTGCATGGTATTATACGTTTATTTTATCATCATATTCATGTTCTGCAGACATCCTCCTGCCTGTACATATCAATTTTGAGCAGGAGTTGTAACAAATTGCAACTTTAAATTTTCGACGCCATCTTGCCATCGAAGTTAATCACGTTGGTATGGACTAAGAATGATTGAAATGCAACCATGAAGGTTGAATGCAAGTCCATGGCAATCGGGATACACTCGTAACAGATTATGACCCAAATTAACTCTCCAATCGAAACTTCACAAGCCTCGGATCATTTTCCCGTCTTTGCTACAAAGGATCACTTGTCTTGCATGCATGCATGCACAATTGCACATCCATGCCCTTCCAATGACACTAACAACTTATTGATTACGGGATAAAATTAGTTACGAGTCGTACTACAGTACTGTACTAATGAAATTAAAAATGACAAAATCATGTCTTTTCGTAAATCATTCTATAATCAAGGTGAATCGATAAAACAGTATTATGACCATATTTCGTAGCATGATGGTAATGATAATTTTTTTATTATTTCTTGCCATTAAAATAAGGTGATACATATTAATGAGCACCGCCTACAGTTAAATGGATCTCGTATCTGATACATTCTAATAAAGCAGTCCATTTTTACAGCACAAATACCTCAGTCAAGGAATCAGTTACCGCAAACACGTAATAAATTAGTTCTTCCAACTAAGAACATCCCATATCGAAACAGAAAATAATAAACTGCTAAAATCACAGTTAATATATACAGAAATAGCAGCATCCCACAGCAATTGTTATCCTACAGTCAAGATGTTAATAACGGCATAACGAAGAACGATACTTTGAAATCAATCTTGATTTCTTAATACTTTACGTCATCGATGGGCTAGAAATCGATAAATACCCTAATAATACACGAGTGATATAACACAACAAATCGATAATAGAAATTAAAGGATAATCTATTGCACATGGAAATAAAAGCATCCATCTGATAAATACATATATATATACGTGTAATATATGATCATATGATACATCCTTATGTACGTATAAATTATGAACAATATTATACCAACAAGTATTCATAGTCTAGTCGGTAATAGCTAGCAATGCATCATAATCAAAACTTCACGCATAAGTGCATTACAAACCTATCTATAATCTAATAATTCTTCACTCTCATATAATTATTCTCAGGCCAACAATCACAGCTTAATCTAACATATTATACTCGTGAGTTACTTAATAAAATGAAAACAATCAAATCATAAGGAAGCAAAATAAAAGTATAAATAAGCGAATTTATGAAGTAGCTTTAAAGCATTTTAGTAGTATAGCAATGACAATATACGCGAGAATTGACTTGATACTGGCAGAAAAGCTCATAAATGAAAATTAATAGAACTTTAATTATGATTCAGTAATGATACCCTTACATATCTTTCATTTAGGTATTATAACAGAGTATGCAATTAATTCAATATTATACTGCTTCAGACTTAAAAATAGAAAAAACGTAATTTAGATATTGTCATAACAGAAAAACATTGACTGACTGCTGCAATAGCAATTTTCCTTGCCAAAAATTAGTAGCGCACCGATACCTTGATCAATCAGGGCTAATAATCAAATTAAGGCATTACTCTTCTCTGCTTATTATGCTAACAACTCAATAATTAATTTCGAGGGTGATATCTTAATTACAAAGCGTCTCGGTAGGCCAAAGAAATGATAATTTTGTTAACGATAAAAGGATATTCACTAATTGCTACGATATTAGTTACATAGAGATTTCTTAGCAAATCATTAATTTGAGAAATTTTTCCTAGCGAACATCTGTTGGCGACGCAGGTAGTGCACAATGTAACACTAAGATTTAAGATTTATGTCAAGTTAACGAACGTACGATAAAAATATATATATATGTACTTATTTTATTTAACTTGCAGTGTGATTTGTTACTGAAGTGGTTAGAATGGCACAATAACAAAGTAATCAGCTGACACATCAAGTATAATTCTGCAAGTACTACAAGAGCAAGTGAAAGTTGATAATGTTGCAGTATATCGCTATTATTCTTCTTTCCTTTAAGAGATTATAATAGATAACATAAGACGACATTACGTCTTTTTTTGAGAGTTTTTAACTGCTTTAATTTGTTCTAAAGCAGAATGTATACGGAAATGTAAACGGCTTTCAAGGGAATAATTCTTGTAATTTTTTCTGTAGCAATAGAGCAAATTTTAGTAACTCATTAAAAACCTTGCACACTCTTTTGCTCTTTCTAACTTAAAAATACAAAAATACGCACAAGGCGACAACGGTTATAAAGTACAATGTACAATATACAGTAACTTACTTTGTTTCTTCCAATTTCTTTTTAGCTTGATTGTACTGACCATTACTGAAGTATATCATAGCCCATTCAACATATGAATATGCAGCAACGTAGTGATCTAAAACTATATCGTCTTCCCTGTCACAATATTACAATACAGTATATATAACAATTAATCTGCTAGCTCATTCACTTTTTGCATAAGTTAATTAACATACACGTTTATCGCATTTCATACCTTTCTTTAATTGCTACAAAACATTTAACCGCTTCACCTTCTTGTTCTAAATAACGAAAGCAAACTCCTTGTACTAACTTTCCTAGGCACCATTCATCCACATATAATCTATTACTCCCTAGGTTAATTAATGCTAAAATGTTAGTCATGTCGCAGATAACGTTTCCAGTTAGGTGGATAAATGGTCATACCACTTGTTTTCTCAATCTCTTCTAAGACATTCTCGGTAAGGTCCAAAAATTGTTTAATTATTTCTTTATTGCTTCGAATCATTAGGAACGTATTCCAGGCATATAGTAATTCCTTGATATTACAGATCGACAATAAGAATTAAGGCATACTTTTAACTTTAAGTATTCAGTATGCTATCAAATTCATAATATATCTCGACGTAACGTTATTTCTACTTACAACGGCGGGAAAGGGCAACTTTCCATTAGGATCGTTTACATACTTTCGTGATTTACGGATGACAAATTTCTCCACCGGAACTGACTTTCCAGCAATTCGCTGCTTCAATGATGGTACCTTCCTGTAAACAAAAATTTTGTAAAGAATTTAATGCAAAAGAATTACTTTTTCACAGAATCTATCAATTTGCTACGTACAAAAACAACTCTCGAGTTTCTTCGTCTGGCACCTCTGGAATCATAGAGAGACAAGCCGCCTTTTGATACATATACATCGCCTAGGAGAGACATGTCAATATTAGTTTCTTAAGATTTGAACGTGAATTCATAATTATATTAGAAATGTAATTCATTTCTCGAATATCAATTTCAGGGCCTAACCTTTGACCATCTACTTTCATTGTATAAAATTTCTGCGTAATTCGCTGCTTCTCGCCATTCAAACCTGAAACTACGTGTGAATAAAGAAAAGAGATATAAAGTGTTATTTACTAGCCGTTGAAAAATGTTAGCCATGAAAGCATAAATCTTAAATTAAAATATCTGACCAGCTGCACCAAAATAGTTCCCAATAGCAAACATGATGTAGTTGCTTCCATTGATCTTGAGAATTGATTGAATCATGAAAATATGCGATGGCCTGATACAATAATAATTAGATTTCCAAATTTATACTTTCTTTAAAATAAATAGTTAGTAGAATAGTGTCCAGTAAGACTCGAAAAACAATAACATAACTGGCTAACGTTGTACCTTATCAATATCTCCTTTGACAAGATGGAGTCGACCAGCAAAATACAAAAATAGAGCAGCCTATGGGTTTAACAATTTAATTCGATAAGAGCAGATCAGTTATAACTCAGTTATAGTAAGTTCCAATAAACTTGAAGTAAGAAGTTTCATCACGTAAATTTAGTCGTTAGCACAGTCTTGTCAACCTAAAAAGTAGAATCTAACCTCAGGATATTTTGCTAAACATGGCTGCAATACCGTTTGAGCAAAGTTAAGATCTCCTTCACCGGTGCCTAAAGCAAGTTAATACGACCGGTATTATTATCGACTTATGCTATGATGCTGCAAAATAAACATTACTTACCAATGCTGTAAATTATTATTGTAATACATTTAGGCTATTATAAACAGTTAAATCTGTTAGCTAATTAAATAATATATATCGCAGCAAATAGATTCACTAACCGAGTACAAAAGTTATTAATGTATGATATGTTACAGTTATCATCGAGCAAAGAGGTGAGCGCAAGCTATGGCAGTTGGAACCTAAATTTAATTCTCGCAATCCTAAATCCTAAATATATAGTATAGCAGCTTCGTTAGCCAGCATTTTATCGGCCATTAGTTAAGCATTATTGTAGAAAGCGTGCTAATGATTTTGCTAGAGTTAGATCGCCTTATCCCCTGAGAATCCAATCAGTTCTAATAAACTCTTTATCCGATTCGGAAGCATAGAAATCATCTACCATGACAAAAGGACAAGATCAAAAGTGAATAAACTCATGAGATACTAATACTGTATACCGAAGAGCATCGAGTATGTAGCAAGAGTACATATAATCTAGAACAAATTTAACAGTTTGGACTTCTGAAGACAGCAAAAGCCTAACATCTAAGTAATACCACAGCTATACATTAGCAAGCCTATACTTCATCTATTTACCAAATTGAAGGCGCCTATTCCTAGATGGACACCGCTCTTATAATTGCTATCTAAATTATGGTCGGTGCCATTTTTACGGACTTTCAAAATATGCATACACTCCCTATAGAAACAGAGTTTAACATGTTATTACACACAAATCTGATATTTTGTGAAACGTAACGGCAGAAAAAATTGTATTTCAATCAAAACTAATTTGAGATAATCATTAAAGCGATAAAATAGATTCCTTTGAAGACTTACTTATAAGATGAATAACAATTCCTTATTTTAATTCCTCCTTTGATAAAACTCATTAAGGTTTCATCCTATTCAAGGGTAATGAAGTAGACAAGAAAATAACAAATTTAACTTTGGTAGTTAACGAAACTATCAAAGTTATATTTTAGACAAAGATATTTGATTTATTACTACAAATTTCGACGAAAGTTTTTCATACGCATCAAGATGTGACAAACCTGGATAAATGTGAGTATGGCACGTTGTAATAGGCATTCCGCGTAACATAATTCGGCATGAATTTCAACTGTAATCAAATCAAAAAATTTGCAAAAATTGATGACATATTTGATCAAGATGCTATTTCTTTGCGAAATAGTACCTCAGAGAGCTACAGTAAATTATGAAAATGTCAATCTAATTAGTACGAAAGTTACCATCGGAATAATTTTCATATGTTTTCTTTCTGGCGATATTAACAACAGATCCTACAAAGGATTCCTTATGACGAAATCTACAAAAATAATTATCTGCTAAAGGGATATACTCTAGCTCGGAGACATTATCTACTAGCCAAATTATGCAACATCCTATTTTATATTCAACTCAATCTCTGATAGTTTATATTTACGTTACCAATATGCTTCATGCAACTACAACTTACAGAGTACAAAACCTTACTGCAGGTGAAAAATGTATAATGAAATTTAAAATATGTTACCTATTGCAAAGTCGAACGGCACTCTTAAGAACTTTATTGGCCAAGATTATATCCTCCTGAATTAGTCAATTAAGGAATAGCGATATTACATCATTTCATCATAATTATTACTAAATATCGTCATTCATCACCAGTAAGAGTTTCCCATTGAATTATATATATAATAATCAAAAAATATTGGATTAAAATTTAATATTTATAATAGTAACCGCTGTTATTACACTCAGTAATATTTAACAAAGAAAGCATATGTTTCATTACATAATTTTGTAAACTGCAATCAAATCAACGTCAAAAATGTTTCGTAAAAAAACAGAAATAGAGCAAGCGAATGTAATATAACAGAAATTTATTTGTTTGGAGAAAAAACTAATCACTTTACGAATAATTTACAGCATCATCGAAGCCTGAGTAGTTAACGAAAATACTTGAAATAAAAGGAATATGAAAACTTAAATTGATCATTAAGACCTAATTAATACTTAATTGTAACGCAAGTATGACTACTTTTAACAATCTATCTAACCTTCTGATGATATCGTACAATCTTTTTATGATAAGCTAGCTCGTCGAATATAGGTTTTATCAACGAAATAATTAAAAAATCAATTAATTAATCTTTAAGAATTCAAATCTCTCGACGTAAAGTTTTCTAATTACCTACGATATATGCTAGTTGACATTTGATACAATATGAAATTATACTATTGTAGCTACAAATGTTCTATTTTTATACATATTTTGCATTGTGTAATAGACTTAATAACAATAATATAATTTGTTAAGAAGCATCAGCAAGTTAAAACATGTACGATTTCGCATTTGCTCTATATTTTATCATGGCATATTGCTCTTCTTTAATTAGCCAATTAATTTTTTTTGAAACGGTGTAAAATATCTTTGACAATATCTTTGAAAATATCTTTACGAATTAAAATACATTTAACGGTCGTAACAGTACTACAATAATACCAAATGGACCACAATAACCTTTAACAAATCGTAAATGACTTTAGACTCGTAGCACTATGTTGATAAATTGAATAGCTTTACGAAATACTATAGTATATCTCGATAAAAAAAATGATATACTAATTTGAATAATAACCAAACTAAGACATTTGTGGTAGTGTTTCCGGGTATGTTCACCTACATTAAAATGCACTTAAAAATGTTCGAGTAATACGGTATAACGATATGACTAGCGGATATTAGGTATTCCATAATTCAACCCCTTCCGTCGTACTAACAACCCATTATAGATTAAATTAAGCCAAATTTCCAGCTATAATATATAGTGTCCATAAAATTAGTCCAGTCAAACTTCAGAGATTATAGCAGTTATTATATCAGCGCTCAAGTAGTACTTGAAAGAGTCCGCTTACAAAGATATAATACAGAGGTGTGAGAATTGCTTCTTACTGTAAGGTTAACTATTGATACACATAACTATACGCACAAAAAATATCTTCTAAAATTAGTCATATGTACACTTGAAATGATATTATAAGATGTATAGGCAAACTGAAACAACAGAGACTTTACTACCATTTCTTACCTGTTGAAAAGTCATCATTGCTTGTATATTCATTATAGTCCCATAACTTAAAGCATGATACATACTGGTCTCGGACCTATTAATTAATAAATTAGTAGTTTAATAAATCCAGCGCCGAAAATAAAATTGAAGTAAACATGGAGAACGCAAGGCATTATTTTAATCTATCCAATATCTCTTTCATAGTTACTTTTAATATTATAGTAATCTAAATAATACAAAGCTACTTTCTAGATAAGATAATAACTATACTAAAAGTACAAAATCAAGCAATTATAAGTGTTAGATAAATACACCGTTCACACATAATTCCATCTCTAGTTAATTCTAGATTGGAATTTGTTAAGAAAGGTAATACGTCACACGTTATAAATACTCATGTATTCTGCTAAATACCTATGCCACAGACCGCTATACCTATATACACAGAATATGATTACTACCCGCAATCCATGAATGTGCGTACACCACGATAGCAAAAATTTGCTACATACAGTAAGGCTGATCTTAATTTTAGTAATTAGAATCCTGGATGATAGCTCTACACCGAGTTACTAAGTTGGAACCGCGCATTACGTGCAATTGTTACGCCGAATACAAGTAGACTCATTAATGTGCTGCCCATTCGACAACAAAAATTCAATTTAAGTGCGTTATACCAATCAGATATGGCGAACGATATCGACTATGACTTTAGAACAATATATAACTCCCAAATTAATTAACTATGTATGAATTGAATGTTGTAATAATAACTAATTTCATAATGCAGTACTGTAGTAATTATTAGCATCAATTAAAACTTTAATCCATTAACTGACTATTGAATAAACGATCACATCATCAAGTTTAACCTTGGCTTCAGCATAATTTCTGCTTCTTTAAATTTGTTATTAAAGCATAGATCCAACGCTCTTGCAGTTTCCTGGGTAGCTTGTTCTAACGTTATATCAAGATCATCTTCATTATCATTTCTAAATGAAGAAGAAAAAATAGATTTATTAAAAATAAGTGTTATATCGCAATAAATTGAGCGCTATTTGGTATACTCGTCAATAACAGTAGTACAGCGGCAGCTTACTATTGCTGTTCTAATTTCACAACAATGCAACAAAGCGTAAACACCCCTAAAAGTCACTGTACTAGTAGAACTATTATTTATAATTAACGTACAGTACATGAACTACCTTTCTATACATTAATTCGTACATTTACAATTTACGTATATTGGGAATCAATTAAAATATACCGCAAAAAAGTTATCGCAATGAATAACTGTAAAATTTAACAATATAGAACGATATACAGTAGTACAGCAATAGATCAATCACAATAATACGTTATAAAAGAATAATTTATATGATTACACAAATATTGTTAGTCCTCTCAATATTTATTATCTGCTATCTATTGATATAAAGACTGTTTTATATTTGTGAAGTATGTGTTATTTCAGACATGATCTAATAGTCAACTAGTAAAACACAAGATATCAAATCATTGACTAATTCTAGACGGGCTTCATTACATTGCATAAGAATACCGCACTTATGTTATGTAAAACGTATACCCTCCAAATTTTTTATAGAAAAAGTACAGGATGACATCTAGTGTAAGAACTTGATCCTATTTATCATAACTATGATTAGGAAGCAGTAGAAGTGGAAGGTTAACCGTGTCATTTATTATTTTCGTATTTTAGCTAGCCACAAGTACACCAAGACTCGTAGAGGTTGATTATTAGGACACATTCTACTGATTAAGAATATTGATTAGCATTTCCCTATCCCTACAGACGAACGCGACTAATCTCATTAATACTTCACATTATGGTATATAAGACTATTGAAAAAGAGTTTAAATAAATGCATCTATTCGTCAAAAACCGTTAAGAAAGTTCGGAAGTAATATTCAATAGGCTATTTATTTATTATTTTTAAATTCTCGAATCGAGATCATCAACCCAGTATAATATCAGTCTACTACACCTAAAGTTCATTCACTACGGGCAATGCATTTTTTTGTAGATATTCGCATACTATACATTGTACGCCTACTGTAGTATCCATCTGCAAATATATCCAGTTTCACACAACAGTATTAAGATTGCGCTGTCTTTGGCTTTCCGAAAGCGAAAGTGTGGGTGGAGAAATAGAATCGTCCCGTACGCAGTTACTTCAGTGGGAATTACCAATCTGTAATTCCTACCTCGAATTGATTAAGTTATTGTCGAAATGATAGTGCTATACTATTAGAGTAAATGTACAAACAAGGAAAGGATGCTCACGTTCAGTCTGATACATTTAGGACATTCAATTTTTGGATCAAGTGCATTAGACTAATACGCTTGATCCAAATTTTTTTCCAACTTTTAAACAATTATAAAGAAAATTTAGTGTAAAAGTCGGCTTGATCACGATAACACTGTTGGCAAAATTACCCCTGTAATAATAATTATCATTACTGTAATAGTAGGATACAAGTATGCTGCATAGTGCATCGTTATTAACAGTTGGTGGACAACACTTGGAATAAAATTAAGAACTCCATCGTTTTCCTAAGATGAAAGTTAGCCCATTAAAGGGTATCCATATACAGTATCCGCGCCCGTCATTAATAATGATTATCAAATGAGTCATTAATTGCTGATGATGAAGACATTTTACGCTAATTCAAATGATGAAATGATCATGAGGCAGTATACTATATACTAGTAGACCTTTCTAATCATCTATAGCTCAATGTAACAGATTCATTTCCATAAACTCTTATGATCTCCCAAGTGTTCTCTATACACGATGAACAGAGAGAAAGTGCATTTGATAAAAATACTGTAGTCGCATCGTGATGAATGATAAGTTAGATAAGGTAGATGAGGTAGCAAGAAAGTAGTACGATAAACTTTTAAAACTAAAAAACTATCATCCATGTTGTAGAGCGTCAAGGCTAAAGTTTTTCATTATATTGTACAGTACTACGATATTGAATATCTATTCTATCTACATGAGTCAAACTATCAATCTATAATTATCATTGAATTTTTTATTCTACAGTATGATATCTCTCGATCACAACAGCACATCCTTTTATTCTATGCTCGAATAACGTATAAATAAACACTACAACAGCTAGTAAAATATGCAATCATAAGCCTTTGAAAAGAAAAGAGTTAGGGCATTGTCCTTCGATTTCCATTAATCGAGATTGCGATTCAACTAAAAATAATATCTTTGAAAGTTAGTCAAGTCTAACCTAATACAGTAAGTACTACGCTAATAGTAGAGAAAACCTTCCTACTTGGATATTACAGTAGATACACGTCCAATATTCAACGCCCATTCCAGATTAGACAGATTGAGTTTTACTGGCGAAAGTCAAAGAATTAATAATTAATTAATGGACGATCCTGCTTATACAGTTCTGTCCTTGTCTAATTTGACCGTGAAGGGGAAAGGGTGTCTCATACTGCACAGGGCAGATAGATAATATCATACTATTATCTGTCTGGTCAAATGCCGGCAACCAGTCATGATAAACAAGCCTTTTCAACAATTCTATGCCTAACATGATTCAAATTGATAATTATAATTGGTAGAATTAAACTCATTGCAAGAAAATTTTGAAGGAATGTTGATGTAAACTATCAGATTACGATATTTATTAATTTAACCACGATAAAGTATTATTATAATGATTATCGTCCATTATGATGTTATGATGGTTAAAATTCTTGACTAGTTATCAGGAATAATAGGCTAAATTTTATTTTTATCATTGGTTAATAGACAGGACATCAAAACGACACTGAACTGTCATTTCGTTTCTACTGTTGTATAGTCTATTATCTGCATAATATAAGGCCCAAGTATTCTATTCTAGCAGGCATGTAGATTAACTCTGAAGAAAGTGTAAAAGCGATTTCATTTTTTTATTTATTTTCTTCAAGTGAAAGGCAGTGGCAAATGACATTGACTCGGGTAGACTAGGATACTAGCAGTAAAATGGAATGATTTCCACCTTTCATTTAACGTCAACAGTATGCAATGAGTAGAGTTCACACAATCACTCTTTTAGTATCATTCATAACGATCTTTGTAGATCGTATCTAACCTAGAATAGGATGAAATACGGCCATGAAATATATCATCATTGAACAAAAATTGCGACAGTGGCAGACTGCATCTTACAACAATGAATTAACCCTCCAACTCTATAGCGTGTACGGTACAATCGTGTGATATGTCCAGTGTCCATTAAAGACTACCAAATCCAAGTAGTAATTAACCTTGCATAAAATAGACTATAGACTAAAATGGGCATGCAGCAATGGTCAACTTACAATGAAGATGATGAAGAAGATGGAGAAGCCATGAAGAAAATCGATCAATTTTTACTCTCTCACTTTAGAAAGCGCTAGCGGCCAATGGTTGACTTTACTAACAAGAAGGGCAGAGCGACATAGGTGTGGCTATATACGGTACTGTACTCGGTGTAGCTTCTTTGCAGTACTGTACAGTGAAAAACCCATACTGTACAGTGTACAGTACTTTGTGCTCCTGCTTTACAGTCCTACAGTACTGTACAGTACTGGTACAGTAATGTTGATAACCGGTACAGTACAGTACAGTATGTACTGTACACTATCGTACTGTACTGTACAGTACACTATTATACTGTACAGCACAATACTGTGCAGTGTACTGTACATGAATACCCTTGATACGCCTAGAATGGCCAAAATTTTAAAGAAAATTAGTCGTAATGGGTCAACTTTGTCGTTGAAATTCTGAGGGATAATAGGATCGATTGTGAATTAGTTTTATTGCATTATTGAAGAATAGGTAGATCAAATTTTTCCAGTTATGAACATTTTTTTATGACATTTTGGTAACGAGAAAGAACTAAAAGATAATTAGCTTCTTTAGGGATATTTTCATAGTATTGTGTTCCATTCATATTCTTCGGTATAATACATTGATTAGACACTTTCTCTTTGAAACTTGCTTATGCTTGCTATACCATTAGACTAGACACTTTCTATTTGAAACTTGCTTATGCTTGCTATACCATTAGACTAGACACTTTCTATTTGAAACTTGCTTATGCTTGCTATACCATTAGACTAGACACTTTCTATTTGAAACTCGCTTGTACTTGCTATACCATTAGACTAGACACTTTCTATTTGAAACTTGCTTATGCTTGCTATACCATTAGACTAGACACTTTCTATTTGAAACTTGCTTATGCTTGCTATGTACAATGAATGACATGCAATCCATATCGGTATACTGTACAGTAACCAACTATTCTACGGCAATTCGCTAGTCTAATCGATATAGCGAGCGATATCAATGGAATATAATATTATGAAAATGCCAACAAATGACTTGATATCTTGTAGTTGTTTCTCGTTGCCGATGTACAGAATCGTGAAACAAAATTATTAGTGAAAAGTTTTGCCTATTCTTAATAAACTACACTATGAAATTATTTGAGTTATAATCTATAGTACTGTCAACAAAGTTGACAAGTCGTGAATAATTTCTTTCCATTTTAGCCACTGGCTCTACAGCAGCTCCTTGTAAAAGAGTACAGCTTCACGCTTTAGTGCATATTAGTGATAGTCTCCTGATATAAATTCTTAAGGAATTCTGTTTGCTAAAAGTGGACTATTCCCGTTTTAAATTACTGATCCAACGCCAGTTTTTGTCATTTTTTAAAATGGTGTTCCATCAGTATTTGAAACGGCGATAGTTGACTTTTAGTATATACAATTCCTTCAGAATTGATATCCGGAGACTGCCACTTTTGTACACCAAACCATGAAGTTGTTGGGAGTTTCTTGATTTATTTAAAATTTACATTTATTAATACAGTCTACTATACAGCACTGGACTAAATTCGCAAAAGCATACTTATTCTACGATTAGAATTCAACGAGAACAAGATCATTTATACACTGTACAGTATGCGTGCAATAGAGGCTAAACCAGAACATAACTAGAGATGAGTATGGAATTAATGCTAAGTGTAATATTATGTACTTCATGTCGAGTCATACCTACACTATGTCTAGGAGAGTCCATGATATCGTAAGTGCCTATTACTATTGTACAGTGTGTTCATTTTGTTTTCAGAATCTTGTTCATAAATTAAACAGACTACTGTATATTTAGTAATAGTCATATTAAATAAATATTATTATATGTACCCGTAGGTAATGGTTATACACACTGGTATGAAATTGATAGGTCTTTTCAGTATTCAAAGCACCTCGAGAAGGATTTTGGCAATCTCAAAACAAAATAAATACACCATACAGCACTTTATAAAATAGTGGTAGTGCACGTCTTTAATACATGCATTCCTCAATTCTTATCTCATTGTGTATCTCACGATTCTCTACCTTTTCCTATTCCTGCCTAGAGCACGCTGATAATCTCCTCGACGTCTGAATAAAGGAATTCTTCTTCGTTTAGAATCTTTCTCGTATCATACTAAGGATATACTCACCTAATTAAAGTAACGCACAGAACCCCCTCATATTAATAATGCGAAGTATCTTTGTTATTTCAGATATACATAATTATTGTACGATACATTGCTTGGATCGAAAAAAAAGAAAGAAAATCTGTTATTTTAACCACTCCTTGTAGTATTATTGCACGGATTTATTCTAATCATGCTACTGACAACTAGATTAGAGACTTCTCTTGATCAGTAGACAAGATTATAGTCTTCAAATAGAATCTATGCACTAAAGTGGAGAAAACATACATTACAACGTATATAGGCGTAGTTAGCTAGATTGAAAAGGCTGATATCTCAATCTACAAAGTTTACTAATCGATATTTCCTAATTCATTTTATACTAGTTATAATTAGTAATGTTCACAGAATACTGACGATGTATACTGCACGACATATAAGGGTGTTCACAAGTATACAATAATACATATACAGATTTTCTTCACCATGATCATGTTCCGATTCTGGTATATCGTGCAGTCATACTGTACTAAACCACGCATTGGATATCCAGACTTACGATATATTGCAGACTAAAAAGCTAGTTCTTTTATTCACGTAGGCGAGGGACAATGTTAGCCTCTCTTTACAATTATTTATAGTTACTTACGTTACAGCAGTGCAGTAATATATTCAATACACTTACAAGATTAATCATAACTAGAACTAAAATGCAAACAATAATATTACAGGTACACAGGTGAACATATAATTATTTACTAAAGTAGAAAACTGAATATCTGTAAAGGGCTCTTCATTGTAAAAGTACGAAAGTTAGTATAGTAAAAACACTAGGTAACTTTTTGGGGGATGTACTTATTTCGTTAGTGATCCTTCGCAAGAAACTGCGCACTTTCTCAGTATTTACATTACGGGGTATCACTTTAGATACATTTTTTATTGCATTATAGAAATTATACTTAACAAATGACAATGTTTTCATTGCGAGTTTAGTCTACAAAATTAGTAAAATTGTTACATTGCATTTCCTAATAAAATACTTATATACGTCTTATCAAATTTTCAGTTCAAGATTTACAAACCAATAAAAGCTAAACAATATTGCCGTATTAAATTGTATTTATGATTCATTTTTCCAAATACATTTTCCGTTTATATCGTTACTAACGTATGCGCTATGATGTAAACAACCAGAAATTCAACCATGATATGTTACAAAGTTTATAAACTACTAATTTCTTGCATCATCAATAATAGATTATGTCCAAAGGCGAATTCATACTAAATGTGTCAAGCTGAGAAGAGAAGAATTGAATACCGGTAGCTTTACTATAACCAAGCTACTTTAGCTAGCCAGTGGCAAAAGTGCTCAGTAGCAAATTTGACGCCAAAAATAGAATTGTATAATTTACAAAGTCATTAAGTAGATTTCATAGGTGACTATGATCTAGACCTTTTACTAATGTACACTTGTTTAGCTATGCAGTTATCATTACACCAATATACAATAGTTCTCAAATCTAAATTCTTGCTTGTAATGATAAAAGTATGTAAAATAAAAATTATTTGAATAGCAACTGCGAAATCCGTTTGTAGAAGTCGTATCGTTGCTAACGACCGTAATTTATACTAATAGTATATCTCAATAAAGACGATGTTTTGATAATATTTTCAGAACAAATTAAGGTAGCACTTTATGCTGCTACTATTGTTTCGGAGAAGCTAAATTTTCACTCGAATTTTCGTCTTGTAATGCCTCAGAAAGGAGCAAATCTAAATCATCTGAATGCATACAAGTGTCCAATTAGGAATAAGAGAAAGTTGTCCGTCTAATTTAACTCAGATACTGCATTAAATGAGGTTACTGTTCTGGCATTTCAACAAAAACTAATTTAGAATGTATCAAACAAAATCCAATCTAGTTTACCTTCGGGAATTAATTCAAATTTTTTAACAGAAGAACATGAAGCCATCTTAGCCGAAACGCTGCTCTTAGTAAATGTTTTATTTTCTACGTAAGAACGATAACACAATTTTTGTTAACTTTTCTTTTAATACAGCAACATTACCTCAATTAAATAATAACCTGCTCCAGATAAAAGTCCCTTATCTGATTCTTTACGCTTTTTGATATTATATTCAACCATACCAACCGTATTACTAGGATCTATAGGGCGCTTTCCATTTTTCATTAGGTTAGTACTAAATGGTCGACGCATCTCTCTGATATCAAAGGATTGCGGAGACTGAAATGACATAGAGAGGAAGAATACAACTCTTTAAACTGATGCAACCATGCACGTAAAACAAGGCATTTTTTGTAAATATTGAGCCTAAAAGATCGGCCATTAAACACGCACAGACTTGCTTTTAAGTAGTATTTACTATCTCAGACTCAAATCAAAGCTACTGTTACACTAACCTTTTCGTCACGTAGCTTGCAAATATAATTTAAGTATGAAATATCATTGATACAGTTACCAAGGGCTTGTCCATAACTCCTAAAGTTTAAAATTTAATGTAAAAACGTAAAGATTAATATCATCGGGATACGCCGATATTTTAAAACCTAAGTGCAGCGATGGCTCAGTACAGTACTTTAAAGCTGTAACAAGATCAAAAAATTTCCAATAACACAAATATCAGATTTATAAACATTTATCTCAAAGTAGTTTACGTGACAAACAACGTACTTTAAAGCCCTCTTAAGGCCATCTGTTACGGCCTCCTTACGAGCTTTTTCAAGCGATAAAGCTTTTGACTTCATTCCCTCTGCAACACCGTATCCTACGTCTTCGTGGAAACTTCCATCCTTTTAAATAAAATTTCTCAATGAACTATAGCTATCAATAAATACCCTAAAGATTTCCACAATTTACTTACCTTTAGTTGAACTCGGACAAATGCACAAATACCGACATAAAACTTAGCTCCAATCTGATCGACGAAATCTATCATAGATACAAGCATATGCTAAGTTTTTAATGGCCAGCAAGGTAGATCCGTAAAACTATCATCTATCACAAAGTTAGTATACCAATCGTTTGACTGGTAACAGAGTGAGACCATCCATTAAAACCGAAAATTTCATTTGCTATGGACAATACTTTCCATCCCTCAATATAGGCTATCTGTAACAGAGTTTATTCTCCATCAATTTATCTTGTTTATTTACGTAGTATACGCATACAAGATACTGTACGAAAATAATTGAATTACTGTGATCTGGTGTTACGCTATATAACTCTATGTATCATGGTATATACTCATGCAATCAATATATTGCAATACCTACGATACCTGTGGCATTTATTCATAATCTGTAAGTTTAAATCGAATAATCTAGCCATTTCAATATGCTATATACTAGTGCTAAGCAATCATATTATAATTATAAGGGAAATTTTCTGTACATACGAGTACATTACAATAGTACAGTAGGTTTAGAGTTTTGCAGTTGAATTATATTATACAAATAATAGCATAACTATTGCTTAACCTTTTTACCGCCCATGCCGACCCTTTGACTAATATATTCTGGGCCTAATTTTTGCTTTAATGCCGTCTGAACAGCTTCTTGTTCCTCCGTGGTGAATGTATACTATTACCAATTAAAATAATACGTAAGAAGTAAAATTAACTTTAACATATCATAGATATCTGTAGCATAACTTATGTTGAACATCATGCTACAGCATTCTCGTATTACAAAAGCTAAACAAAATAAGTACATAATACACCGAATCACGTCCAATGATATTGCATATGAACAAATAATCCTACATTTAATTTGATGACGAGTAACAAACGCTATACCATAAAAGAATGGCAATAATTACAGTATAGAGATCATTCACAAGCATAAAAATCAGATTAGACTGATTTACCTGGCCAAAGCTGTTGTAACTTTTACCACAATTATGACCGCCATCAGGTTGACTTCTTTTTACTCCAGACATCTAAAAACATACATAGATTGAAATATATCATTTATGCGTCGCAGAACCTTCTTTTATTGCGTTTATTAATACACAATCCTAATGATAAAATAAAATAAAACAAGCTACTTCTATTAAGAACAGTACATTACTTATAACAAAGTAAGCAATATAAGAGCATATTCCATCTCGTGGGCTATCCCAAGAACGAATTGTCGCTTAAGTTCTAGATATTTAAGTGAATTACATTCATCTGGCATATTGCTAGTGCCATAAATAAATTTTTCTCATAATATTTTGTTATACTCGTAGACATTCTTAAATATGGCACTATCGTACGTATAGCATGCGTATCAAATTTAGATATCACGATATCGCTTTGGCGTATTTTTTGTTGATATTATTTAATGTAAAGTCGTTTAGGATACTGTACATTACAGTACTGGTATTTTCTTTGGTATTTGTTGCGTCATTACAGCACATTTTTTTATTATGTTCATTCGTTTAAGTAGTTACAAAATATGCAAGCAGGAGTTTATATAAGGTTGTGCAAGGCATATTACAGTACACTGAGTACAGTACAGTATATTAGAATAGAAGGATCCGACGGAATCTCTTTACAACATTACTGTACAGTACAGTACTTAAAAGCGATCAAACATGCGTTATTATAGTAAATAAATAACAAGTCGATATGCTATCGTGCGAACTTACTCTTAAAACGTAGAATACAATAATTATGTGCGTCTCAGGAGTAGATACTGTATAGTGCAGTATATTTGGATTTTTAGTCTGTTGCTACTTCTGAACATTTATTACCATTGAACGACTTATTGCTCTACTGTACGTGAAAGAGAATCTACAGTACCTCTCCATGCGTTAGTTAGTATAGCTTGCGCCGTCTAGAGATTTGAATTGGTAAATAAACGATCATATTTAACATAACATCAATAGATGAACGCCTACCGTTTGTCTAGCGGTACGTTAGAAAATAATATAGCACATCAATGATTTGTCATACTAAACTATATGTGGATCGGATGCAACGTTTCGGAAGCTTTCATCCTTTATTTTACAAATACTGTAATGGAATCAAGATTGAGTACTCTACTATATAAAGTATAGTATAATACTAGTGTACTCTACTGTTCGGTAAAGGATGAAAGAATTGCAAATTTTAGTTACGTTACTGGAGAGAGAAGTATGTGCATATACCGTAAGTATGTATGTATACGTCATAACCATATTAGACTCTGGGTAGTACGTACCTAAATATTTTGTTATCCTTATCGCGAAAAAGATCCAGATATTCTGGCGTTTAGGCAATGTTTAATATTTTCAATTGCTGTAAGATATTGTTTCCACCATAGTTAAATTTAAAGTCTTTCAAAGTAATCTTCAGGACTATTCTGGAAAATGTAGGCCTATCGAGTTGATGTCATTTAAACGAATTTTAATTTAATCTTATCAAAATAGGTAAGTCCAAGATTCATTTTGTGTAAGATGATGACATACAATTATGATTGGCTGTATTACTTAATGTCATGGCAAGAACGACAGCAAGCATAACGCTCATTTGTAATCATAGTTGATAACATTTTACACATACGTATACAGTACAGTACGCATTCAATCGAGAGGCATTGGATGTTTGTTGATGAATGAGTTTAAATAGTAAGGAGTACGATGATGGCATCCTCATAGTCATAGGGTAATAGATAAAACAAAGCTAGTAATGAGCTGAATTAATGGTGATTCACTCAATAACGATAAATGCATTAATAAATGACTAGCACAAGATCAACTTCTATAACTGTAATATTTCTATTTATTACTTTTATTATCCACTGTAGACGGGATAGATTGCTATTTTTTGATAGCAATAAAGTATTGACTTTAACGATGGTAAACTATATGTTAGCGCAAATTGAGCTTGTAGTTTATAGAGGGTATCATATGCAATCGAATAACAATTTCTAGAAACATTCAGGCGGTATTACCTTAGCTGGATAAATGGTTGAGCCAAGCCAATTTCACATTTATCGATTGGAATAAGTCATGAACTGATCAATCAATAGTAACTATACTACAATAAATATATACTGGAATTTCGTTGTGGATATTATAGTAATATGGTTGCTAACAAGCAAAGAGTTAATGATAAGTTGTACAAGGAGAAAACAACTTTAGAATGAATGCTAATGTGCAGTCGATGTTGATTACAATCAACAACTACCGTCTAGTTCGCTCAACGGTGTGAATTTAAAATTGAATTTTCCCGGTTTCATGTTAAAACTTGCCCAATGGTAATCAAGTCTAGTACAGTACATAGTGTAAACTTTACAGTGTGAACTTAGTGTACACTGTACTGTACACCAGACAGACGGACTTTTCTTACCCAATGAGGGCCATCAATATCGAAAAATGCTTCCTTAGTATGGAGCTTGCTTGTCTGATTTCGAAATCCCTGGTACTAATTGAATAACATCTACGATCTTATATAACTATTTCCAAGCAGAAGTTAGTAACAGATAATAAGATTCAATGTCATATCGCTTAACTTAATATGGAAAAAATCAGTCCATGTAAAATCGATCGTCTCCATACTAAAGTACTGTCATAACAAGGTGTTTGGCACAATATTTTGGACGAGATGAGGACAAAAGTGATCAGTCCAGGCAGGTCCAGGTCTTCTCTTATACTTGTAGTGTACTATACTGTACACTGGCTACAAAGTGTAGGAGAAGACCTGGACCTGGACTGATCACTTTGCCCTCATCTCGTCCAAAATATTATGCCAAACACCTCATTATGACAGTACTTTAGTATAGAGACGATTATTGTACCGTCAAATGCCGGTCTTTTAGCTACAGTACAGTACATTTTTCGGGGTGAAATTAGTTTATCTGTACAGTGTACAGTACTGTACACTGTACAGTACAGTTTAGTACTGTACTGTACTGTGGGCGTCCCTACTACAGTACAGTACAGTACAGTATACTGTAGTACTAAGCATTTCGTCCTAACTTGCCTGACGAGAAAATTGATGTACGAGAAATAGAGACTTATTCTTACTTGTACCGATACACGCTATGTTCGAGGTATCAGAACGCGAGATCAAGTCAATTTCATGTACTCGCGAAAAATGCTGGCGATAAAACGTGCTCGTGGAATAGTATAAGAAAGCGGTTGGCCCTTCTCGGCCTCAGTGGTACAGTATACAGTAGTACTGTCTGTATTTTGTACAGTACATTGTTCATACAGTACAGTATACAGTACAGTACTGTATACTGTACAGTGTACAGTACTGTACTGTACAGTGTACAGTACACTAGAGACCCTCTATTGTATTGTACAGTACACTATTGTTCAACATCGTGGTGCTGTACTGTATGGCGTAAAGCGTGAGTATGCGCAAAACATTGGAACGACTATACTGAGTAGACTAACCTTTTTACATGGGTACCAAACAACTACTCCAAGACAACGGGCAGCAGTTATGGAAGACGAAGAAGAAGCCTACAAGTTATGGCGGATCAGAAAAACTGTCATGCAAGTATGCATTATTTGTTATCGTTATTCGCTTAAGACTACTGACATACATCATGCAGTTAATTTGGCTTGATGAATTCCATGTCCTGAAGTTAGATTATACCTCAAAGTATATCCAACATTCAAAAGTTTCGATCGCAACTTGTCTTCTAGACGAAAGTCAGAATCTACAGTACACCACTGATCATGTACAGTAACTGGACTGCATCTTCATTTGAGCGAGGTCTATCATTGTCAGCAATTCTAGGATCGATCATTGTTATTATAATGCTGTAGTTATGAAAAGTATATTACACCTTAAGCTATACCGGTCCGGTCAATAGAGAGTAAATGTTGAAGAAAAATTGCCAAGATGATGATAACTCAATCACCACCAATGGAATACTCAGTTGCCTAGCTCTTGCCCTCAATCTTATTCTGATATACAGTATTGACAAAATCGAGAGCTAGACCTGTATCGTCTAATCAATGAATGGCATAAAGTCCCTCTCATATATCCGACAAGAGCAGTAACTGTACGCCAAGTGTATATATACTATCACTATGGTTGAAATTTCCTTTTTCAAAATTTACATTACTATTTTGGTTCAATGTTCGACTATGCTCTTCTCACTTATATACAGGACTGTACAGTGGACATGATAACGCGTATCGTTCGCATTGCAGTTAAAGATTTTCTTTTTCGAAACTTACGCCTCTACAGTAGGTCGGTTAATGTGCATATTTCCGATTGACCATACTGTTCTTGCTGAGCATATTGAAAATGGATGCTAAAAGAATGCCTACGTTATATATTGTCCACTTGCAGTACTACATCACTACCCGATTAGTGATCAGTTCATCATCGACTGTGTTACTTGAGTCTTATGCAGTAGTATTGCCAAAAGGTTATAGTCCTTGTAATTAAAACTATATATAGTTATATATTGTCCACTTGCGATACTACATCACTACCCGATCAGTGATCAGTTCATCATCGACTGTATTGCTTGAGTCTTATGCAGTAGTATTGCCAAAAGGTTATAGTCCTTGTAATTAAAACTTCTCCGAATGGGCTTGCAATAGATCTTTTCTGGATACAATCGTAACCAAGATAACTTACTGTATCTATCGCCTACTTTTATAGATGTGCCATGACAGAGGGTATATGGTATCGCAGGAAGAATTGGATCAAACGTTCGATCAATTTCATGAACAGTTTTACAGCGAAATGAGGTAATACAAAAATATCTTATAGATACTTCTGAATGTAATTCAATCACGTTTTCAAAGATAGCACTAAATTTTCTTAAATTTGATTGAATATATTATGTATAAGGCACTTTTATATATTCCGTTACTTTCAAAAGAGCATCTGTACAGCAGTTACCGCGATGATACAAACCTTTTAATACCCTCCCAAATAATTCTTTCAGAATCATCATTGTAATCGACTAGTATACTCGTATGTAGTATGTTGTGGACTCTTTTGCTGGAAGATCAAAGTTCTGTGTATATCATCTTTACTAATATCTAACGCGAATGCATTTCAGTTTTTTTCATATATTGTACTGTGCTACGGGCTTCAAATTATTCAAGTATCCCAGCAGATTAAAACAGCAATGGCGTAGTATTTCCTCTGATACGAGAAGATATAACTGCAAACTTACGTATTACCGTATATCAGTGATATACACTGTATAAAAGCAATTGATATAGGTCAATTGAGGAATTTTTGGGCAAATATCACAGTCAGAAGGTCAACCGTTAATTTTGTTGTTATCACAAAACGTTGTAATAATTAATAAGTTTATGCCCATGGCCCCTTATCGACAAAATACTAAACGTGTATACTGTAGATCGTTTAGCTTATCTATGCGGTAATTAATTATTTACGGTTAAATGTGACTCTACGATTGACTACGTATTGAGTCTTATAAATTCTGTACACACTAACTCCCTATCTATCTACTTTAGCAGCTTGAAATAGCAGATACTGTATCTATCTTTAATCATCCACTATCTTGGCATTACATAATTTTTTAAGTTGTGTTTTGTATCTTTGTAGAAGAAGTATATACTAGAATTGCATTTTTATACTTATATAGTGAAAGTAGCCAGGTACGCGGATTATTATCCATGTTGGTGCATCACATCGATGATCCTACAGGTAAAACTTATTCAATACGTCTACGGTGCACGCAAGCCGACTGCTTTATTCCATAGTTTGCTTTTTGTGTATGAAGATTATATCTCTAGCAAGCTTAAACAGTCATAGCATTGTTAGCATTAGTAAATTAAATATAACTTACATATCTACGCAGAACAACTGTTTGTTTTCTTCCCGGACGAGCCTAAAGTGGGGATTAACACGATTAAAAAGTAAACTTTTGTTGCTCAGACAACAACTTAGTTACATGACGTTTGTAATATTATTCTGCTATAATTTCGAGTAACATTGCTTATGTAGATACTGCCAACGAATGCAGCGAGAGAATATCAATCGCGCTATAATCATCATACAATCTGGAATGACTCCAACCGCGAAACAGGTTTGTTTGCAGATCATTCGCAAAATTGATCTTGCTAATATACTTCTAATGTTAAATCTTCGAATTCTATCGCCAATGCAATTTCTTAGTCTTTGATCGATATGGCTCCTAAATACACATTGGAATCATTCATGGAATCCGAATTAATGATAAATATAACCGAACATCATTTAGTTCCTAAACATATAGTCATGAGTCCTGAAGAAAAGGCTGAGCTTCTAGCTAGATAGTAAGTTCTAACTGATCGATATGTCATAACATGGATGCATGTATGTAAGCTTCGTAATTTTGGACCAAAACTTTATTATAATCACTATGTAACACAAAATTAATTTAATTCGACATTTTAATCAGCAAATTAAAGGAGCATCAATTACCTAGGATTCAAGTAGGTGATCCTGTAGCTCGTTATTATGGTTTAAAGAGAGGGCAGGTACGAAAATTGTCTGGTCTCCTTATTCCTGATTCAGAGATTAACTATTAGAATATTTTTTCTTTTTTAGTTTGTAAGAATTATCAGGCCAAGTGAAACTGCAGGAAGATATATAACATATCGCTTAGTTTCTTAAGCGAAGCAATAATATTTCGTTAACTATTATATAATCAAACCCAATATTGTATGTATTATGTGTTGTTAATAAATATTGCCGTTATGATAATAAAATAAGGATTTTTTGTGAAAATTGTAGGTAAACTTATCATAATTATTAGATACATTAACGCGCAATAATTCGGCTTATAGAGCCAAAAATTACTCATAAGTTACTCCTGCTTTTAAGAATGTAATTGAGCGATACATGACAACCTTGTAGATAGTATTACCATTTAAAACGGTCTATGACATTTAGGTAATAAGAATTCCACAATTTTTATAACCAATTCAATCACATTTATTGAGTCAGGTGTAATGGTAACACTGTATTTGAAATCGATACTTGTATTATGATATATTCTGCTTCATAACTACATTACTAGTACTAGACACTATCAAAAATATTCAAGTTCCGTATTCCTGTGCAGTATTAAAGAGAGTACGGAATTGTGTGAGGAGTGAAAGTAATATAGCGAGCAATGAATACAACGAAATTCTATGCATTATTAAAAAGCAACAATCCGATATAGTGACACGTAATGATTCTTATCAAACTTAGGATCTTTATTGCAATTTTAGGAATCGAACCATGGGTAAAATACATTACAAATTATATAATTTAATATTGAGGTTAGATTTCGTTCACGATATTAAACGAGATCGCTTTTATGCATATGATGTCATAACAGTTACAACGTAAATCATTGAATTTTAAACCAGTCATATAAAATACTTTTCGTCGTTCAAACTATCCTCACAGTTTAGTACAATCTTTAGTAGTAGTCGCATTATGATAAACAGATATAAAACAGACTTCAAAAATATGGCATACATTATACAAAGCGCACACGATCAATACTGTAGGAATAGCTACAGATCATCAATTGTAATACAGTTATTTACTTTAGATGTGATCATAAACTTAAGCAACGACTCAAACGGAATCAATGAAGGAAGCGTAACAGCTACATGTATGTATATGTTGGTATAGATGAAATTAACAAACGGAACATTATAGCTGCAATTTAATTGTTTCTAATGATATTCACCTTACCGTATAAGCTGACAAATTGGTATCAAATAAACACAAAATGCGCGTCTATTATAACTTATAAAGCCGCAATAAATAGTACAAGCAACAAAGATTGCTTTAGAAAAGACAGACAAGAATTATATCAATAGTGTAATAGATATGACATAGTGGGCCAAAGTGAAAATAATTAAGAAATCTTTCGTTATATGATATAAATATGTACTGTAGCTAATATAATAAATAACACACGTATACACATTAGTTTACGAACAAGCTCAATAAAGACCGGCTTCAACAATAATTATAACTAATAAATAAAGTACAGTCATTCTATGGAAACATGAAATAGAGGCAAATGACATGTCATATCCATTTTTCTATTACGGTAATCGATATATATGATACAAACGTTAAACAGGGATCAACAGCATGTTAAGACGCCAATTTATACAAATAACATACTTTATATTGTATATATTACTTTTCATCAATAATTATATTTCATACACAAATCATCAAAACTTAAGGAATTCTCCAAATTGGCTCATAACCAATGCCATTAATTTCTTCTTGCCTTTGTATAGTGATTTTAATCGAATTAAATGTTGCTGAAACTGTAATTCGCCATTTTCAGCTAATAAGAATGTGTCCCTTGCTTTACATAGAAAGCTGATAAAATCAGAGTATTGCCTAGGACTAATATGAGCCAGGCGTTCATGCGTAGTGTTTATATAGCAATTAATCGCAGCATCCAACAGTAAATTCAGAGGCTCGTTTTTATATGATATTAATTTTTGGCCATTTCCTCCTATAATACAAACGCTAGGAGCCGGAGTTGCACATCTACGCAATATATCAGCCAATACCGGCGCGCAATGTACACCTTTGATAACAAACTGTATCATCTTCGTCAACTCAGGCTTGCCAATTGAATGAGCTAAGGAGCAAGCCCAATAAACATCGCTTACAATGTAATGAGTTTCTTGATTATGTGCAAGGTTAACGCGTCGCATAGCCAAAAGAGCAACTCGATAAGCTCGATATACCTCACAGTTATCGAAGAAGCGTGCAATGGCAAATAATTCAATCAACGGAATTACATTGAAATTTTGAACTACAATTTCATAGGCCTCATTGAAATCATTTAAATCTTTTCGACAAATTTTTAACGCATTTAAACAACAACTTTGAGGTTCTTCACGAGAGCATTCTAATGCTAATCTACGTGCACATGACACTAATTCCATTTCACGTAAACGACACAGTTGCAACTGATTTAAAGTTGAAGTTGATAAGATTGTAAGAACTAGCACACTTGTAGCTTCATTTGGTGTAAAAAGAGATCGCCACAATTCCATTAATGTCCGCAACGCTTCAATACCAACATCAACTGCACACGTAACCAACCATCTAACCATGTCCGTTCGTTTGGTATTATTTGCTTGATGAAGTGTTAATCTACAAACCTAACAGTAAGCGAAAATTTTAAAGAAAACTGCAATGAAAAGTATCTTGATAATTAATGTATATATGAATGCATACAAACCTGTAGTCCAATTTTAAAGCTACAATTTAGCATGTCTTCATCCCTTGCACTTTGCAAACCGACCATTCGCGAACTAAACGGACGAAGTGCTAATTGCATAGCATCTTTGGCTAACTTAAAGAGGTATTTTACATTCTGTATATGATTAATTATTGCCTGGAGTACCCCCAATAGTTTGTCAGGGTAGCTTTGTGAAGCCTGTAACATAGTTCCAGCTAATTTATATTGACAACTTTCGACATGTGGAGCTATATACCATTCCACTTCTTGATCTGCCCAGTTACCATCTCTCCTCATATCTAAAGGCAATCTAACTGACCTAAAACCAACTTGAAAAGCTAATTCTTGTTCACGGTCAACTAGTGAATTGAAAAGATAATGAGCAAAGGAATGCATTGCTAAACAATTCCGATCAACGTAAGCACTAAGTGATGAAGGGAAGTCATCTTTCAGTAGCATTTGAACATGATTACGAAGTACAACTTGTAAAATACTATCCATTTCTACATTTTTTAGACGACATAACAAGGCTTCTTCCTGTTTCTTCATAAGTTCTTGTGCGTTGCAATTGCTTGGCATTCGACGCTGCTGACTTAAGGCGATTAGAGCGAATTCGTATGCGAGGGACAGATAAGATTTATCATTGCTATTCTGCACACGGATATGTTTAATTGTTTTACCAATATGTGAACATGTGTTTTCCATAATGTGACCATAAACTTGCAAAGATTGGCAGCAACAGGTTTCGATATTTTCATTACTACTTGCAACTGTAGATGCCTGAATAAGTATATCGAATACAGTATCAACTAGATTTAAAGGATGACCAATCCAATTATCTTTATAATTCTCATCGACGCCATCGTTATCATGTTTACGTTTCGGTCTCTGCAGCTTTTCTTTCATACCATTAACTATTGCAATAGCTAAACGTAAAGCTCCTTCAGTGTTTCCATGAATCTTTAGCGACTGCACACGTGATGCTGCAATAAACAGATTTTCTAGAAAAATAAAAGATGATACCATTAAAAGTTATAATTATATAATTATATAACTAATATTAACTAGTTTTATAAATGGAATTGATAACAGAAAGTCATTTTTACTATAGTCTTCATTAATTACTGACCTCTCCAAACACCAAAATCGCCTTTATTATTTTGATTATAATCCTCTAATAAATTTGATAAAAGTGATTCCGACTCTCCAGCGATGATACGACGAAGGGCCGAACTCTCCCAATCAAGGTTACAAGCTTCAATGGCGTTATCAAAAATACTTCTAGAATTGAGAGTAATGCTTGATCTGTCATCTCGAAGTCTATTTAATCTATTTCTTTCATATAAAAAACTGCTATCATCGTCTTCAGAATCTGTATTGTCTGTAGCATGAGGCAGTACGCGATATTCATCAAATTCTTTCGGACAATAATCTCGTTGACTCCATTCTTGTAGCATCCACTTCCACTTTTGAATACTTTCTGCTGGTGCTTCAGGATTTAAAACTACGCTTACCCACAGCTTACCTTGTTACCAAAATAAAAAAGTATGATTTATATCGATCATTACGACTGATTATGCAATCATTAACAATAGCATCTTACTTAATCTATCCCAAATCTGACGGCATTTTTGAGCCATGGGCATATGTTGTGTCGTCCATTGCTTTAATCGAGAATCCACAAGCAATTGTTCAGTGATTATAGTTAACATTCGCGGTCCATTAGAGTCTGCTGCTTTCTGCAACTCTTCGATCTAGTTATAAAATTACAACAAGAATGTGCAGATAACTTAATTTTAGCAATGAAGTACGAGCTTGAATTTAACAATTCTATCCAATAGGAATCTAATTTGTACAAGTATTGCAGCAAAAGAAAACTATAAATTGCATACAAATAGCGATTGTACCTTTGCAAACATTGACAACAACTCCTGATTAGATCTATAATAGATACCACGCGAAAGAAAATTTTTAACTCGCGTTTCAACATGGTTAACATCTAAAAACCAATCGTGATCATCTCCAACTGCAGCACCAGCAGTCGGATCTGGCGCGCCATTGGTTTTATTTATTGCGGCTTCTTCTGATCCCAGAAGCTCATCAGCCAACTTTTGTGCCATTGGCAGAACGTCGGTGTGATATTCGGCAATTAAATGTAAAGCAAATTTTTGTAATTGTTCACGGCTCATATCCTAATGATGTGCGAAGGTGTGAAAGCAACGATTACAAACTTTTTTTAAATACGTAGTATATATACATCCTTTTCCATACTTACCAATAAAGTTTCTGATATTGGCAAGCGAAGTTCTATTTTGTCTGGAAATCGAATTCTATATACTGCTAGAGCAACGACATGTGCACACCAAAGCATATCCATAGTAGAACAAGAACAAGTAACTGATGTAATAGTGCAACGATCGAATGAGATAGAAACACGTTGAGTGATAATGGACTGATTCCCAAATACATTCATCATCTCCAGATTAGAAGAACGCGAATAACTGACGTTGTCCACAACAGATCCTGTCAGACTGAAACCTATTCGTAATTTGACGACACAAACAATTACGCAAACTACTTCAAATTGTCAACTATTAAGAATAACAAAAAAGAATAACTTCAACTTCTAATGTACTCAATGGCACTACATAAAATCGTCATAAATAGAACAATTTTGATATATAACACTGATAAAATATATAAATATATTTTATATTATAAGTATAAATACGTGTAAGGTAAGCAAATAGATTACGGTCAAATAACCAACAATAATTTAAAACTTGATGATTAATTCCGTTTCTAATTTTGGAAGCTACAATTGATAAACGATGAATATTTCTATAATAGAAACTTATTTGAGACCCATAAAGCGGTTATATAATATGAAATAGTAAACTGGATATCAATAGACTCAGATAGAATTACAACATAAAATAGCTGTTTACTTAAGATAATCATAAATAAATAAATGATTGAATCCACCTATTGATATATTTGTACGTGAAGCAGCAGAACAGTGACGCCTGCAACTTTATGCCTGTCGTTATTACACCCTATGTCTACAGTACAAATGATCCCAAGCCTTCAATTCAACAGTCGTAAATACTGTAGAGATAAGTTGCTATCAAACGGCTTCAGTATTATATGCTATACCATCTGTAAAGGTTAACAGTGAGACGCAAGCTGAAAAATTTTTCGATTCCAATGACTGACGAGTGACAACTGGTGTACTGTAGTACAGTACAGTACACCACTGTAACGTTTAGGTGATACAGCTAACAGTACACACTACAGTATACAGTACAGTACCTACCCAACTGTACTGTGTGAAACATGATACATATGTACAGTACAGTACTGTATGTACAGTACGGTACTGTAAATTACAGGATGTATTCACAAAGAACGGCCAGTACAGCTGTACCGTACTGCACCGTAACGTAACGTACAGTTCAGTTTGCTAGTGCAAGTGTTTTACTGTTGTCTGGACGCTTTTGTGCAAAAGCCGTATTAACCTTAAAGTGAAAAGCGATAAAGTCATTAAGGGCTTCCATAAACGTGTGTATTGTACTTTGATAATGTAAATAAAGTACAATAAAAACATTAATAAAACGACGTGTTTGACAAGCTAAATGCTAATTAATAAACAATACCACTCGAACAGGGCCATAATTCATGTGCAAATCAACACGACATACTTGTCATGTTTTACAATGAATACAGTAATGCGAGGGAGGGATCATCTAAATTTCATTTCATTTCTCATTTTACTATGCGTAGTTTTACGTCCTTTCATCCATTTACTGTTTTAGAACAAAGAAATGAGAGTGCGCATACACGGACTATGCCTTAATTGGTCCAAGATCCTATACTGTATAGTAGTACAGTCTCGCTAGTAAATCACAAAAGATTCGATCAATACGAACACTAAACCTACTAGATTAGTTACTATCTCAACCAGTCTAGTTGAATCAACTGAAAGCGATAATCTCATTGATAACTCTTCGTTTCAAACACTATTGGAGTTGCCTGCCATTTTACCAGTATTACAAAGTCAAGTGTTGACCTTGTTCTTCTCCAATTAATGACAAAAAAATTCGTATAGTTTATTATGTAAAATATTAAAGAACACTCCGTAATTATGAAAACAGAATTGCACACTCATTGCCTTCAGAAAGATGCTATAGTCACTACTACAGTACTGTATAGTGTTTTGAAAATATGTTCTACTGTACTATGGCATATTAATAATTACTCACTTTAAATTAGAAAAAAATGATCTAAGGAGCTACAAACGTCACTATTAATCAATTTAATCCCTAGTTTTCTAGAAACTGAATAAAAAATTGTTTATAAACTAATTATAATAAACTAACAATCCCAGTCGAGCCGATCAGGATATAAGATTGAGTTAATCGTGAGGAAACACCTGATAAAAGTAGCAGTAAACTGGTACATATAGTACAGTAACCTTTTCTATTTCTATTTACTTGAATGTACTGTACGCACAGTACACTAAGGATGCAAAGGCAAAAAAAATTTGCCACAATACACTGATACCACTTTACTGAGTCCATAAGAATAGTAAAATTTTCATTTTATGAAAAGGTTTTTGAAAGTTCAAACATTATAAACTTTAAGGCTCCATATGCTATTAACTAGAAGTTCTTACTATAAAATTGCTAAAATATACAGTATACCAAGTTCTACGTTAAAAGAATCTAAACTTTTAAGATCATCGGTGTTTCTAGAGCCGAACATGAATAGCTAATTAATTAAATAATATGTAAATCTTAATTTTCGTACATTACTAGCCTAGTATCTCATTTTAAGAAAGGGCGGTGACAATACACAATTCATACTATTGCATCTCTTAGATTTACAAAATCCGAATGGAATGACTTCTACCGATCTTGGCTATCCATTATTATAACGACAGCTACTACAAATGATTACTTTTACAACACGCTTTACTGTAGCCCATATCTAGTACTTCTACCAAACCATTACCAAAATCCTAACTTCATTGACTAGATATAAAGCTGGTAAACTTTACCAAGTTCTAGCAATCAATTTAACTCGAAGCTGATGCATACTGTGAAATGTTCAATCGTGACTGATCATTAAAATTATGACTATGATCGTAAGCCCACGGAGGCATGAACTACGGCTATCCGAGATAGGTCCTGTAATATTTATTAACTTGGTAACACTTCTTTAAATTCGTTATCTATCTTACATTATCCAAAACCTGTCATATCGTAGTAACTAAGAGTTTTCTGTAAAGAAATCGTAAAAATTTGAACAAGAAACTACGATCCGCTAAATTATCAAAATTAAATAATAAAGAAATCTTGGCCAAAAAAATAAAAATGCCGCAGCATCTCAAGCGAAAGCTATCTGCAGCAGGATAGATACTTATTGTAATATTGTATGCGAGTTTAAAGTTAAAACATAACGGTACAGTATATAAAACAAGGAAACAAAGTCAGTTTTTCTGTATCTCTATTGCGAGAGTACTGTATAGTGTACTGTATAATACGGTATAGCACAATATACTGTACTGTAACACAGTCATACTGTACAGTACAGTACCGTTATAGTACAGTACAGTACAGTACTTTACACTGTACAGTACTTGGTACTACGGTACTCGTACACAGTGTTTAATGTACGGTAGACATATTATTACCATAGGCAGTCAAAACGGCGATTGCTAGTCTCCTCCCAGAGTCTAGACCAGTTACTAATTCATGTGCAGTACCAATGTGTTGTAAGATTACTATCGTAACATTAAAAAATAACTAAAAGTTTGAAAAATTTGTAGGGATTAACCATGACTGACCCCACGGTAAAGTCAGGGACCTCTAATATTGCTTCTGTTTCTTTGTAAGAAGCCCCTGGTAAAATACCCTTCTTTTCTGTGTTATAAGTAAAGCTGGCAAATGTTGAATTTAGGATCGCTTCATTAAATTATCAGGCAACTGCAATAGCCGTTCTACCGTAATACTATTATTAATTATTGATCAAATAATTCTGTACCCTTAAAAAGACACTGACTCAGGACGTCTTGTAACTGTATAAAAGGAGCAATAGTACCGCATCAACACACTCTACCAACTACCCGACTACTAAACACTATATGGTATATTACAGTGTATTATTATTGTATTGCTATAAGCTTACAGTATAAACCTTTCATTGTACAGTACTCTACTGTATGCTTGTACTACTACTGTACAGTGTACTGTACAGTATACAGTACTGTACTGCACTGTTTAATTTTGATGCGATACTAAATACAGTATGATTATCTCGTGAAAGCTATCGCGTAATTTAGCTATTCAGTTGCAGTTGACGCAGGCGAAATTTGCAGTCTATGATTTCGCACCCAGTATTATCCAATGAAAGAACACATTACAGTATAAGGAAATCAAAGGGAGCTGCATAAAACTGTATTACAAAAATTAAATTTACGAATGTAAGACATTTCTCAGACTCACAAGTCAGTACAGTCACCACTACAGTACCATACAGTACAGTACACGTACATTACAGTACTGTACTGTACTATACTATACTGTACGAATGGCACAGCTCAAAAGGATAATATACAGTACTGTATAACTTGTAAATGAAAGTTCTCAAACGGAAATAAAAAAATTGAAAGCTTGGGTAAAAGAATGCTGAAATAGCAATCGATTAATCGAAAGAATTATTCACTTACCGATCTGTAAGACATTCTTGACACAGTCTTTTTCTAATAATTCTAATCCATGCTGAAATGGTATACATCTACCACTATCATCGTTTGCTAGTGTTGAGTAAATAGCTACTTGGTCTATTGAACGAGGAAATGACCAATATACTATACGTTTTTGTACCGGCTCCGGTATTCGCGGTTGAAAGTGGCGTTCCACCATTTCAAATGGCACATACTCACCAACACAACGAGCACTAATATCCAACAATGACATAACTGTTTTACTTCTGCTGCCATCTTCTGGTGATTGAGGACAAAAATCATCGCTATCCAACTTCACCTTCTTGCGATGTGTCGCCATCACTCAGCGGACTTGAAGCTTTGTAAACATTAATAGGTATGCGCGTGCGCTTTCTTATTCTCTTCCTTTTAATAAAAAATCTCTTTCATCCTCTACCTTCTTGTTGTTTATTATATTTAGCTCGGCTTTGGCATATCTAAAAAGGGCATTAATAATGGTAATAATAATAGCACAATGATGACGGAGATGATTGCCCCCCTCGACCTGTGCAGCTAATTATCCATTCCGCATAGTGAGCCTAATATGCATAATAATAGCAGATTTGGTAATAGTTCTTTAGTCATTTTCCTTTGCCACCTTTGCTATCCTGGTCTAGGCGTTATTTAGACGTCACTCATTAACTCTTCAGTGCATACAACAGTATGAATTACGATTTTACATGTGCTGGCTAACTCACATATTTTCATATCAGTTAAATATAATCTTATGCTCATCCAATTTTGCATTCCGCACGATTACACAAATCTAACACATTGAAAACTTTTTAACTTTTTATTAAGGGTATACGAGTACTTACTGTACATACAGATTGTTTAACTCATATCAAGATATCTATCAAGAGGTGAAGGATACCCTATGCCAAGTTGACTTTATCTAAAATATAGTAAATTCAGCGTACACTATATAGTCTACAGTACTGTACTGTACCTTACGCAATTGGGTATTATTTTTATGTATTTCTAGATGGCAAAATGCATGAGTAATCTGATAAATGAATCACGTTTAGCTTAGCAAGCTTTGGCTGCAACTCTCGTAATAGTTTAAATACTGTAATAGAGTAATATACGGTATCCCATACAGCAATAAATAAAACACGAAGCTACTTGCAGTTTTTGTTAGAATACTATATGTGATTCAATGACCAAAATAAAAAGATACTTGTGAATCATTACAAAAAAATTTGCAAAGTAAATGAATGGCATGCCGCTGAGAAGAAAATGGGTCTTCCGATTTGCAGTTAAAACAGTAAATATTACGGTAGATCGGGTAGACCCTATTGTACTGTACCGTACTGTACAGTGTACAGTACAATGACTCTGTTGAGAAATTCTGTACAGTACAGAGCTACAGTACTGTACAGTTGTACAGCAAAGCTACAGTACTGTACACTATCTAAAATTTTTGCACGGGCGCAATCCGTATTTCTGATATACTGTACCGTACAGTACTGTACAGTATACTGTACTGTAGTGAATTACAGTAACTTACTGTAAACTCAACATCATATTGTACTGTACTTTACAGTACAATGTAGTGTACATACAGTACAGTACTGTACTGTACAGTAATCATAATCGTAAGCCGTACGGTTTAAATGAGGAGACACCAAGACTACTGGTTTGTAAACAGCCAACGACATTAGTAAACATTTACTGTACATACCAGTGTACTGCATAGCAGTGCACTATTCAATACGCTACTTTCGTATACATGCTTGGGAAATCTTATAATAACTTGCCGAAGGCAAATGTAGTCTTATTTATTTACGGTTCGACACAAAGCGAACATTTTTTTTAATGCCTAACCTTTTCTAGAACGAAGTGTCCAGCTTCCTACAATATTGGTTCAGGCACTTTTGAAAACTTACTGTCGTACTGACTTAAATTTGCTCACTTTAATTCATGCATGATTGGATTCTGCCTAAATGGCTAAAACTACCTTTTTGCATCATTATATAATAATATTATTCTTATTACAGTATTATTACGAAGCCAGGGCAGCCCTTTGTAATGACAGTCAAGTACTAGATTGCAAAATATAGTGAAAACTAAATGATCTTTCACTAGAGGGAAAGATTGAGTTTTGCATCGAAAACTCCTATATATATTTAAACATTATATCGGTGGTAGACTGATAGTAAGTAAGTAATATTACACCACTTTCGAATGGAATAGTTATAATTAAAAGATAAACGCCTTTCAAATATCTATACAAGTACATCAATCCTTGGCTAACAGTGAAACAGCTGATGATGATTAGGGGGGTAATTAGGGTCTCTGAATGAATTACTATTTTCCTTCAGACTTTGTGCACCTTCAGGCAAAATATTTAAACAAACGGTTATCTAACAATGTTTCTCAACAGCCCTACGCTACCGCACATAGAATCTGCCAGTGTCCTACATCATATACTGTATGTGTCCAGTATAGTGGAATTGATCATATCTTACGATAATAGCATATCGAAGTTAATAATATTTAATCAGCACTATACTCCGGCTTTTTTGACCTACTTTGACGCTATCAAGCTCAGCACAGAGTACGCATATGGAGATTAATCCTTTATCAATTACTCAGACTTTCGGCCGAGGATACTACAGAGTCACAGACACTAATACTCCATCACACAGTACCAATTGTTTAGCTTCTTGTCTAGTATCCTGGACTTCTTAACCTCGAGAAGTGCCTGATGAGACATTGGACACAATACCCTCATCAAGTGTACAACTAAAATAATGCAACCTTTCATTTTACATTTCGTCCAAAACTAAACTACTCGTATTTTAAGCACATACTGTCCAATGTAAAATTATGAATGCCTACGAACAAAATAATACGAATAATGCTACACCGAAAAGGTGGCGCATATGCACTTAAAGTAACATACAGTATACACTACTTGTATTATCATATTAGCATGGTAACCGTCTTACTGTCTCAATCTGTCAATTGTAGCGGTAGACAGACTATTCTTAAACTTGTTTTCTCTACAGTATTGTTTTAATTTTGCTTGCGGCAATTCCAAGAATAATAAAACATTAATACTGTACTACACTACATTATCAAACAAGCAAGCACTTTTGGCTCTCAGAGAATGATTGTCCTAACACATCTGACAATTTACAATGTATAACAATTGTAGTCAACCAAATCCAATAACTTCTGTATACGCGTACTGCGTACATCTACAGGACGTCGCCATATTAAACCATAAGTTATAATTATGCAGCTATTCGATGGGAACGACGCCAACTGTACATTGTACTGTACAGTACAGTATGTACAGTACAGTATGTACAGTACAGTACAGTACAATACAGTACAGTACCGTATTGCGGCACGGTACAGAAAGAGAGAAGGACTCATATGACTGTAGCACTGAGTAGTGACTAGTGAATACTGTACAGTACTGTACAGTGTACAGTACGGTACTCTACCCTACTCTACCAGACACCAGTGTTTCGCAACCACTATTCAGCATGACTAGTACTGTATACTGGTTGAACCGACCGTACACGTACCAGTGACTGATAGTTTGTATTCGAAATTTCAAAGAAATAAAAAAACTCAGTAATGCAGTAAAAATAATAATAAAATACTAAGTGCCATTGCTCAAGGTTGTAGTGATCTGTATTCGTAAAATTTCACTCAAATTTAAAGTAAATACCTTAAAAATTTAAAGACCTAACTAAGGGCTACAGTCCAGTGTTGTGCAATGGAGTGAAAAGGCAGCCCGAACCCGATAAAACCCGATCCGATTGTTGATATTCTAACCCGAAATGAGTCAAATCGCTATGACCACTGTATCATAACAGAAATTCTTAACCCGAACCCCGCTCTCGAGTCCGGGTTTAAATACGGCTTCGGGTTGACTTTGCACATCCTTAAGCTACACTACTTTACTGTATGCCTGAACAGTTTTCAAACAGCAGCGTACAGTACAGCACTGCTGTTTGAAAACTGTACTGTGCAGTAGGCCCAGCCATAATAACCCCGATTACTCAGATACTCAGCGTAAATAGCTTAAACGATGATACATTATTCTCTTACTCTTTGAATAATCGCATGAAATTTGAGTTATAGACTCTTACAATAATGTATCATCGTTTAAGCTATTTACGCATGAGTATCTGAGTAATAGGGGTTATTATGGCTGGGACTACTGTACAGTGTACAGTACAGTATAAGGCTCACCACGCCAGTTAAATAGTACCCTTAATAGTACAGTACAGTACTGTATTAATCACTGATCGGCAGTCGGTAGTGGTTGTCTTTGCAAGTACTGTACAGTACTGTACTGTACTTTACGGCTACCGCTGTACTGTGCACTGTACAGTACAGTACAGTACAGTGTACAGTACAGTACCTAAAGTCGTTTGAACAGAACTGCCACAGTGCCACAGTGCAAACCGGACTGAGGTGACACTTTAAATTGCAGAGACTGTACTGTAATTTACAGTTCATCATACTGTACTGTGCAAAACCATACCGTGCACACATGCGCATACTAACGTCAGAATCTTTTAAGCGTGTCGCACTGATATTTCAGGATTGAAACCAGTGTCGTGGCTTTCAGACAAGCAGATTAGAAGCTTGGAAATCAACATAAACACTTTTGTGCAGTAAGTACTAATAATTATAAATAATGATTAATTATTATTTAACCTAAGAATAATAATCACATGCAAAACCAGGGACCGTTAAAAGTATTTTACCTTAATAACCCACGACGAAACCTGCACTTTGGTTTTCACAGAGCGAATTGCCTTCGCTAGTAATTACACTAGTATACAGTACAGTATATGTATCTACGAATCTTAAAAAGAGTTACCAATTATATAAACCTTCTTAAGAGTGTTAAGAGTGATGTAAAAACAATACTGGAGTACAGTACTGTAGTGTTGTGACTATTATCCATTCTACTCATTCTTATACTGTATAGTAATGTAGTGTTTATAATACAACATTCTGTCATATTTCACAAGTGGCTATTGGAACTTAATACCATAAGAAATATTGCAACCTAAAATACGAAATGAAATACTGACATGCTAGCACGATTGTATGGTAGAAAGGACACGAGTGAGTCAGCGATTTTCTTGGAACAAGTTTTAACCTCATACAAGTCATTAGTAGCTAGCACAAAAATTTTAGGTCAAATCAAATGTACGGCAGTGATACTATCACTATTCCTTTCTTAGTAGCCCCATAATGAAGTACACGCTGAACCTAAATTAAGGGCATACACTATCGATTTAAAATCAAATTTTTAATCTTAATTTAATTTATTTTATTTTATTTTCCCTAATTCTAATATTACACGAGAACGCATGATCATTGTATGGTCCTGCATTGATATACCGTATGCTTTGTGCGACAGACGTTGCGGTGCTATATAGCCCCCAATACAGGACAGTGCTATATACTGTACGGTAGTATACTTAGAGTGCTGTGTTCTACTCGTATCACTGGTACCCTAAATGTACAGTACCTATTCGTCATCATGACTTCTTGGTGGGCAGGTCTCTAGGGGTCATGACTCGCGAAAGAGGTCATTAGTAATATTAACAACATTATCTGCAAGATCGATTATATATATTCTATGTACAGTGTATATATATATATGATTATGAATTATAATACTGTATAATTACCATATTAAATAATTGATTAATTCGTAAATGTTTTGCAGTTACATTACAGGGTAAATTTTTACATAGAAATACTCATGCGTATAACTTATATTTTAACATTCTCCTTAAAACGGTACTAGAGATTAGAAAATCTCATCTTCTGTCAAATTGTTGCGTTTCCTTTCTTCGTCTGTAAGAAAGATTAGCAAAATGTCTTCATCCTGTACCTTAAGTGTTGAACAGGTATTCAGCCGCTAATTAAGTACAATTTGTAATCTATAACTATTATAGTAATCCATTTTTACATCAAATGACGATTGCTTAGTACTGTATCGTCACTAATATATGTTATTAATTTAAGTACTAACGAACATAATCACGTTCAAAATTTTTTACAATGAATGCATACAGGCTGAAGACATTGCTAAACGTCTTAGGGGATCCAGTGGTATTTCTATCAAAGACAGGATCTACCATTTCAGAACATACGCCAAATGTTTTATAGGTGAATTATTACGGAAATATCTTTCGCAATTAGACAGAACTCTTTTGTATCATTGCAACGTATACAGTAACATAATCTTTGAACAATAAAATGTTCTCGTAATAGATACATACAATATATTATGGTTACTGTTAACTATAAAACCTTCAATCGATGAAAATAGGTAGTGAAGCAGTTGATTGGTTTGTTAAAGAAAACTTGGCGGATGATCGCAAAGAAGCTATCAAAGTTGGCCAGGTAGGAAAAATTACAACACAAAGACATTACAAATCTATGCAACAAAATAATGGATTTACTATTCTTTTTATTCGTATTTGTACGCTACTCTTAAAATTTATAAAATAATTGTGCTACCAATTAATTGTGCTAATAATTTTACTCTATAAAATATGCCTACCTATGAAATTGATTGTTCATTTGCCATCAATATATTTCAGCAAATCTTAGACACTGGTATTATCCATCCCGTCGTCGATGATCACAATTTCAAAGACGGCTA